TATTCGAACCCCTTCAGTTGGGTTTCCGTGCTGCCCATAGCACAGAAACTGAGGCCCTCCTGATTGGCTCGTGTCAGCTCCTCCGCACCTCTGGCGCTGACATCCAAGGCTGCACTTTCCACCTCTCAAAGCCAGTCAGGAACCTCGGTGTTCTGTTCGACCCTGAGCTGTTCTTTCTCCCTCATATCCGCGCCACAACTGGCACCACCTTCCATCACCTCCGGAATATCGCCAGACTACGTCACTACCTCACCCCTCACGCTGCTGAAACCCTGGTTCACGCCTTTATCACCTCAAGGCTGGACTATGGGAACTCTCTCCTCGCCGGCCTTACCGGCACCTCCCTCCACAAGCTGCAGGTCATTCAGAACTCTGCAGGTCGTGTACTGTCCCGCACCAGGCTTCGCGACCACATCACTCCCACCCTCGCTCGCCTCCACTGGCTCCCCATCCCCCAGAGGATCGAATTCAAGATCCTCATCCTCACCTACAAGGCCACTCGCTCCCTCCTACCGCTCCGACCTACTATCCCCCTACCTACCTGCCCGTACCCTCCGTCCCTCTGGCTCCGGTCTGCTCGACATCCCCCGCCCCAACCGCCCTACCATCGGTGGTCGGGCCTTCAGCCTCTCAGCCCCCAGGCTCTGGAACTCTATCCCCCAGTGCCTTTGCCTTGCTTCCTCCCTTTCCTCCTTCAAGGCCGGTCTCAAGGCCTTTCTCTTTGACCGTGCCTTCAGCTCCCCTCTCGACTCTCTACCCCCTCCTCGCTCCCTCCCTTCCCTTCCCTCACACTGACCATTTCCCCCCTGCATGGGTCCTGACCCAACTGTACAGCGCCTTGGGACGTCCTCCCGATGTGAAAGGCGCTCTATAAATGGAATCTTGTTGTTGTTGTTGATGCTGCCAGAGCCTGAGGTGCAGAGGCGTTGGCACGAGCCAATCAGGAGGGCCTCAGTCTTATTCACATTCAACTGTAGGAAATTTGTTCTCATCCAGTATTTGATGTCCGACAGTCAGTCTGTCAGGAGTGCAGTGGTCCTGGAGTTGAGGGTGGAGGCAGAAAGATAGAGTTGGGTGTCATCCTCATACATATGGAAGTTGACCCCATGTCCGCGAATGACGTCACCAAGGGGGAGCATGTAGATATTAAAGAGGAGGACCAAGGACAGAGCCTGGGGGATGCCAGATGTGACAGTGCAGGGGTTGAAGGAGAAACCGTTAAGAGGCAACAAAGTGGAGACGTTGAGAGAGATAGGAATCAAACTAGGCAAGGGCAGGTCCGCGAAGATTAAGTAAAGCGGAGAGGCAGTGTATGAGAATGGAGTGGTCGACAGTGTCGAATGCGGAGAGAGGTCAAGGAGGACAAGGAGGCAGAGGGAGCCCTGATCACAGATGTTCAGAATGTCATTAGTGACTTTGACCAGGGCTGTTTCCGTGCTATGGGCAGCATGGAAGCTGGATTGGAGGGGTTCAAAGAGGGAATGGCAAGAAATGAGAAAGGTGAAAGACCCTATGAAGCCTGATACCTATATCAAGAATATGGATGAATTTCTATTATAATTTTGTAAATGATGTTGCTTCAAGAGTTAGTTTGCACTAACCCATACTGTGATATGTGATGTTTCAACAGGCTTTGTCCATTACCTTGTTCAAGTGATTATTCTTCAAATGTGAACCTGGACAGCGATGGGTCCTGGTTATGATTGTTATACAGTACCCTCTGGTGGAAAGTCCTTGTGTAGATATTAGATAATAATAAGAATCCTTGCATTTGATGTAGCGCCTTATCAGGTCTTCGAGACGTCTCAAAGCGCTTCACAGAATATAATGCAAAGTGAATTTTGTGGGTGAAATGCGGCAGCCAATTGCGTGAGGGGCACTATATAAATGCAAGCTATTGTTGTTGTTCTCATCCTTTAATTGACCTGCCTGTTGGCAATTTCCAAAATTATTACATTTCTTTTCTCCACTTGAAAGCACACAAAACTATTTTGTCTCTAAAATTAACTGGAGACCGAGGGAGCACAGATTTCAATTGTTCTGTTGCATTGTAAATATTTTTAAAGTGAAAGTCATTCTGATAAAAATAAAAAGCATTTTTACTGCCCTCTTGTGTTCCCATTTTTTGGTTCCTTGTTTCAGTTGACTTATGCTCTTCCATTAAATTTCTGTATTTCTGTCACTTATTCATTAAACAAATTAAAAAAGCACCTTGCAAGCATTCACATTGATAAATAATGAGAATATCCACAGTAAAATAAAATAATATTGTTTATATTTGGGGCATGATTGTTGTTACTGGATAATTTATTTTGGTCAGCCGGAAATCCAATGGCCAAAAACTGAAAATACACAAACATGGTAGAAGTCATAGAAATATTTGAAAATAATCTCACCATTATCAGTTTGTGAGGAACATGATCTTAATATTACAATATCTGATCTAGAAATGCAAACCATGCACAAACAGCAGCAGATAGGAGGGTAACGAAAATAGTGTTTGGTAAAACACTACAAAATATACTAAAGAATGTTTAAAATAGAATTCAGCAAAACTGTCAATTAAATAAAAAATTATGAGCTTTCCCTTTGAGGAAGAATTTGCTTTTGAGTTGTTCCTCTTTATCTGACATACATCTGATGTTATTTTCCAGTAGTTATTAATTGAACCTCCTTAGAGAATTTACCTCTTCAAATGATATATTCGTTTTGAAAGCACAGTCTCTGTGATCTCTCCCTCAAATTCAGGTAGACTTGTTTTTTTTCTCAACACAGATTTAGTTGTAATTGTAGTCAGAAACAAAGACCACAAATAGAAAATATAACAAACACAATGACAAAGATTCTTTGCACATACTCTTATAAGCAGTAGAGTTTAGCAACTTCTCTGTGAACAGAACTAAAATGGTTGGTGAAATTTATGTGGTCTACATCAGAAAGGAAACCAAGTACTGTTGATTAAAGATGACATAAACAGTTCACTGATCAATCTCATAAACCGTTATTTTGTCACGTATGAAAATAACGCCTTACTTCTTGTAACAAGAATACTTGTAATTTAATTTAGCTCCTTGTCACTCTACTGAATTGTAATCTACAGTATCTCTTTTCTCATGTGCAGCTGGTTTAATTCATCATGAACAGGCTAATCCTGTTGGGGATTACATGCTCATAAGGCAAACATTTGAATTTATTGCTTCTATTATATAAATGTGTAGACGTACAAAGTATTTTCTAGTTATTCAGTATTTATTTACATCAAATGTATTGCACTCTGTAACAACAAAAGAGTTCTGCAACAAATAAAATAGCAGCATCGATTTAACTTAGCAGACTTGAATTTTGTTAACGAAGAAGGCAAGGCAGAGGGACTCCGGGATGGAGTTCCAGAGATCAGGGGCAGAATGGCTGAAAACTCGCCAACTGATGGTCGGGTGGGTTGGGCGAGGGACGCAAAGCTGACTGACTGGAGGGAGTGGCCAGGGTGCTGAGGTGTAGGAGGTTGTAGGGGTAGAGTGGGCCAAGGCTGTGGATGGATTTAAAAATGAAGGACAAGGATTTGGGGTTTGGCGAGCCAGTGGAATCAGGCAAGGATAGGGTTGATTTGCTCATGGAGTGTGGTATTGGAGAAGAGGTGAGCTAGAGTTCTGGATGGTCTGAGGATTGTGTAGGTAGGAGCTGGGGAGTCAGTGAACAGGACATTTGAGTAGGTTAGCCATCTCTGTTAAAGTCAAACTAGTCATTTGCCTACAATATGCAGTGACAAAACTAAATCCCGTGGAGCAGTTTGAGATGTTTCAACAATGTGTTAGGGCACTATATCAAATGCAAGCATTATTATTATATATAATTGAAAAGAATTCACCACCCAATATTTAAGGAGTGGTGCGTGCACTCTGCCTATCGAATTTCAGAAAATATCAGGTTGGCAAAGACGAAGAGAACCCCAGAGTGTACATTGGGATACTGATGGGAGTTTAACCAACTAAAACCACAGATGCTGCCATTGTAAACACTGTCAGGCAAGTGTCCTGCTGCTGTCCATCTAGGAAAACCTTATGTATTAGGATTTTAGTTTGCATGGTTAAAAGGAGTCGAGTAGGAAGAATCATGACTCCTTGTGATTGATCTCCCTTCTGAGACCTGCTGACACCTGCTCCAGTCCAGGTTGACTGGACTTATCATTTGTGCCTTTGAGTATTGCAGACCTGTCTGGCTCAGGAATTGGGTTATTCAAGGCGACCATGAAGGGTTAATTTGATTCCAATACCAAGCACATCAGCTTGGAGCCAGTTCAGCCCAAGCGTCCCTCCTCCCCAAAGAAGATATGTACATGTGTGTATAAGCAAACAAACTGAAACAGAAAGGCTAAAGATAAAAAAATCTCCAGTTAGAGAGAGAAAAAAATCTCAACAGAAGTCATTTCTTGTGACGTGCAATGAGGGGACGTGAAGCGAAAGTTAAGTCGCGAAAGGAAAGCAAAGTCAGACAACACCAACATCAACTTGCATTTATATAGCGCCTTTCATGCGAACAGCGTTTCGGAAGCGCTGAAACGATCGCCGGATTTGGGAATACCTTAACTGGAACCTTCGCTGCCAACAAATAAAAACAGAAGGATTTCTGGGCGAAAGAACAAGGTGGTGCCAGTTCGCCTTCCACCGTCCTGGCACGTTACGTGTGCTCGTCCCAAACACAACAATAACAACAATCCTTGGAATCTGCTACAGCGCCTTATCACGTCCTCGGGACGTCTCAAAGCGCTTCGCAGGATACACTGTAAAGGGAATCGACTGTATATTTTTAAAAGTGTATATAAATATAAATGTGTTCTCCGCCCCCTCATTCCCCTTCCCCCACCAGCCCCAACCTTCCCGGACACCGTCAGTCCCTGAGCAGCCGCAGGAGGAGGGGGAGGAGGAGGAGGAAGGAGCTGAGGCGGTGCCGGAAGTTTGCCCTTTGGTGACGATCGTTTCCGGTGTCTGCCTGACCCAGTTCGCAGGGCTGCGAGTTCAAGATGGCGGCCATGGAGCCAGAGGAGGCTCCCTGTCTGCAGAAGTTTCTGATGGACTCCTCCGCCAAGGACGTCGCCTTGGTATGAAGCGGGAGTTGTTGTTTATATATATATATATGTGTGTGTGTGTATATAATCTATGTTTGTATGTGTGTGAAAAAAACATCCGTCCGGAAAAAAATATTCATGGAGGGGGAGGAGGAGGAAAGGAAGGAAGGGAGGGAGGGAGGGAGGGAGAGGCGGCTTCATTATTATTATTATTTTTATTTTTATTTCCAGACACAGCTGCTGTTTGTTCGATTTGGGAGAGTCGCTCAAGAGGGAGGGAGACAGGCAGGAGAGGAGGGAGGGAGACAGGCAGGAGAGGAGGGGGGAGGGAGGGAGACAGGCAGGAGAGGAGGGGGGAGGGAGGGAGACAGGCAGGAGAGGAGGGAGGGAGGGAGGGAGACAGGCAGGAGAGGAGGGAGGGAGGGAGGGAGACAGGCAGGAGAGGAGGGAGGGAGGGAGGGAGACAGGCAGGAGAGGAGGGAGGGAGGGAGGGAGACAGGCAGGAGAGGAGGGAGGGAGGGAGGGAGACAGGCAGGAGAGGAGGGGGAGGGAGGGAGGGAGACAGGCAGGAGAGGAGGGGGGAGGGAGGGAGACAGGCAGGAGAGGAGGGGGGAGGGAGGGAGACAGGCAGGAGAGGAGGAGGGAGGGAGGGAGACAGGCAGGAGAGGAGGGGGGGAGGGAGGGAGACAGGCAGGAGAGGAGGGGGGAGGGAGGGAGACAGGCAGGAGAGGAGGGGGGAGGGAGGGAGGGAGACAGGCAGGAGAGGAGGAGGGAGGGAGGGAGACAGGCAGGAGAGGAGGGGGAGGGAGGGAGACAGGCAGGAGAGGAGGGGGGAGGGAGGGAGACAGGCAGGAGAGGAGGAGGGAGGGAGGGAGACAGGCAGGAGAGGAGGGGGAGGGAGGGAGGGAGACAGGCAGGAGAGGAGGGAGGGAGGGAGACAGGCAAGAGAGGAGGGGGAGGGAGGGGGAGGGAGGGAGACAGGCAGGAGAGGGGGGAGGAGGGAGGGAGACAGGCAGAGAGGAGGGGGAGGGAGGGAGACAGGCAGGAGAGGAGGGGGGAGGAGGGAGACAGGCAGGAGAGGAGGGGGGAGGGAGACAGGCAGGAGAGGAGGGAGGGAGGGAGACAGGCAGGAGAGGAGGGGGAGGGAGGGAGACAGGCAGGAGAGGAGGGGGGGAGGAGACAGGCAGGAGAGGAGGAGGGAGGGAGGGAGACAGGCAGGAGAGGAGGGGGGAGGGAGGGAGACAGGCAGGAGAGGAGGGGGAGGGAGGGAGACAGGCAGGAGAGGAGGGAGGAGGGAGGGAGACAGGCAGGAGAGGGGGAGGGAGGGAGGGAGACAGGCAGGAGAGGAGGGGGAGGGAGGAGACAGGCAGGAGAGGAGGGGGGAGGGAGGGAGACAGGCAGGAGAGGAGGGGGGAGGGAGGGAGACAGGCAGGAGAGGAAGAGGGAGGGAGGGAGACAGGCAGGAAAGGAGGGGGGAGGGAGGGAGACAGGAGAGGGGGGGGGGAGGGAGGGAGGGAGTGCGGGTGCTCCCGAGAGGGGGAGGGAGGTATTGCTTAGCAAAGTCCTGCTCCAGGCCCGTGGCATTGCCCCAGTGAGACGAGGCGACCAGCGCTCCCCCACTCCCCCCCCCCCCCCGCCCTCCTCCCCGGGAGAAAGCGGTGGTGCTGTGTGTTTGTTTTGGTGGTGATGGTTGTTGTTGGGAGGAGAGAGAGAGAGAGAAGCAGTTTTAAGTTTGTTGTGTTACTGGAGGAGGAGGAGGAGGTGCGGTGCTGTGTGTACAGGGCCTGTGAGTTAGCAGCTGTCTCCCCCGCCTCTGCCTGAAGGTCTGTTGTTTGCTCTGCCCGCCCAGCCCAGCACTTCCTACTGTTGATGTGAACATCACTCAGTCGGGGGACAAAACCCCGTAGAGTTGGGTCAATTTCTTCGTTTTATTTTAAAAAAAACAATCAAACGCCAGGTTGGGATCCGGGAGGCGAGGGAGCTTTGGGTATTGCAGTCCTCAGGAAGAATTGACTTATCTCACCTTTTATTACAGTTCACTTACTTCCCTGGTGCGCTAAATTGACACACTGCTGCACATATGACATCTGAACCCTCTATGGTTATTTTCTTCATGTTAATTTTCTGTCTCATTCCATTTTGTCATATGTGTAGTACATGTACAAAAAAAAGAACGTGTCTCTATCGTAAAGAATTTCAAGACCTCTGCTGTGGTAACATCATCTGACAGATGTTTCAGTTTCCTGGCTTTTTGAAAAATATAATTCTGCTTTTTAAAATTGATATCAGAAGTGACATCTTTTCAAACCAATTGAGCAATAACCCATAATGAGTCCAAAACAAGATATGTATGGCCTTAAAGCAGATTTATTTTCCTGTGTATTTCTATATGAACCCTAAGAGGATGCTTGTATGGGTGACTTGTCAATTATTTTAAACTCGTAGAGCTATTAATATTTGTAATTTGTATTATCTCAATGCTGGCATCCAGATGGAGTCAGCTATCATGGTCATACATAATCCATCATTTATTTGACTTTCTATTTTAAATGTTTAATCCTCTTGGCACATAGCCACTTCGTATGGGGCCTATTCTGGTGACAAATTTGATCTGTTTGGATCCTGTTCCAATAAAGATACTGATATTATTGCTCTCAAAAGAGATCAGGAAATTGGCTTCTGATCTTTCATACACGTGTATTGGGAGAAAAGTGTAATCTGAGCAATTGTAGACCATTTATTATGATGACAGCAGTCTCCTATGCAGAACATTTAAAGTGCATGTAATTCAATTAATGTGGAATTTCCAGGTAATCATTTCTGGATAAACTTACAGTGACAATGTCACTGGTCAAGGTCAAGCACTAAGATACCAGTTGGTTTCCTCACGAGAATGTCGTATGATCAAAGGCAATAAAAAACATACAAAAATCACCTGAAGGCAGATATGTAAAAGGGTAGCACAATGGTTTATTTAATGGCTTCATGGTCATTGCAATGAATGCTGTGGAACAGAATGATTACATAACAAAATTACCAAGTGAGATTCCTAGAATGTCCTGAAAAGGATGAGTCATGGTGACATGGTCTCAGCTTTCCTGAGTTGATTTGAGGAAAAATTGGCTACTTCTGTTCCCAATCACTATCAAATGACCAGAGACGCATGATGATAAATACACAGATTTGATTGTCTGGTGAGTACTTACATGGGTTCATCTGGGCTGCCACAATGTGTTCTGTTCAAGTTTACACAGGAAAAAAAATTGCCTGTTGCATTCATGGTTGTGTTAATAAAGCTGATTGTTGTGTCAGTACGGGTATTATAATGTACCTTGGTACCCACTAAAGGGAACAAAAAAGCTACGACTCTGATCTTGATTGCTTCTGGAAAGTGAACACATATGGACATTGATTGTGGACTATTTTTATAATGCCTTTTATTTCGGGTGGCCTTCTCAAAGCGCAAATTCCACCCTTGGTTGCCTGTGGAACTGTATCTCACGTACTTGGTGCTTTAAGACAGTATAGGGAGAAAATTGGAAGTTAACTACTATTCACTTATAGTTTAGTTCCCTGAAGTAAAATATTTAGATTTATGTACTGACTTCAAGAATGCTTCAAGTTTATCGTGATTTATAGAGCCTCTTAAAGCTATTTATGATACAGTACAACTATGAAATATTGGAATGCATTGTTTTTAGTTTGAGTTTTGTCCTTTTGTTTTAGAATATTTGGAATAATAATAATAATCCTTTCATTTGATATAGCACCATATTATGTCTTCAAGATGTCTCAAAGTGCTCCACAGAATATACTGTAAAGTAAACTGACTGTATATTTTGTGGGTGAAAAGCGGTAGCCAATTGTGCACACAGCAGTAGAGTTGAATATTGGTAGATAATTCTAGTTTATTGGGGATTTTTTGATCTTCTCAGTGTACCTTTTTGCCTGAGCCACAAAGACCAGTAAGGTTTGTCTTGAGACTAGCAGGCTGCAGACATCTTTGGTTTGTGCTGATGGGGGCAGTTCACCTCTGTATCCCTGTTCAAAAGTGATTTTCAATTCCTACCTCTGATTGCTGTTGATTTCTGCTTGAAAGATCATGTGGCTGTTAGATTATGACAGAACAGGATTATGATTACATGTCTCCCAAAATTGAATATCTTTTTAATGTTATTGTTTGGGTTCACATTTAGAAAAAATGGACTAATGTTCCGTTTTCACTGACAAATTTTAGGAAAGACATATTTAGCCTTTGAAGTGTCCAGCAATATTGTTTCTAGATTAATACCAAGGATGAAGAGGCTTAGCTGTGCTCAGAGGCTGGGTGGACTATAGTTATACTCCCAAGTGTAGAGGAAATAAAGGGGTAATTTGACTGAGATATATAAAATAAAGAAAGAAATTGGCAGGTTAGATTGTGAGCAGTTCTTCCTCTATTGAAGGGATTCATTACAAGGGACCATAACTTTAATACCAGAACTAAGACAGTTAGAACTAAGGTGAGGAAGCATTATGAAGACATGGAATGATCTTCCCTGAGAAAAATGCACAGGCAGTATCAATACTAATAATAATAATCCTTAGGGATGTTTGAAGAGAGTGAGAGACAGATATTTGGGTGGTCGAGATATTAAAGTGTATGGTGAAAAGGTAAGGTATCAGGATTGAAAGATCTGCCATATCTAGTAAACGAGTAGAATAGGCTCACTGGACCAAATGAGTTTCTTTTGATTCTGTTTTCCCATGAATCTCTGTTGGTAAAAATGTCACCTATTGAATTGTATGGTGATGCGTTACAAAGAGTATTACTTTGTATGCACATTTGTATTTGTCGTAGGTCATGATACTTATGTTTGATATGGTCCCTTATGGTTTATTGAATTGCGCATAATGTGTTAACAAAAGCTGTTACTGTATCTGCACATTTGTCTCTTAATAAGTCATGATGTGTCCGTTTGAAATCGTGACTTATGTAGAATTTGGATAATGCCAACACATACACTTTCTAGCAGAGATTGTTGGGGAGGATCGAGGAATGGAAACCCTTGCTTTTTTCTTGCTACTGGTTCCCGACTCAAAAAATGAAGGTATTAAGGTTGAACTGTAGTCTCTGCATGAAATCTGCTAATTGTATCAATTGAGAATCAAACTTTCAACCATCTTGTCCATTTCTTGGTTACTTTACACTTATTTAATATCAAAATTAATCTGGATTTTGACACCACCTGTAAACTGGTCATATTTGCTAACAACAGAAAAATGGGACAATGGTAGAGATAGACTATTTCAATTTGGTTCGGGTTAGGTGCGTATACATACATGTATAAATGTATTATACATAAAAAAGCCCTCAATGAATGGAATCAAATGAGAACAGGAAAAGGAGGGAATAATTGGTTTTGAAGTATTTAATCGTAAAAGCTGGATATGTTTGATATTTAATCATTTATTTCCCAGAACTGGCTGCAAGCAACCGATCTTACCAGAGATGTATACCAGCATCTTGCCTATTATGTACCAAAGATTTATTGTAGAGGCCCCAACCCTAATCCACTCAGAGAAGAAATGCTTGCTCAACACATTCTGCTGGGGCCTATGGAATGGTATCTATGCGGAGAGGATCCTGCAGTGGGAATCAACAAACTTGAAAAAGCCAACAAAACATCGCATCTCTGTGGGCGTGTCTTCAAAATTGGAGAACCTACCTACTCTTGCAGGTACAAAAAAATTACAATGAATCATTCTGATGTATTCTAAGTGTATGCAGTTGCTGCTCTGGTTGGGATAGTATTTGTAAACGTTTTTGAACAGCAATTATACGTCTGACTTAATCACACTTGATGATATTTGACTCATAATACTATGTTTGCCTGAAATTTCCAGCTATCACACGTGATACGACAGCAGCAATTGTGATGTACTGACCTCTCAGCTGAATCTGATCTTTTTTCTCCTTTCTGGCTTAGCCCAAAAATGTTTTTTGAAAGGTTAGGTTGGAGTAGTCCTTCAAGACGAAATGGGTAAATGCATCACCTGATATGGTTACTGAACCATACACATCAGATTTGATACAGGATATCAGTTGGATTAGGGCAACTGAAGTAGTTCTAAATGTTTCTGGATAAGGGAGAATAAAAATCATTTTTCTGATAGCGAGCGGAAGTGACTGCTTGGTTCAAACAAAATTGGTTGTGATTTCTCCTCCTGTCCATTGTTGCAGATGAAGAATGATTACTCGAGTGACTAGTTTGACTTGCTGCCCACAAAACCATTCAAAAGCATGTTAGCCCTTTCAGGAGAGGGGGGAAATTTTCAAATTGGGGACAGCTGTAGAATCATGAGTATTAGATTCTCAATTGGGAGCCCCTTTGGTAATGTTTCAGTCTCAAAATGACATTTTACCTTTGCATTTTAATCATAATAATAATCCTTGCATTTGATATAGCGCCTTTTCATATCTTCGAGATGTCTCAAAGCGCTTCACAGAATATACTGTAAAGTGAATTGAATGTATATTATAATCTAATATACCTTGAACTGCTGACCAAACATTCTTCAAAAAGCAGATGGAGGCTCCTGGAGTATAAACATCGACGTAAATATGTTGTGCTAAATTGTGTAACATTCTGTGTTCTATATCCCTTGGGCCACTGACCAAACATGAAACCATTCTACGTGTGGCTTGGTTGTTCTGTCCTTTTGTATGAAGGCAATATTAATATTCAGATGGGTAAGGAAATTTTAATTCATAGAAATTTGTTTTTTAGTAGGTCATTCGGTTATTGAGCCTCTGAAAACGATTTAATCAAAAATAGTAAGAATGTTGAACAGCCAGACAGCATGCATAATGTTAAATTGCAATTGGTATTTTTGGATCTAAAAGTCAGATGTTTTTTGTTGAATGCCTTTTTGATCCAAGTAACCTTGAAGTAGGATGTTGAACTATTTTTTGCCTCCTAGTTATGGTTATGGTTCTACATAGAACTTTCTTGAAATGCAATTTTCCAGGTTTATATAATATCCATCCTGACTCAATTTGTGATTGATTGGTATATTATGCATTAAAACACATTAACCTGGATTTGTTTCCCATGGTGGGAGTTTTTACAAATAATTGGAACTGGAATCACTGACCCTGCACCATTTATAATGCTGTACTTGGGCTTTAATTATAGTGGCAAACAATAAAAGCAGAAAGCAAAATAGCTGTTGGGTCATCGTATTGCAAATATTGAATTTAGAGTATACCAATTTCATACCTTGATACTGGTGGGCTCTATGCTTAAATGTGCTGGGGTGAGTTAAGGTGTTTCCTGCCCTTAAACTTTGCCTTCCATATGCATCTTCAAGTGTGGAGAATGCACTTAAAATTGTGAACAATATAGGGGAAAAGGGATGAAAGTTCTCGCATGTGTTTTCTTAAATTGCAATCTACTTGCTAATAGATACTATTTCTTTACAGCACACCTGCTCCAATACCCAAGTGTTTGATTAGAACTACATCCTGAGAAATATCATCTCTGGTAAGGTCCTGTGAAAATCTCTCACAGGGCCAAAGGATTGAAGCAGCTATGATGATTGTACTCATCTTGTTTGTCCTGCCATAAACATCCTTTGTTTTTCTGTTTTTCATTTGTGTATCTGATGCAATGACATATGGTCTGCGCCTGCATGAAACTTTTGCCCGAATGGTCACTTTCAAAATAACTATGGAGGCCCAGTGCAGCACCTGATATTCAGATGAATTTCCTCTCTGCCCTTTTCCAGCTACTATTAGATAATGACCAATTGGCAAACTTAATGCCATTCTTTATGTATGTGCTGACCCTTCCTTCCATTGTCTGCTGCTACCACTGGTAGTGTAAACCCAGTCTTAAGGTGAAAGTCTTAAACTCCATCATTCAACATATTTAAGAGGGAACTTAGTGCATATATTTGGAAGAAGGCAATAGAAGAATATGGGACTGGGGATTTAGAGGGCAGAGGCTCCTGTTGAGTTTCAACACCGACATGGATCAATTGGGCCAAATAGTTTGTTTCCTTGCTGTAATGTTTTATGTAATTCTATTTAACTTTCCTTTAAATTTAGAATTTACACTGTTCAGCCTTTATCATTGTGTCCCATTGATGACAACAATGGCATCTCATCAGCACAAGAAGCATTGTGTTGCAGTGAGCTGCCTTTGTCTGTACTTGCACTTGAAGTGCTCAGTCTGATCCTTAAGAGTTGCTGCAACATCTTCTAATATATTTTCACAAGGTCCTTAAAACTGAGCTATTTACTTTGCTCAATTTTTTGGCTGAAAACCTCCAGCTTGGCAACATCTTACAATTGGTTCTTGATTCAACTCCCCTCTTTCTGTTGTCATCCGTTGTGTCCTACTTACATTTTGTGCTTGAATTGCTTTCTCAAAAAATAAGTTCATTTACATAATACTAAGTGCTAATCCATCCAGCGATTATTTGAGCTGTTGGGTAGTTGAGTTCTGTTTTGTCACGTTAGGTGAATCCATTAGCATTCCTTAATATCATTGAAACCATAACTTATATTTTTTTTAAAGAAATTATTTGAACAAATGACAACTACCTTTCCTCTTAGGAAAATGTGCTTGTTTCTATGAGGTTTGTCGTAAATCAAAGGTTAAATATTTGGAGCTGCTCACCTCGGAACCCACCAAATGCATCATTGTACTTTCAGGCTAATAATGGTCCTTGGAGTATAAATGTAGCAGAAGCTTAACTGTAGCATTAGAAATAACTATTACAGGTATAATTGAGGCTTTGTTCAAATCTTTAATGGGTCAACGACAATTAATTTAAATATTGAAGGAACTTTCCTGCCAAGATACTGTTGGTGGTAGAATTGGCATTCTTTTAAAATTGTAATAATTCTAGTTATAGAATTTGTAAACAAAGGGCTTTGCTCTTAATAACCAGCGTGAACTATGATACAAAAAAAACATATCGGTCCTAGAAGAATTAAACTATCTTTATTGTTTTTTTAAAAACAAATTTGTATATAAGTAATATCGAAATGGTTAACAGTCATTGAAGTGTTTCTTGTGAGCATTGTGGTAATCTGTTTTGAGAGACCTAGTTTTGAATCTTATCCTATAAACTTAGTGTTTGGATTTCTAGTTGGAGTTCCTTGTTTTTGCTATATTTATGATGCGATATTTTGCATCGAAAATCACCACAAGAGATTCAGCTGAATCTTCTGTGATGTTGTATTCTTCTGTATCACTTTTATCTTCAAAGCTACAACTCATTGGAAAAATTCTGGACAGCAACATAGAAGCGCATGTAACAGACATTTCATTATTTAAATTAAGAACTTAAATTTCTTTTCTACCTACAACTTTGTTCCCTTCCCCACAGATTGTTAGGAAACTTTTTTTTCAGATGAAGAGGGATTTAAGCAAATGAACAAATTTCTAAAAGTGAAACCTTTTAAGATCAATAGTATAAAAGATTTTTGCACAATAGATTTTTAATTTCAGTGGTTTGAACAGAACCAGGAAAAGGTAAAGCTAAGATAGGTACTTGGGAGTTACAGAATATGGAGTGGGAGGCTTCATAAAAGAATCAAGTGAGAGCAAATATCTCTTCAAGGTCTGTGCTACAAATATATTCTGGATGGTTGAGATATGACATGGTTTATTTCAGATTACACCAATCATAAATAATGCGTAACTATTGTTTCTGCACACTTAATTGTCAAATGGAACACTATTTCTGTGCTCTTAAATGTTGGTTGTGTCATGCTTGGAAAGATCATTCTACATTCCTGAAAGTGTGCATTTTCTTAAGTAAACCTGCAGCTTGCACATAATGTTCTTCAAAGTTGAAGCTCAGTGTGTGTATTCAGTGAGCAGCTGAGCAGTATGAACCATGAAGATCCAAGATTTATTGTGCGCTATGCTGTTAGCTGATCTGAGTGTCAATAGAGATATTGCTATTTTCTCCAGCTCCCAGGTTTACTGCATGAAAAGTCTGCCAGAATTGCCATTCTAGGTCACCATATATTGAACTGTGTTGGAGATGTATGTATGTGGACAGGATCAAGCTTCGCTATGTCTCCTCCATAGTTGAGCAGCTTTCTGGTGCCGTGTCCAAGTACCCATTCAAGTGTGACCCTTAAAAATAAGAATATCATTTCTCCTGTCAATTATTATGACCCTCTGGAGAGATACCAAAAGGATTTTTTTTGCACAAAAGGGCAAGACAGGAAGGGGAAATAAAAACAAAAGTACTGTCTCGGGAAGGAAAGGTGCATTATCTTACACCTTTGAAATGTCAGTTGAGGATTGTTAATTAGCATGCATGCTTGCCCAAGTGCAAAACACAACCTATTTTTAATGATAATCTCCCATTTCACGTGCATATCAAGATGCAGATAGAATTTAGACCATCTGTAGTTTGTTTTTAAGTGCACATGGAGTGGTTGCATTGAATGATGTACATTGGAATCTTAAGATCTTATTATAGCTGCAAGTTCCAAAGGTCAAAGGGAGTTTTTACTGTACAATAACATTTCTGAAATTTTAGAACTATTTAAAAGCATTATGTTGAAAGGAATGACAACCATGTCCATAGATATTCAGAAAATTAGGTAAAGATAGTGGTCAACATCCAGTCATTGATGAAGTTGGATAAAACTGAGGATTTTATGTAGGATTCATTAGATTCTCTCAAAATCCAAACCAGTTTCTTCATATTGAACAAAGTCTATGTTCAGTTTTTTGCTTTCATTTGCTACCTCTCCAAAACATTGCATCTTATTCCAGGAACAAAAGAGGAAGGAAACTGGGCATCATTTACTGGAAGACTGGGTTATTTGTGCTCTTTCGCAATCCAGCAAGTTCCTCTTTTTTTCTCTCTCTCTTGATAACTTTCTTCTCTCCAGCTTTTTGGTGAGCCCAAATTATTTAATTAACTATTTAACTAGGGTTCTAATCCTGTCCTCACTGAATCTTGCACAGATATTGCTGGATTGTGGTTGATGATTAGAACTTCCTTTGCCAAGTCCAGGGAAATGTTTACATTCTCAAAGCACAGATCAAGGGTTAAACCTGGGAGGTTGTCAATCTATAGCTCAGCCTCATTTGATGAAATTGCTAAATCGTTTTTGAGATGATTCTGAATTTGTTTGGAGAATGACCAGCAGGTGCCACTATCCTGGCAGAAGTCTGAAATGCATTACCTTTTGTCCTCATGATTGGGGAATGGTATAATGGAAAGAATATGGAGAAAATACCTTGAGTGAAGGTGAAGAGGAAAGTGTATAAATGCATGTCCAATGAAGATCAACACAATAGATTGTATCCTCAGTGAAGAATCATTGTGTGCCATCAAATTTATGTTATCGTGAGGGCCATGGTTTAAGTGACCCTGGCTACCCTGTATAAAGGGTGCTGCATAAATGCATGTTGTTGTTATGAATGAGGGAGCCATAAATCTCTTGTTAAGAGGTGTGAATTGTTGCTTGTCATTATCGTGAGGTTTGTTTTGAGTGCAAATTAAGAACCTCAAATATAGTTTTACAGCAGTTAATTTATTAATAAAACTGGAACTTGAAGAGGGCAATTATAATCAGCGGGTCTTCATGACACTCCCCAAATTAGGAATGTGATAATTAGCTGCAGCTAATTTTCACTAAAACCAGCTTGTTGCAAGCCCTGTTGCAGAATTTTTAAAAGCTAATCTTCTGTGTGAAATAAATCAAACCCCAAAATGTTGCTGAATTGGAAATATTCCTTCACACGTAGAAATTTGTCGCACAGCAATTAGAGGATCTAGGTCTTTTACATTCGTAAAAATCCCTGTGATGTAAAGCACTCTTAAAGGGAGAAAGTTGGCAGAAGAAGTAAAATATGCAAAATTGTCCGATGTTTGGTTATGCATTTTAACAGTGTCAATTTTGAGAGAATGTAATGAATCCTACGTAAAATCCTCAGTTTTATCCAACTTCATCAATGACTGGATGTTGACCACTATCTTTACCTAATTTTCTGAATATCTATGGACATGGTTGCCATTCCTTTTAACATAATGCTTTTAAATAGTTCTAAAATTTCAGAAATGTTATTGTACAGTAAAAACTCCCTTTGACTTTTGGAACTTGCAGCTATAATAAGATCTTAAGATTTGTATGTACATCATTCAGTGCAACCACTCCACGTGCACTTAAAAACGCGGCAGCCAATTGCGCACAGCAATGTCCCATAAATAGTCGTAGATTGAAAATGACCAATTTATTGTTGTTTTGTTTTTTTGGAGGAATTATTATTGCAGGTTTGTTGCTGTGAACAACAACAAATTGCATTTATATAGCGCCTTTCATGTTGAGAGGACGTCTACACAAGCATGATGTGAATCTCTTCATTGCCGAGTCAACATTATATTGAGACTTCCACATTGTTTGCACAGGAACACACAGATTTTGTCCCATGTTGTCAACAGTTGGAATATGCAGCCCCTTAATACAAGATGAAGGAATTCAGGGGGGTGGGTGAGATGAGAATTTACTGTTTAAATTTTTTACTACATTTTAATCCTGCAGCAGTTTATTTCTGAATTAAGTGTGTAGGGACAAGTCCCTTACAGTGATCTTTCTGAAGTTTGTATACAAGCTTTTCCTTTTCCCCTGAAAATTCTGAGAAAGTGTGCCCCAGGAACTTTTAGTGCTTGGTTGGCATTGTTTTCAATGTATACTTTACCAACCTTACATAATCAAAATAAGCTGTCATTTCGTAGCGATTAATTCAAAGTTACATATCACAGAAATTCTTGGCTTATCTAAACTAGTAGACATCTTGTTTCTAACTCAGGAAAGATCCGCTCAGTCAGTGTCCTTCTGTACGTAGAATTCATAAACATTATCTTTGGCTGCATCAGTACTCCAGAAATGAGAGGAAAGGCACCAACCTGTCTGCACGATTTGACCATGTGGATGGAACATGTCTGTTCAGCGCCTTGGGGCGTCCTTCCGACGTGAAAGACACGCTATAAATGTAATTTTGTCTAATCCTCTCCTCACCTGACATATTTGTAGTACTCCCATACTCCTCAGGTTTAGAATAGATAACACAACTGAAACATTGCATTGTGTGAATCTGTGTGGATTAGTTTGGCACTCCAGGGGCTTTTGGAGTCCTGTAGCATAGTGGTTAGAGCCCTCGCCTTGTAAGCAAGAGGACTCCACACACCTCTATTTATTTAGCAGTAAGCAGAAACCCGGTTGTTAATCGATTGGCGGATCGCTTTTCCGGGGGTAATAATCCCTTTTAAAAAAAATTATAATTTGATTGCTCAATCCACGACTGTTAACCGGTTAACCCGAAATTGTGCAGTAATCCTGACACTGTATAAATCATTGGTGAGACCGTACTTAGTGTACTGGGTACAGTTTTGGTTGCCGTAGAACAAAAAGGATATTGGAGAAATCGAGAAGATACAGAGGAGGGCAACCAAAATGATTGAGGGAACGGAAGACTGTGAGGAGTGACTAAGTAAATTGGGCATGTTCACACTGGAAAAGAGAAGATTGATTGCTGACTTTAAAATTCTGAAGGGGCAAGACAATGTAGATCATGACAGGCTGTTTCAACTTACCCATAATAGTAAAACCAGAGGATACGGCTTGTGATTAAAGGAGGGTAAATTCAGAACGAATCTACGCAAACATTATTTCAGTGAGCGAATAGTGAACCTGTGGAACAGATTCCCCAGGGTGGCGGTTGAAGCAGTAAGTGTTGATTTTTTCAAACACAGGAACACTGAATTTCTTATGTTTGTGGGATACTGCTGTGCGTGTTTCGCCCACAAAATACAGTCAATTCACTTTACAGTATATTCTGTGAAGCGCTTTGAGAGATGTCAAAGACATGGTAATGCACTGTATCAAATGATTATTATTATTATTTACCTTCTGAGCTGCTGAAAAAACAATTGTGTGCAATTTTATAGAAATAAAATTTTCAGGGAAAGCCTTTCCTCTCAACTCTGAGGTTAGGGTATGTGCTTATGCAGACATAGAGTACTTTTTCTGAATTCTAGGAACAGGAGGGCACTGATTGAGAGGATCTTGAGTATGAAGGAAAATGTCGATTAGTTACATAAGACAGGAATTTCTAAGAATATACGAGTCTCTTGTGCATTGGGCAGAGCTGCATAATACATGCATATGTTTTGCTATTTTAATTTTTTAAATATCTTTTGCCTTCAACTCCTCAATTGGAAGAATTTTTTTTAACCTTACAGTCACCTCTGAACTAAATCAACATCCTTCCTCGGTTAAATTTCTGTGAAACACGCTTTGACGATATGATGGTATCTCTCAATGCTTAGACTGAAATTAGAATATTCTCCCACTTCAACCTTTTATATAAAAAGTACATGTATAACCTTTTTCTTTTTTTCTCTTTCTCAGGGATTGTGCAGTTGACCCAACCTGTGTGTTGTGCATGGAATGCTTTTTGGCCAGTGTGCACAGAGAACATCGATACAGGGTAGGTCCAGTAATTATGTACCATATTCAGTTTCACATTTTATTTTGGCAATGACAGTGGTAATGACCATGTAAAATAGTTCATCATAAAATTCCAAACTTAGTCAAAGCCGTATGTTTTGCATTACAAATCAAAATTAGGATTAAATCAACCAATTTAACTATAAACAGCATGTCAGTCTGAAGTGTGGGTTTCTCTAACAATTCTACACATCTCACCACGTGGTGTGATTGTGAAGACATGGACCAGGTAGATTTCAGTTTTCAGTTCTTATGAGCAAATTTCCTAATGTCAGGAAATGTTACTACAGATGGTCTCAGTTCCCCAGGTGATGAGAGCAAAATATTAACATTATCTTGCCATGTTGCATCAAGTGAAAATGTTACAACAACAAGATTCCATTTATAGAGCGCCTTTCACGTCGGGAGGACGTCCCAAGGCTCTGTACAGTTGGGTCAGGACCCGAGCAGGGGGGAAATGGTCAGGGTGAGGGGAGGGAAGGAGGATTTCAGCTTTCACAATGGAATTGCAAAAACTAGGAATAAATCTCTGGTTTCCTTTTTCAAACAAAGTGAAATTGTGGGTTAATGCAGTTGGTTTTCTCTGATGTAAACTCCAATTTTCTTGTGAGAACAAAATGTTTGACTTGTAAACTGAATGACTTTGTATTTTAAAACCATGTATCTTAACCCGCTCTGCCTTCCCTCACCTCTGTAACATCGCTCGACTCCGCCACTACCTCACTCCTCAGGTCTCTGAAACTCTTGTTCATGCCTTCATCACATCCAGGCTCGACTATGCAAATACCCTGCTTGACGGCCTTCCCAACTCCTCCCTCCACAGGCTGCAGATAATCCAGAACTCTGCAGCCCGTGTCCTCTCCCGCACCAAACTCTGTGACCCCATCTCCCCCATTTTCGCCCGATTCCATTGGCTCCCTATCCTTCAGAGAATCCAGTTCAAGATCCTGGTCCTCACATACATAGCCCTCCATGGCCTCGCCCCACCCTACCTCTACGACCTCCTAAGCCCCTATCAACCCTCCTGCTCTCTCCGCTCAGCCGGCTCTGGCCTGCTCCACGTCCCTTGACCCACCCGTCCCACCATTGGCAGGAGAGCCTTCAGCCACTCTGCCCCCAACCTCTGAAACTCCATCCCCAATCACTCCGCCTCGCCCCCTTCTTTGCCTCCTTCAAGTCCCGCCTCAAAACCCTCCTCTTCACCCATGCCATTGGTCACCCCCCTTCCCCTCCCCTCCCTTCTCCCTCCCTGACCCCAGCTCGGGTCTGAAATGCAGTACACTGTCTTTTGGGACGTCCTCCTGATGTGAAAGGCGTTTTACAAATGTAATCTTGTTGTTGTATTTTAGTCTCTTTAAGGAAAGATTAACTGGTTTCTTGATGGCAACTGTTGCAGTTAATGTAGAACTTGTCAATAAAATACCTGTTTCATCTTAGTTCTCCAGGGTTGCTAGGCAATAAGATTTTCCCTTCCCAAGCCCAGCCTGCTGTGTGTTTTGGGCTTTGTGGCTATTATGATGTAGATATAAATTGTAACCTGTTCGTTGCTGGTTGTTTGTGATCTAGATGACTACATCTGGTGGAGGTGGTTTCTGTGACTGTGGAGATACTGAAGCTTGGAAGCAAGGCCCTTATTGTCAGAAACATGAACCAACTGCTTTGGAGGCTATGGAGGAGGTTTGTCGTCTTTTGAAATCTGATTCAATCAATCTAACTTTGCCCTGTATCTTTGTCCTTATAAATAATTAGGTTTCAAAATGATACAACACAGAAATGGGCCATTGATGCAGCTAGCCTGTGCTAGTGCTTATGCTCCACACAAACCTTCATCCCTCTTATTATTTTCAACTATATTAAACCTCACGTTGGGACTTTGAGTTTACAATCTAAGATGTTGCAGTGGAACAGGGAGCATTGAATTGTGTTTCCTTCCTTTTAATTAGATGTTAAACTGAGATCCTGGCTGTTATTCTCCCTTTGTTGTGCTGTGTCAGGAGGAATACCAACTAATAGAATTATTGAAAACAATATCCTGTATGTAACTGGTAGATTCATATGTCGAGCAACTTGGGAACAATTTAGTTATTTGACGTGAATTAACCCAATTTTCTCAATTGCAACATTTCAATTTTCATGTGATGCACCCTAGATTGCTCCATTTCAGTTCAGTTTGGACTGTTACAATAAGAATAATCCTTGCATTTGACATAGCATCATATCACATCAACAGCATGTCTTAAATTGCTTCACAGGATTTACTATAGATTGCAGTAACTGTAGTAAGCATGGCAGCAACTTTGCACATACCAGTATACCACAAGTAGGTTTGAAGTGAATGACTGATTCCATCTAGTGATGTTTGAGGACACGGAAAACATCCCTTCTCTTTTTCAATAGTGCCATGGGAATTTTAATGTGCATCTTCTCAGACAGACAGTTCCTCATTTATGTATCATCCAGAGTATCGTTCAGCATTCTTCTATGACATTTTGACATTATTTTCACAGGATCCATTGGCACATTTGTCTGAGGACATGATTGGACGAACGTATAACATTTTTGCCATTGCATTCAAATATGCTGTAGATATCCTTACCTGGGTGAAGGAAGATGAGCTTCCTCTTGGGTTAGAGCTCCCGTAAGTGTTTTAATTTCTAAATTTCACAAGATGTGATTTCTGATTTTTGAATTGCATGTGTTTTTGGTTAATGAGGACCTTGTAAGAAAATTTTAACCATTCCATGTTAACTTTTTCTTAAGGGAAAAAGAGGATGCTTACTTCTGCATGCTGTTTAATGATGAAGTCCACACTTACGAACAAGTGATTTACACCTTACAAAAGGCTGTGAACTGTACACAGAAAGAAGCTGTTAGTTTTGCAACCACTGTGGACAGAGACGTGAGTTTTCTTTTTTCTGGTGTTTTGAGAGACATTTCCAACGTTTAAGAAGAATGTTTTGACATCAAAAATGTGATTGAAGTTTACATTTATTCTACTTATTATTCTTGTAGCCATTTGTTTGCTTCTCACCATGTCTCTCTACTGCCCCTCTCTGTCCCCCTCCCGGCCTGTGCGGTCCACTATTAATTATGAATTTGAGTATCTGGTTTCTCAAAGAAAGCAGCACTTATGCAATCTGTTCTTTGTAAAATTTAGAGAATCATTCTAGTAGCATCTTCTCTGCCTTGAGCTATTATTTTAGAGCTTAAATTGTAACATTTCACTATAAAATACCTTTCTCTGTTTTGTAGGGTCGTAGATCAGTTCGATATGGTGACTTTCAGTTTTGTGAGCAGGCAAAAACTGTAATAGTGGTAGGAACTTTGCTTATTCTCCTTCTTATTTTGAATAAATGTTGCAAGATGCTGGTAAATTCCTTTGTGCTTGAAGAGTCTGACAGTTCTGATTTAAAAATTTGTTGGTGTTGCTCTAGAGAAATACCAGTCGACAAACCAAACCATTGAAGGTGCAAGTAATGCATTCATCAGTCGTTGCACATCAGAGCTTTGGCATAAAGCTGCTAGTTTGGCTTAGCCATGTGATTGGCTATTCAGGTAAGTGCTGTCAGAAAATAAGTTGATTTTATGTTCTTGTCTACACCAAGCTCTGTTATCTATTGAGGAGAGTGCTTGTGTTTACATAGAATGCAATACAGTTGACAAATGGCGTGATGTACCACCAATAGAAATAGAGAAAAATAAGTTGCACAATATTTTTTCTCTCTGCAATAAAGACCCCATACTCATGCAGTTGACATTAGGAAAGGGTTCCTTGGTGCAGAGTTGATGCATATTGTGAAAAACGCTGGCTGCAACCAGAGTAGATTCATTGACTAAAGTTGAGGAAGGAGCTTTGAATTGAGTGTTGGGTAGATAGCAGAGCTGAAGCCACCTGATCAACCCTGGTTGGTCATTACTATATTGCTAGTATCTAACTTTCCCAGGATCAGCTCTTCCTCTTGTTCATCACGTTGAACTCAATGGTTCTGCTCCCGATGGCTCTTTGCCGTATTCCTACTAGGCACCTTATCAAAGCAAGAATTTTTTATAGAATCATGGAAATTTCCAGTACAGAAGGATGCCTTATGGCCCATCTAGTCTGTACCGGTGTTCATAAACAGTCCTTTCAATCCCATTGCCCATCCCTATCCACATACCTCCTCATTTTATGGAAATAAACCGTATGATTTTTTTTCAAATGTTCTGCTCCACTCATGTTTCAGAAACTGCCACAAGTAAAATCAGCTATACTTAGAAGTGAAAGTCAATCGGTTAAAAAAAAATCACCCAAATTTTAATGTTTAAAATCCAAATTTGCCTATTTTTTTTCCTGGTGTCCGTGATTGTGTGTTGACACCCACTCAATTGCAGTGCAAAGTCCCAGGTTAGGGGTGTACAAAAGTAGATGAGACTACAGAAGAAGGGTATGTAATTTCAGTACATGTTGGGAAAAGCAAATTTGGTCCTCACCCTATCAATCCCTTCATGCCCTAGCACCTCCCGATTCTCTGATTTTCTCTCCCACTCCTCTGCTTGCATCCTCCACTGGCCAATTTGGTCTTACTGCATGTCCCTAGTTCCACCACCGGTGGCTAAGCCTTCAATTACTGCATTCCTAAGCTCTGAATCTCTCTCCATCTTCTCCCCTCTCTATGTGTCTTTAAATCTCCACTTACAGCCTAACCCTTTGACTGCTAAGGGGTTATCTCCCCTTCTCCTTTCTCCCTTGTTCGGGATCCCATCCATCATTGTTTAAAACTTCCAAGATAATTTCCTGCATGAAGGGCCTAACTAAACACAAGTTATTGTTTGATTGGGTAAATGGAGGAAACCTTAAAAGATGTGTGGTATGCATCACTGAGCCAGATTAGAAAGATGGATGGCTTTTCCTTTGGTGTTAGCATAAGCATTTGCAAATTGTTATTGAAACTGAAGTCAACGTTACTTCTTTTTGCCTAATGAAGGTGGATTAAGGCGGATACTATGTCAAGTGGGGTTACAACAAGGACCAAATGAAGAAAATTCCTCTCTTGTTGATAAACTGATGCTTTGTGACTCAAAATTGTGGAAAGGTAAAGTTCCATGAAATGAGCAACACGTTGTTTACTTTGCAATCATTCTGCATAATATATTATGGGGGGGGGTCACTTAATTTGGTCAGGTGGGGCGATTTAAGCCTCTGATTTCTATGGGCACTGCTATTGGTGGCTTGTCAGCAAATAGTATGTATTTCTGTTGGTTTAATTGCTGTTATATGCTGGGTCCCAAGTTCTATTCAATTTATTCTTGTTGCATTTGAGGGATTACAGTATGAGAATAAAGAAGAAAGCATTTGCTGCTTTAGATCAGATACAGATCTGCAGCAGAAAGTTAAGTCTCGGGTCAACCTTACTACTACTACAACAACAACAAGATTACATTTGTGTAGTGTCTTTCATGTTGGGAGGACGTCCCAACACGCTGGACAATCATCTGGACATCTGGATCCTCATCCTCACCTACAAGGCCATTCACGGCCTTGCTCCCTCCTACCTCTCCGACTTACTATCCCCCTACGTACCTGCCCGTACCCTCCGTTCCTCTGGCTCTGGTCTGCTCCACATCCCCCGCCCCAACCGCCCTACCATCGGTGGCCGGGCCTTCAGCCTCTCAGCCCCCAGGCTCTGGAACTCCATCCCCCAGTGCCTTCGCCTTGTTTCCTCCCTTTCCTCCTTCAAGGCCGCTCTCAAGACCTTTCTCTTTGACCGTGCCTTCAGCTCCCCTCTCGACTCTCTACCCCCTCCTCACTCCCTCCCTTCCCTCCCCTCGCCCTGACCATTTCCCTCCTGCTCAGGTCCTGACCCAATTGTCCAGTGCCTTGGGACGTCCTCCCGACGTGAAAGGCGCTCTATATGGAATCTTGTTGTTGTTTTGCTAGTCCATATTTTTGTTGTGGATTCTTACCCAATGGGTCAGATGGTGCAAAGGTCTTCAATGTATAATCTTTGCATCTCCAAAGAAAGAAGAGGTCTCAAGCCATCACTCACAGTTGGATTCAACCAAAAACCCACAGTTAGGTCGTTATAGTAAATTGTACTACCATTTTGTTTAAAAAAAATAGCTGTTTGTGAGAAAGATCCTGAGTTACTAGTGGTTTTTGTTTTAGTCGTTTTGTTAGAATGGAAATCCTAGATTTGTTTTAGGTAAGGGGGCAATTCAGAGCATCTTGGGTTGGTAGAATTTAGTGCAACACTGTTCTATCTTTTAGGAATTATTTAGAATTTTTTTATTTCCTTCTGAAACTTGTTTTGGTGTTAGTAATTTTGCCTTAGTCTAAAGAATAATAAATTCTTTATTCTGCAGGAGCCAGAAACATCTATCATCAGTTGTTCATGAGCAGCCTTCTCATGGATCTGAAATATAAGAAACTGTTTGCGGTCCGTTTTGCAAAGGTAAGTTAACTTTCAGTAATCTTAGGATCATTCCAGTGTATCCAAGAATACATTTTGACAATGTGCAGCGAAAACAATTTTTTATTTGCCTTTTCAACATTTTCGGATTTCATTTGTTGGATAATTTTCTTTGTTTCTGCCAACTGACCACATTAATGAATTAATAAAAGCTCTTTATGCTAAAATGTAACTTGGGTACCATAAATGTGCGAAGAACAAACAAAGCTTTGACATTTGTAATAGATATCCTGTAATTGCTTACTATCTGCTTTGTGCAGATCCTTTATATACAGAACCTTTTGCTGAAAGTTTGTAGTCTTAGGTTAAGAATTTACAGTAACTATCTTGCCTCTTACTTCATATATGTTTGGTATTTAAGAATTTCTAATACACTTTTACACCATTTTATGTAGCTGGATCAGTAAAGGTATGATTCGTCTGCTAGTTATTCCCTCTAGTAACTATTAATCCATTAACTGCTGTAAGAAATGGTTAAACATGAAGTCACTCTTTTGTTCCACCAAAAATTGTGGCTTTTCTCATAAATAAAACCATAAGTTAAATAGTCTGAAATTGAGTGTGTTGTAAGATTTGCTGATGCTCTGTGCTTTCAGCTAATACTTCTGAGACCTACATTTTCATCCGTCCCAGAGCGATGGAATGAAATAATTCCTCTTACTGCTAGAATTGTGTGTGAAATGAGGATGAGTGGATAATACAACTTCCAATGGGCATATTGTAAAACCTGACTGTCCTATACCACATCAGCACCTTGCTATTTGCGGTCACATCAAAAGCTAGTGTAGAATATGGGTGGATGGGAGGGACTTGTGGTTTTCTAAGACTGGGTCAGAGCAAAGGGATTTTTACAGTACATCTACCTTTATCATTAGCTGACATGCGAGTGCTTGGTGCTGCCAGTGGGTGACAAAAGTTGATAAATTTCCTTTTGCACTACCATCGATATCCCTAATTGTTTGCAGAAGTCCACCTCTTTCAACCCCCCTCTGCCCTAGGTGGTTGTGTGATAATTCTCATGTGTTAGAAGAAAACATGGGTGGGAATTCCCTTCCAATTGATGGCTTCTACTGAATTCTCTTAACAGAAGTTTAGCTTTCTTCATCTCCTCCCCTGAGTATGTAGAAATTGGGAGGACAACTTAATAATTGACATTTAAATCTAAGGACAATCTGGACTTGATCTGGAGGTGAATTTCATCTTGTTGTTTAGAATTACCAGCAGTTGCAGAGAGATTTTATGGAAGATGATCACGAGCGGGTAGTGTCAGTGACCGCTCTATCTGTGCAGCTCTTCACTGTCCCGACTTTGGTGAGTACTGTGTATTTTCATTCAACTCATTTGTTCCCCTCCTTGCTTCTTCTCTGCCTTTTTATTAGAACTATGAGAGGTTGCAGACTGAATATGTGAATGATGACCACGACAGGGAATTCTCGGTTACTGATCTTTCAGTGCAAATTTTCACAGTACCTTCCCTGGTGAGTAGTGTTTCGGATCGAATTGGCCGCAGAAAGTTACACTAGTCTTACAGATGAAAGATGCTGTCCTGGCAGCAAAATTGTAAACCAGTTTAGGTAACCCCCAGCTTCTCTTGATCAACATTTGATTTCTGTTGCTACTTGGCCAAATCATTATGATCAGCTTTAGATATTGCAGGCTTCCAGTCAGAATTTGCCGCCGTGCAGATGGCTGCATTGTCATCATTTGATGAAGGGTGAGAGGTTTGGACACAACTTGCTCTTTAATTCACTTGGCTGCTGAATGACAATTGATTAGTTTCTTTTTGAAGACTATTAGTCTTGATGCTGGTATGCAAATTATTATTGATTGTAAAAGTAGAGAGTTAGGTTCAGTGAATTTAAAACGTTTAAATTTTCTGAAACTGAATTTGCAGTAAGATTTAATTCAATATGAAAAAAATGAACAGCTGTCAACACTTCAAGTTGGAGAGAGACCAGTTCATTATCAATACCAGGGAAATAATTTGAAGCCACTTCTCCAAACAGAATGGACTTCCACAAATCAGATAGATTTGAACTATACAACCAGAATTTTTGTTTCACAGACAGAAAACTGGAAAATCTGGCTTTCAAAACCGATTTCCTAGACTAATTACCCACTGAGCAACTAACTGCTCCAGTATTGATCTATGTTGACCTGGTCACTGTGATCCAGATGGACTTCCCCTTAGCTATCTTATTGTGCATTTATATTTCCATGTTTTTTTTCCTGATTTACCAAATGCTGCTTTGTAATTTTGTTTTGGAGTATTGAAGATGCATATCTCTTTTGTAGCTCTGATCACTGACTTTGTTGAATAATTAGAGTGACTGATTAATTTCAGGCTCGCATGTTGATAACTGATGAAAATCTCATGACAACTATAATCCAGACCTTCATGGATCACTTGATGAGACAGAGGGATTCTCACGTCAGGTTTCAGTTCGAGAGGTATACAGCGATACAGGCCTTCAAATTCAGAAGAGTTCAAAGCCTCATTGGAGATCTGAAGTAAGTGAAAGTTTTCCCCCATCTTTATTGATTGTGCTTATTGATGTATTTAAGAACCTAGGCCTGAAAGGTCAAACATACAATTAAGTGCTCATATACATGGATTCCTCACTATCCAAAACACTATGAAGTTGAATGGTAAGAAGAAATTGACCTGAATTCAGCCTAGCATAATGAAAAACAGAATGTGTTCACTGATGCTCTATTTATAGAATAGGAAGTTGTAGAGAAAACACTTGACAAGTAAACCAATTGCAAAACACAATAGATAGAGAGCCTTGAAGTTTCCATATAAATCAGTATTTTATATTTAGTGACTAGTGTGTATAGGCAACTAGATAGATGGCAGAAATTGGGTGTTATTGCAAAGAAGGTCCTCAAACTCAGTATCCTGATCAATGAACCTGTTTTTGAGATGCAATGCTTTTTTTTCCTCTCCCCTCCTTCTAAACAGGTATGTGTTAGTGAGCAAGCCCACAGAGTGGACAGACAGACTAAGGGAGAAGTTTCTGGAAGGTTTTGAGGTCTTTTTGGAGCTGTTAAAACGTATGCAGGTTGGTTTGATTATTTTTAATTTGTTTTGCCAAATAGGACCAATATTGGTTCTGGATAAATGTAATTTCTGTGACTTTATGGAGATTTACAAAGTGTATATTGAGGTGTATTGATGATAATTGCCTAAATTTGTGAGAACACTGAAAATAAATTGAGCATGAAAATATTTTGCACAGTGCTATGTGATACATCAAATGATTGTTGGCCATCAAAGAAGGCCACAAAACAAAGTCTTATGAAATTCACTAAAAATCTAAGTGGAATTACGTTGTTAATAATAATAATCCTTGCATTTGATATAGCGCTTTTCACGTCTTCTAGACGTCCCAAAGCGCTTCACAGAATATACTGTAAAGTGAATTGACTGTATATTTGTGGGTGAACGCGGCAGCCAATTGCGCACAGCAATGTCCCACAAACAGTCATGGATTGAAAATGACCAATTTATTATTGGTTTTGGAGGGATTATTATTAGGCGTGTGGAGTAAGGAAACTTGCCCAAGGTTTCGCCCTGCCTGGAATTGAACTCAGGTCTCTCACTTGCAAAGTGAGTGCTCTAACCACTGAGCTACAGGACTCCACGTTGGGTTCTATATAATAATAATAATGCTTGCATTTGATATAGCGCTTTTCACATCTTCTAGACATCTAAAAACGCTTCACAGAATAGACTGTAAAGTGAATTGACTGATTATTTGAGGGAAAAATATCACATTTATGCAATGACTACTTTACGGATCAAGCCCACACAACCACCTAAGAATTATGATTTTGTGCACTTCCATTTAGAAAAATGCAAATTGTCTTATCTTAAATATTTAGAAATCCAACAGTAATAATTGTAAGTAGGGCACAGTATTTAGAAATCTAACAGTAATAATTGTAAGTAGGACACAGATTGCACAGAAGGCTAAACATTCAGTTTTACAAGAAAGTGGGCATTTGGTGACAGTAATTAAGAACAGTAGAGGGGCATAAGATGTGGACCAAAAAAGGTCTTAATTTCAGAAGGCATTGCATGAGGACCAAAGACTGGTAGCTCTGAACATTTTTGGGGGGGTTCATTGAAAAGGGTTTCGGTAAGAAAAATAAGGTGCTTGTTAAATGTAAATAGTAATGTTTGACTTGTACCTTTAGCATATATTGGAGAGAAAAATGTTTCTCTAAAATTAAAATCTTTCATTATTGCATGTCTGTTTAAAATCTTATTCGAAAATGCTGTTGCAAATAACCTTCATGGGTTGATGTGTGTGAAGAGAATGCTTTTGTGCTATGGTCTGCATTTTTTTAGCCTTTGAGAATTCCAGTGACATAGTATTTTCATTCAGCTCTCCTCTCCAGGGCAATTGGCAAGGGAGCGCTCAGAACTAGGATCTTTCTGACAAGACCAACACCCACATTATCAGGGTTTCCCTTCTCATCCCTCTTGGAGGTGCACAAAGTAGAGCACAGTAACTCCTGTCAGAGGACTTGGATGAGGAGGAGGGTGACCTTTCAGGTATCCCAACATCAGAGTTGGGCCCCTTGTTGAGGTTGTTAGACCAATTTAATCTGAAAGTTTTATTAGTCTTTCAGTTGCAGTAGTGTTTTTTTGCAAGCTGCTTGAGCAGAGTCATCTCTTCTATCTCTGCCTCCTAGGAGATTTTAATAACAAAGGAGGTCAACTAACTTCCAGGTTTATGAATTGCATATTTAGACCAAGCTTTACATTTGAGTTGAACGGTTGGGCACAATGTATCTGTATTAGTTTTGGAATGTGAAGCTCACTTGCAGGATAAATAGATTGTATTGGAATTTCCTTGGCATATTAACCAGCTGGAAGAATTTCTTTGTATTTTCCTGTGGACCTAGGCTACAAAGCCTCTTGGGATAGACAGTAGAAAGGTTGGCTCCAGTATCACGAAATTGGGGGAAATCATTCTCTGACATTATTTGGAGACTGTTTGTACCCAATGTTGAATTGAGGTGAACAATACAGTCGTTGGTTTCCTTAGCCAGACCCCCAACGTCACAACTTCACAAGTTCCCTCTAGTCTGTTCCTTGTATTGGATTAGCTCCTGAATTTATGATGATATTCAGAGTTAGGATGCGTATACTGAATTTGAACTGTGTGCAACTTTATCAAATACATTTTTGAAGTAATTTTTCAGGGAATGGAACACATTTGAAGGTCCATTTCTTGGTGTTGCAGCTACCTGTACATTTTCTTAATTTCCAGAGCCTTGTGGAAATGGATGGAGATGAAAGATGATTGTTGCCCCTGAAGTGGGGTTCTGATATTTCAAACCACTACAGTTGAGTTAATATCTACAATATCTAGACTTTTTATTCTTATCTTGAGTATAAAAATTGATCATTTGGTTAGCCGCAATCTGAATATCTGGCAACAACAAATAATTGCATTTACATAGTGTTTTTCACGTCGGTAGGAGGTCCCAGTGCACTGTATAGCAGAGGGTTGCACAGAAGTTGGGGGTTGGATTTGGGAAGGGTGTGTGCCGGGGGGGTGGGAGCAAAGATGACTGAAGGCATGGTCGAAGAGGAAGGTCTTGAGATGGACCTTAAAGGAGGTGAAGGAAGGGGCAAGGCAAAGGATCTCTGGGATGGAGTTCCCAAGAGTAGGGGCAGATAGGCTGAAAGGCTGACTGCTGATGATTGGGGGGGGGGGCAGGGCGGGAGATGTGAAGCAGGGCAGTGCCTGCTGAGTGGAGGGACTGGGTGGTAAGATTTAAGAAGGTTGCAGAGTAGGTCCAAATCCCTGACTGTCCATCGCCTTGGCACGTCGTCCTGACATGAAAGGCGCTATACAAATGCAATTTTGTATTATAAAGTGGGCAAGATTGTGGAGGGATTTAAAATTGAGGGTTAGGGTCTTGAACTCAGTCCACTGGGTGGAGCAACTGGAGATGGGTGAGGATGGGGTTGATAGACTCACCGATCTAGTGTGGGAGAGGACATGAGTTGCACTACAAATATCATATTTGAGCGCAGTATTCCCGCTTGAAAGTTCCAGAAATTTCCACCGTCAATAACTCATACAATGCTGAATGCAACAGTTTGTCTGTTACAAACCGTATATTGTGTGAGATCCTCCTTGTATCAGCAGTTCCTTCTCAGAGATACATGCTCTTTGGTATTTTTTAGACTGATACCTCATTTTATTGACCTTGACAAGGGGAAGAGCTGAATGGATCCATCAGAATTTCAACCCAGAATCATTTGGTCTCAGTTTTCGTATTCATTGTTTGTCTGAATTGCATTATAGTATTGCATATTATATTTGCTTATATTTTGTTTGTGGTGCTCCATGGTAACCAACTAAGCAGCCTGCAGGCAATAGGAATTCCTTGTTCCGTTACTTCAATATTTTAGAAGGATTTGATTGCTTGCTTGGAGATCTGTTGTGGATGTAGCTCCTCCAGAATTACTTATTTAAGGATACTGCTGGAGCAGGATCCTATTGGCTTGTGCAGCATATGGTGATGAAGATACCAACTATTGAATGACAACATCGTTCACATAATATGCATCAGCAGTGCTTTGTCCTATCACTTTTGAAATGATTAGTTTGTACATATATGATTTTAATCGTAATTCGTAATGATACTCGGATCTAACCCAGAAAATCAGACATCTGAGCTTCACAAACTTTGAACGGTTGTGATTGCTTTCAAGGCAGCAATGTCCCACAAACAGTAATGAGATGAATGACTTCATTCTAATCTCCAGTTTGTTTTGGGGAATCTTGGAAGAAGGAGGAATTCTGGCAAATTGTTTTTCAAAGTTGTATAATGGAATTTTTTAATGCCTAAATCAACCATAAGAACAAGGAAATAGGGTCTCAATTATCATCCCGTCTCATCTGAAGAACACTACCTCAAGACAAATATAGCACCTTTTGCAATACTACACTGGAGTGTCCATCAACATTATGACTAAGACATGATGTGCAGCTCAAATATACGACCTTCCTAACCAGGGGTTAAGTGCTACCAGTGAAGCCACATTGATATTATCATTCAACGGTTGTGTCTGCATCATTTTTCTCCATATTGGTTTCTACTGTCAAAAGACCTGATAGTACCTGAAAGACCACTCTCTTTACAATGATGTAGGAACTGAGGCTATATAAATAGTGTCATAACATCATTAATGTAAAATATTTTTCTAAAAACAGGCTCTTTTTCCACCCCCATTTCTTTGGTTGTTTCTGCCAATTCATCAGATTACATGTTTCAACCAGATAAGCTTAAATTTCAATCAGATAAGCTTAAGTTACAGCCATAGAAATTTACAGTACAGAAGATGGCGTTTGACCCATCGTGTCTATGCCAGCTCCCTCAAAAGCATTCCTTTCATTCCATTTACCTGCCCTTCACCAGACAACAACAAATTACATTGGGGTGTAGTGCCTTTCATGTCAGAAAGACGTCCCAATCCCTGTAGCTCTTTTAAAGGTATTTTTATAGTTCGCTTTTGAAGGTCAATATGGATTCTAACATTTCTCCTGGTATGGCATGCCATATCCTAACTTTTCCGTGCATGAAAACATTTCTCCCAACCTCTCCATTTGCTTGTTTACTAACTATATTAAATTAATGCCCTCTAGTTACTGACTCACCAACCAGTGGAAATAATTTCTCCCTATTGACTGTATTGATAATTTTGAGACCTATCAGGTCAAAAGTCCCAGCTCTTGCAGTCTCTGCTCATAGGACAAACTACTCATGCTAGTAAATTTCCTCTATATCTTGATGTCTTTCCTAAAGTGAGATGACTAATACTGGACACAATATTCTAACTGATCTAATTCACAATTTATGTAAGCTTAGCATTATCTCTTCGCTTTTAATTTGTCAACATTTAATTCATTTTAATTTGATAATAGATTATAATTGTAATTATAGATATGAATTGCTGCTTTCTGCGATTTGGGTTGAACTTGTATTGCAGCAGCAAAACAGAAGTGGCTTTATTTTTATTCTCATTTCCTTGTGCTCAAAATGGAATGGTTTTGAATGGTGTGAAACTGCTTAGTAATAAGGGCATATATTGGTATTGAACATTGTACATATGGTTGAAGTGTGTTGCTTAAATATCTTATGATTGTGGAATGCATTTAGTTGTTAATCTGTGCATTTATTTCTTCCAAAGCCATTATAAAAACTGGAAATATCTGTCTCACTTCTCACAATAAACAACCCTAACATATCTCCATATTAGGTTAGACCTTGATCTATCTTAGGATTGCTTATTAAACCTAGATTTAATACATTTAAGTTATGAATTGCAGGATTGTAAATTATTACATAGATTGTTTGTGGTATCAGTGTAAGTACTGTAAGCTGTGTAGATTTATATAATGAACAGATTTTTGTATATTGAATCAGACTGTTGATTGCTCAATCATCTGGGAAATACACTTGGTTGAGCACTTGGTTAGGACCCGATGATTCTGGGTTCAAATCCTGTTGGGTTCTTTATCCTCAGTTCTGTATTCTCTTAAAGTAAATGAAATTAATGTCCAGTCTAAAATATTTTGGGGTCTTAAGGGAGCAAAGCAATGTTTTCCTGGGTTTTTAATTGGGGTTAGGGAAATTAACCTGTCAAAGTTTGATAGATCTGCAGTAATCTAAGACACTGGGTATATCGTTGACCAGTTGATTCAGTTGGACTCTTGACAAAGTATATACCATTCCTTGATTAAATTTCTCCTGAAGAAGCTTTCCTTCTCTTCTAAGTACTCTGAGATTCTACCCTGCATGGAGGGCACAATGTAAGTGCAAGTTGTTGTTGTTGTGCTACTTGTCCCCATGAAAAAATATTTTCTTCAGATGATGTAGCGGAAACTACCAACTTTCTCCCTCTGGAATAACCTTGAGTATTAATGTGCATTAAGTCTTATGTAACTTAATGGAACTGTTGTGGTTTACCAGGACAAAACTGTTTCATGGTGCTTATGCAACGAGGATTTCCCTGCCTGTTAATTTTGATTTGCAGTGTTGAAGACATGTCTCCAGGTGTCATTGCTGAGTGGAGAGGCAGTTGGATGACTGCCAACATGGTTATCTCATTCATTCCAGAGACATCCTACTTTCCTTAACTACTCTCTTTCTTTCTTCACCCCTCTTCTCTCCCTCCCCCCTCACCCCACCTTGAAGATATGCTCAATCTTGAAAGGTGAAGTTTGATTGTTGTGACTCGAACACCAAATCTTTTGGTTTCATACTCCACTCACTGAGCCAACTACAGCACTGATAGCTGAACTCTGACCTTTTAGGCCTTACTTGCACTGCCATGATGTATGTAATGGAATCCAGCTCAGTTAATTTACCAATTTGATTACATTTAAACAAGGTATCTGCAAGTTGCTATTTCTATTTTTCTAGTTGGGTGTATTGTATTTCCAAGACCGTGTTTATAGGAATGCTTCATTAATTTTACAGGGAATGGATCCAGTAACAAGGCAAGTAGGTCAACACATAGAGATGGAACCAGAATGGGAAGCTGCATTCACTTTACAGATGAAACTTACACACACAATTTCTATGATGCAGGAATGGTGTGCCTCAGATGTAAGTACAAATTAAATGTTTTTGTAACATTGCACAGGAAGGTAATTGTGTGTTTTCAGCAGAAATGTGCTTCACAAATGCACAATTTAATCTGATCAGTGTAGATTACATTGTCAAATATTATCCTGGATCTGTTCTACCCTGGAGAAGTTCACATAATGCACATTGGAGCTTGGCTGGGAACAGGCAAAACAATTTATGGGATTAATTTTAAATAAAGATTGCAGCAACCTCCGAAACTAGGCAATGCACTGGATAATCCCCATCATTTTAAGACATATGATTGGAAAAAGTCTATAAAAATCATATTACTGAGTGATGATGCCCCTGATGCTTTTTTAACACAGCAGTACTCAACTTGTGGTTAAGTGTTCAAAGTTACTTAACTTTAAACAACTTCATTCTAACTTTCTGATAACCTTATGAAAGCTTAACAAATAAGAGATTTTTCACGAGTTATTTGTAGCTTCTCTCTCTCTCACACACTTCAGCCACACACCTTATAGACAGCAGTTTAGTAAAACTTTCTTTGCCATTTCATTAAGTGTAAACCAAAAATAATTCTGCTTAGTATTTTAAAATTCTGTTAAATCTGAATTTTTTTTTTCTTACTTCTCTTATATTCCAGGAAAAGGTTCTTATCGAGGCCTACAGAAAATGTTTAATTGTTCTGCTTCAGTGCCAGAATGGGCTGTCAGATGGTGAACAACCTATCACTTTGAGTATGTGTGGGCATTCACTGGATACTGTACAGTATCGGGTATCTCAACATCAAGTCAGTATCCATATGCCAGTTTCTCGATTATTTGCAGGTAATTCAGCATTTATTTTCAAGAGCAAACAATATTAGCTGCTGAGAACTTTTGTATTTATATATTTTAACCGCAAATTAACCTGGGTCTTATTGTTCTGAGAAGGAAAATTAACTTGAATACAGACCTCACTGAATAGTTGATGTAACTTGATCATGTAAAACCAAACCAAAAAACAAGATATCCTTGAAGTACCACTTGTTAGAATCATGAATTAATTTGTCATTGCCTCATCATGCAGCCATGTCTGTACAAAGTGAAATGGAGCACCTCTGCAGGATCCCATTTAACTTGTTCTTCTCCAAACTTTGAACTGGAGCAGGTTGTGGGAATTCCTCTGACAATTTATACAATATGACAAATCTTAAATTAAACCATCTGAAAAAGGTTTGTTCTATAGAATATATAATAATCCTTGCATTTGATATAACACCTTATCGTCTTCGTGTCGTCTCAAGCGCTTCACAGGATATACTGTAAAAAGGAATTGACTGTATTTTTGTTGGTGAAATGTTCAACCAATTGCACACAGCGGTGTCCCACAAACGGTCATCGACAAACCAATTTATAATTTTTAAGGAATTATTAACTCCGGAAAAGAGATCGGCCAATCGACTAATAGCCAGGATCTGCCGTGGCGGTGGTGTGGCTCTCATCTCCTGGTCCCATCTCGGCCTTTCCCCTTACTCCTCCGGAACCTTCCCCTCCTTCGAACACCTTACCCTCTGTCACCCCTCCAGGCTCTCCCTCAAAATCCTCCTTGTCTACCAACCCCCAAGCCTTCCCCCACCTTCCTCTCGGACATCTCCACCCTCCTATCTTCCCTCGCCCTCTGCTCTGAACGTCTCCTACTCCTAGGCGACGTCAACCTCCACTTCACCCCCTTCTGCTCTATCTCTGCTGACTTCTCCTCCCTCCTCTCTTCCCTTAACCTCTCCCTCCTCATCCACTCCCCCACCACGTCCGTGGCCACCCCCTTGACCTGGTGATCACCCGGAGCCTCACTGTCTCAGACATCACCATCATCGATAAAGCCATTTCGGACCACCATTTTATCTCCCTCAACACCTTTTCTCAACCCTCCACAATCACATATTGTCCGTGAAAAAATAATTCCTCCCTCTCCACTGCCCTGGAGTCATCTGAACTCCTACACCTCTGGCCCTCCCTGACCGATCTCCCCTCCTCACTCTCTTTTCTCCACAACTCCCTCTCCTCCATTCTGGACTCCCTCGCCCCCCTCACCTCCCAAACTGCCTGATACTCTCGTAAATCCCCCTGGTACACCAGCCATCTCCGTTCCTGCAAGACACAACTGCGAGCTGCCGATTGCGCCTGGACCAATTCCAAACTAACGGTTCATCGGCAGATCTGGCTTCACCACACCAAGATCTACCGCTGCGCTCTTGCCTCTGCCAAATCCTCCTTCTACTCCGAGGTTATCTTGGAGGCAAAGGACAACCCCGGCTTCTCTTTTGCACCACAAACCGCATCCTCCATCCACCTTGCTATGCCCCTTGCCAGCTGCTGGTGACCTGTAACTTGAAAAGTTGCCACGCCTTAGTGGGATCTTTTTCCTTTGGATCATATTATTGTAATTTGCTCAGCTGGTCGCCTGACACAAGCTGAAACCCATCACATTGCTAAACAGTAACCAAACCAAACTGAGTTCCGTGCATCCATCCCATGTTTGAAATGGGGTGTGCATTCTCCTCCTAGGGGGTCACATTTGTTAATCTAATTCCAGGGAGATTTAGGCACAAGTTGGCAAGAACCAGGCTTGGGCGTTGGAGAGCTGTTAGAGTTCAATCAACTGTAACTGAACAATTTGCCATTTCGTGCTGACTGGCAAGCTTCCCATTCAGCTGGGATCACCCTATCCTTTAGTGGAATTGTACCCTTACCTGACATTCATATGCTTCCAGCAGGATTACAAGATGCCATTCAGGAATAGGAACCCTGGATAATTCCCACTCTTGTCAGGGGAGTCTGAATGCATGTGCATGCAGCATTTGTAATGAGCCACTTCTTACTAAGAACTTTGTTTTAAGGTTTTGTGTAATAGCAGCTTGGTTGTATAAGAGCAGAATGTTCTAAGAATACAATTTTGGTAACTACAGTTTAATGTAAATGTTTGTAACTTTATCATTTCAGGTCTGCATGTGCTTTTAAGCAAAACAGAAGTAGCTTACAAGTTTCCAGAGTTATTGCCCCTCGTGAGTATAATTCCATGATTTGTAAGAATAAGCACAGCCGTTTTTAAACTAATCTTTAAACAATATATGATTACACTTTTCATTTTTTTGGCTTTGTAACAAATTTGCAATCTATTTAAAAATAATTCTGTATTCAAAATACCAAGTTAGGTATTTGTATTATAAAACATCTTCACTGGCAGAAGGAAGATAATTGGGATAGCAAAACCTCATGCAGGTTTTCAAAATGCTGAGAAAGATTGCATTTGTAGAAGGACTTGTTTGAATTACTTTCTGGGAGCAAAACTAGAGAACACAAATAACTAGACTCAAATAAGCTAAGTAATACAAAGAAACTCTTTTGCACTATTGATTTTTTGTTTTATGGGATGCTGTTCCAGTCATTAGTTGCCTCTAGTACCCTGACCAAATGGCCATTGATTGTTTAAGTGTTGACGGTGAGTGTTGGGAGGCCACTCAACTGTTGAGTGTCAAGGTTGAGGCCAACCTTTCCTCGTCTGGCTACCAAACACACACAAAAACAACAGATGGTACTGAAAAGGGAACCAGGAACCACTGGCTTTTCTTCCTCTAATCAATTTCACCAACTTGTGCAACCCCATCTGACAGCTAACTCAGCATACACTAGAGATTTGAACGAGCAAGCTCCCAATCTATTAATTATAGCTCTCTTCACTATGCCACTGAACAATTGAAACTCTTCACAGCACATGATGGTGCGTGAAAATAAGTAATAATCCTTGCATTTGGTGTAGCACTTTGTCATGTCATCGAAGCATTTGAAAGCTATCACCGGATTTAAAGTAGTGACTATATTTGTAGGTGAATGCGGAGCCCAATTAGCCACAGTGATGTCCCACAAACAGCTATTTGGTGAATGGCCAGTTTTATCTTGAGGATTATTGGCCAGAACACTTGGATGAACTCTTTTTGAGTAGTGTCATGTGATATTTTAACGTTCAGCAATGCCGTTGAATGTCTCAGGTTGAACTTCTGAATGCCAAGTCACTGCTCATACAACTAGTGCTAAAGATGGGATCTGCTTTGAAATAGAACTTCAATATTTTGTCCTCAACAAAGACTTTCAAAAAGTAAACCAATGCACAGTCTGGATATAATGATTCCACTTTGTGGAATAGCTCTTCGGAAAATTAAAACTTTTTTTAAAATTAGAGTGATGTTTTTACTGAAGGAACTCTGGGTATAAATATAAGCTTTCCTAGAAGTAATTTTTAAAATCAGCTTTGCCTTGTTCTGCTGTTCGTCAAAAAGCTTTTTTTAAATTGATTTTTAATTTTTTTTTTAATTTTAACTCTTTTTAATTGTTCACAGAGTGAGCTGAGCCCACCCATGTTAATAGAGCATCCTCTACGTTGCATGGTGCTTTGTGCCCAAGTACATGCTGGGATGTGGAGGAGGAATGGGTTTTCACTTGTAAATCAGGTCAGTGATCCTAGAATTATTACGTTTAAAGTTTTATTAAGTAGAATAATATTTAACTATGCACAATGTTTCACAAACAGACATGAAGTGAATTATTGATTTTATCTGTAGGATTGATGATCTTTGAAATTGTATAAATAGGCAAATTGATGCTTAAAGAAAATAGTGCTGATCTTTTAAAGTCCTCTGACACTTAATGGGTCAATTGAGGTAGAAAGGTGCATTAGATACAACAACAACAACAACAACAACAAGATTCCATTTATAAAGCGCCTTTCACGTCAGGAAGACGTCCTGACATTCTAACTGATACATTCTAACTCTGCTGTGACTTTGTTTCCTACAGATATACTATTACCACAATGTGAAATGCAGAGTGGAAATGTATGATAAAGACTTAGTAATGCTTCAGGTAAGGCACTGTGTTTTCAGGCTTCTACCATTTTTGCTATCATACTTGGATGTGTGGTAATCAATAAAAGTAGTCATGGGAGACTCCCAGATTTTCTTTCCATTAACGATCATTGGCTCAGCAAATGCCACACAATGGTACAAACTTGCACTGTAAAACTGTTGACCATAACTGCTTCCAGATTTATTTTGCACCTTATCATGTCAAAGCGTTTCAAAGCACTTCAGAATTTTCTGTTGATTGTAGTGAGTATTTATTGGTAGTTAAACACTGCAGCAAGTTTGCAGTCCTACAAACAGATCATAAAATGAATGAGCAATAGTTGTATCAGGGAATTGCTGACCAACACACAGAGAGAAACTCCCTTCTCTTTTCGAATAAGTGCCATGGATCTTTTAACACCCACCTGAACAGGCAAATGGGACCTCAGTTTAACATATCACTAAAGGCAGCACCCAATGCAGTGCTACCCCAGCTGCAAGTTGGCCATCCCTGGTCTAGACCATAAGTTTCAAAATCACTACAGTCAGAGATGAGGTGAGAGAGATACCAAATGAGCCAAAGTGAATCTGTTGGGTATTATTCAAAATATTCCTACCAGTTTACAGAAGAGGGAAACATCATCAATTCTATAAAATTCAAAAGCCTTAACTTGAGTGAAAATAGAAAATGGTTGTTTAGTCTTTGTCCTTGTAATTCTGAGCCACGGTGGGAGAGGAGTTTATGCAGCTCCGAGATGCTATCTTGCGTGAAGGACACTCTGTAAATGCAAGTTGTTTTACTTTGTCATTAACCTTCCTTAAGTCTCAACACTTATTGTAATATCGAGAAAGAAGTACAGGAAGGAAAAGGCAAAAGCCTGAGATTGCTGTTTGATATTCGTTTAATATTTTAATATTTGTGGTGAACCTAACATTGCATGTTTTGAAATGATAGTTCATTTATCAGCAGTGTATTTAATGTTCCTGTTTCATAATAAGTTGTGCATAGATAATGGTGACTTGGGAATAAGTTAAATGCAGAATATAAATCTTTTTAACATCTGTGTTTTTCAGGCAGGAGCATCTATGATGGATCCAAACCATTTCCTCATGATCATCCTTTGTCGATTTGAACTTTACCAAATATTTAATACCCCTGACTATGGCAAGAGGTTCAGCGCTGAACACACCAACAAGGTGACTTAGAGATAAGAACACTGTTTAACTGTTTGATTCTCAACATCATGAGCATCTTGCTTGCTTGAAGATTTGCTTGGTGTACTTGTAGGTTAATGTTCAGTGTATCAGGAAGGAAAGTGACCTGGATAACATATGGCTTCTTTTAATCCATAATCCCAATGTAATGTATTCCTTAATATACAATGTCTTGGAATTTGTCCAAAGGGGTGTTAATTTTTTTGACTTTTTCAAATTTCTAGGATGTTCTACAGCAAAACAATACTCTTATAGAGGAAATGCTTCACCTGATCATGATGATTGTGGGTAAGTCGCTTTTTGATAATTTTTTGATAATTGTAATGAACAGATTCGGAATAATGCATAAAAATGTATTTTTACTCTCAAGTTGAAAAATTGATCTGCAAGAATTATAAGATTATCTTTTGGGTATCTGCTTCTTGATTATCATCATTGCAGAAATATAAACATTTTTGAAACTTGACATCAAAATGAAATATGAGTCTCTGTAATGTAGCCCGGTTATGTAATGTATCTGTTGCTGTGAAGATAGAATGTGCATCAAATAAAGTTGTCTTCTGGTTCTCATCATTGTTTGAGTGACCTATTTTATCTTTGCGACTTGCATATAGTCTTAATTAAAGCAATAAATCTGTTCACAAACAACATTCGGTGAAACTATTACAACAGACACTATATGTAGTTAGTGGTAGCTGAGTTGTATATCCCTTGTTAGTTTGTGTCGCTTGCTCATGTAGCAGCCCCAAACTGTGCCGTTTGAAATGCGTCTGACACCATTTTTTTAACCCGACTACTTGATCACGTCACATATTGAAAGAAGTACGATTTCACTTAAAGCATCCATTAAAATTGCAACCCTCTGACAGCATATTTAGGTGGTCATGAATGTGTTCTTAAATTATTGCAACTATGTACTGTACAGTGAGATCTTGTTTATCTGCCATAATGAAGCAACATCACCACACCCCACCCACCTCTTTCCAGTGGATATTTGAAACTGGTAAAAATGTCAGAGCCATAATCAGGATTATCTGCTTCTGGATCAAGACCCATTGGAAAGGTGGATAATTGGAGTTCCACTGTAAGTAATGGATTAGCAAGAACATGTTTGCTCTCAAAGGGTTAATAGCAAAATGTACCAAGAAATCGAATTTTCGGGTTACAAAATAAAAAGGAAAGATGACATATTGAATAAGAGGAACCTGCTCTCATTTAATGGATAGAGGTACCATTTGATGTGGCACAAAGCCATACAAACCAGAGGGTTTGTCTGGGCGAAGTTATCTAATTTCTCCTTCCTATCCCAAACTTGGAAGGAAACGATTAGCATGGATTCCTCCTTCTGATTGCTACTGAGTGTCCCATGCAGGAAAGTGTGAACACTGAGGAAGAACAGTTTTGGCAAAGTCCTTGCAGCAGGATTTCTGCACGTCTTCTCTATTGGGGACTGGTGTGAGACTTAAAAGAGGGTGGAAAAGAATTATCCGGGAGAAATTCCACCTGCGACTAGATTTATGATAAAGGATTTAGAGCGTCCAGAATTTGGCAAAATGTCAAATAAAACAACTTGCAGAAAACCTAAGGCTGAAAAACATTTAAGAAGTTGCCAAATTTTTGATGCTCTAAAAATGCTTCATCAATAAGAGTGAATCACATGAATTGAAAAAAAATATGGCAATGTTGGCTTTTAATTTAAACATTTCGGGTTTGGAATTTAGGAGAACGATATATTGCTGGCGTGGGGCAGGTGTCCACCGAGGATGAAATAAAACGTGAAATTATTCATCAGCTTTGTATAAGACCAATGGCACACAGTGAGCTTGTCAAAGCGTTGCCTGAAGATGTGAGTATATTCTCTTTGTAGATCCATCTTAACTTGCAAGAATTCTTCCTTCATTATGTACTGATTTTAAAGCACTGACCTACCTCAGCAAGTAAAATCATTGTCTCTTTTTGACAGCTGTAGTTTTATAATTGTTTACATAGATTGGGTTTCAAAATCTTCCTGGTGCCAGAACATAGTGTAAAGATGCATTTTGTATCCTTAATAGAACCTATCATTGTGTTTTGTATCCTCAGTAGAACTTATTATGTATGAGTAGATGTGTATCCATTCTCTTATGAATAATGGTGGCTAGTACAGCTTTGTTCCAGCTGCTGGTGACCTGTAACTTGAAAAGTTGCCATGCCTTAGTGGGATCTTTTTCCTTTGGATCATATTATCTAATTCCAGGGAGATTTAGGCACAAGTTGGCAAGAACCAGGCTTGGGCGTTGGAGAGCTGTTAGAGTTCAATCAACTGTAACTGAACAATTTGCCATTTCGTGCACTGACTGGCAAGCTTCCCATTCAGCTGGGATCACCCTATCCTTTAGTGGAATTGTACCCTTACCTGACATTCATATGCTTCCAGCAGGATTACAAGATGCCATTCAGGAATAGGAACCCTGGATAGTTCCCACTCTTGTCAGGGGAGTCTGAATGCATGTGCATGCAGCATTTGTAATGAGCCACTTCTTACTAAGAACTTTGTTTTAAGGTTTTGTGTAATAGCAGCTTGGTTGTATAAGAGCAGAATGTTCTAAGAATACAATTTTAGTAACTACAGTTTAATGTAATTGTTTTAAAAGCAAAATGTACCAACAAATGCCTGAAATGATGCTTCAGTTCTTGCTTTGGATTCATACTTGATTGATCTTATTTTAGTGGATTGTTTTACTTATTGTATTTATTTTTGGTTTTGTTTTTCTCCACATCTTTCTCCGTCTTTTGCATGTGCCCGCTCTCTCTCTTGCTCTCAGGAAAACAAGGAAACTGGAATGGAAAGGGTTATTGAGTCTGTCGCGTCTTTCAAGTACGTGTGCCATTAAATAACTAAGTGTGAAATATTGTTCTGTTTGTACAGTTGCAAATAAGATAGTTTGAATCTTGTGTACTCATTTCTCTCCTCACTTCCAGGAAACCAGGTTTAACAGGAAGAGGTCTTTATGAATTAAAACCTGAAAGCGCTAAGGAATTTAACCTTTTCTTCTATCATTATTCCAGAGCAGATCAATCTAAGGTAAATAATTATATAACTGTTAAATATTATGCATTTATAATTGTTCAGGGTTACTTTGAAGGGGTGAGGACAAGTCTATACCTGCAAGATTGCTGGGACTTATTTTTACCTGGCACATCTACTTGGAATCAGTTCACCTCCAGAAAAAAAAGTAGACTGACTAAACTATGATGGTTAATTTTGGTGACTCCTCAAAGTATTTTATTGAATTAGTTTAATTTTGTAATGCTTCAAACCAAATGGTCTATTAATTCTGGTTAACCACAAACTAATATAATCTGCAAACAAATCTTAAACATTTTATGTGTTGGATTTAAATTCATTTTAGGCTGAGGAGGCTCAAAGAAAATTAAGGAAGCAGAATGGGGAAGACACGGGTATGTTGAAACATTTTCATCTTAGTTTTATAGATGATTGGGTCATTTTTTATTGTCTTGAACCATTTTTGTCACCTTGAGCCATTGTCCAATTGAGCAGGTATGTAAGGTATCTGCTCCTAGGTCTTTGTTACTAATTCTGGCTGGTTGTAGGACACCAGTATTTCTTTGTTGCCTTTCCCAGTGAGATTTACCTTGACTCAAGAGCTTCTCTGAAAGGGGAATCGGGAAGTGTGGAATCAAGAATTGTAACAGTCAGTGTACGACAGCACTTGTGAGGATCAAAGGCTTCAAATGATTGAAGAGGGCAGGGAAATAATAATAATAATAATAATAATCCTTGCATTTGATATAGCGCTTTTCACGTCGGGAGGATGTCCCAAAGCGCTTCACAGAACACACTGTAAAGTGAATTGACTGTATACTTGTGGGCGAACGCGGCAGCCAATTGCGCACAGCAATGTCCCACAAACAGTCGTAGATTGAAAATGACCAATTTATTATTGTTTTTGTATGACAAGTTAGTCCAATACTTTGAGGAAAGGAGGACTTGAGGAGGGGGGAAATTGGCAGAATTATTTTTACTTCTGCCATAAGTGCAGCCTTGTACTAGCATTAATAAATAATTGATGGTTCACTCTAGCAGTCCAAACGCTGTAGAGGCTCATTAACTGCACAGTCCTGTAGTTCAGAGTTTTGAACAGGCTGTGTTCCAGATGCCATTAATCTGTGATTCTGTTTGCACTACTAGCATGTGACTGGGTGGTCTTTGTTGTATCCCAGGGTTGTAGATCATGTGGAAGGAATGAGTTGAGATTGAGAAAGTCGATTATTTTCTCCAACTGGGTTTAAACCCACTTTGACCTTTCAACTAAATTTCATGGACTTCTGAAAAAGCTTCACTGGACTACTATTCTGTGAAGCACTTTGAGATGTTTCGAAGACGTGATAAGGCGCTATATCAAATACAAGGATTATTATTGTTACTTGCTGAAATTATCGATGCACTAATCTATCAGTTGTCTGGAAGGAAAGGAGTGATATCAAGGATTTGCATTGCACTGAACTTGTAAAAGCTGGTTTATTAATTAAATCTCTATAAGAGCATAAAATATACTCTTCCGATGAAACAACAACATTTGACTGAGATACTAACATTGAACAGTTAGTAGGTAGCATCAAAACTTGTTTAAATAACCGATTTATTGCCATGGTTGTGGTTGGGTTAGAGACACACTACGAAACATTTTTAAGGCCGAAAGACTCACAGTGGTTTGACGATCTGTGCTCCTTTTTGGTGAATAAAAATAATCGTGTCCCAGTGTGAAAGGTGCCATATAAGTTCAATTTGTTGTTTTTGTGTCGGGTTCTGATTGGATCAGTGGGAAATGGAAACATTAAACGAATACTGTTAAATGTCAGAACTTGAAGCTGTGCATGTAACTTTAACATTAAAATTACTATACCCTTGTTCAGTCTGAAACTTTTCAGTCTCATTGTTACTCTAGGAATTGTAGAAATACTTCCCAGCTAAAAGAAAGGCTGTTTCCTTGTCAAACACAGTTTCCTTTGATTTAAGCTTGGCAAGGCATCATCTGTTTTATTTGTTATCAATTCTTTATTTTCGAAAGGCCATTGGAAGTCAGTAGGCCATGATGCCATCATGCTCTTCTTGAGAAGGTCCTTGGCAAGTAAATCCAGTAATGTAGTTAAACACCCGTGCGTGAAGGCAAGTGGTCTCAAGCTGTCTGGCCTTTTGGATCTTTAGAAAGACATGAATAATGGAAACCATTGCTTTGTATGCTAATGTCTAACAGAATTCAGTAACACCAGTCGAATAGCTAATACAGTAACTTGTTACTGCAAGTTATTATTCGCCTATACTTATACTCCATCTTTCACCCAAAATCAAGATTAAATATTATGCTTGAATCTGTTTTTCATGTTTATGCCTTTGGGCATGTTATGCAGCCAGAAGACATATGCACAATAAAAAAAATGCAAAAAATTAATTTCAATTGTGAAGATACTCATGATTTTGTTTTGGATTTCAGCTCTCCCACCCCCTGTCTTTCCTCCCTTTTGTCCCTTGTTTGCCAGTCTCGTCAATATCCTCCAGTCAGATGTTTTTCTGTACATCCTGGGAACCGTATTGCACTGGGCTGTGGAACCAAATGAACATGCGTGGACAGAGAGCATGTTACAGAGGGTAGGTTTTTACCAATTATTTTTAATCTAAAACCAATACTTTCAAAGTATATTGTTGAAATATATTATTGAAACCTATTCCACAATCTGTTTTCCGCAAAGGCCCCTTGGCACTTTGTAACAGATTTATTAATAATATGAGGTGAAAGTTGTCAGTCTGCCTCAGTTGATAGCACTCTCGCCTCTGAGTCAGAAGGTTTTGGGATCAAGACTGAGCTTATTATCTTGGCTGACCCATGTCAAACAACTGTTTTTTCCTGGAACAAATCGTGAACCATTGATGGGCACAGCAGACATTGAGAACTGAATGTGAGAAGTCATGAGCATAAATCCACATCCTATCCCTCTGGCGCAATGCTGTTATAAGTGTGATTTCTTAATGCAGACTAGTATCCAGTTTGTTGCTGCTCAGTCTTTCTAAATGATCTTTCAAACCAATTTCATTATAATTATCTTGTTTAGGTTTTGCACCTCATCGGCATGGCTTTACTAGAAGAGAAACAACAGCTGGAGAGTGCAAGTGATGACAGTGATTTTACTTTCAACTTCACATCAAAAGTTTCACGTGCGTACCTGTTATTAAAAAAATTATTTGTGGGTGTGTGTGTTTAAAAACGTAGGATTGAGAATAATTCTTGCTGTATCATTCACTTTACTTTCAGATGCATCAATATAGTAGAATAAGAGGAAGTGGGTTTAGAGTTGCAAAGGTCAATTTCAGGACAGACACCAGGAAGTATTAATGACAAGCAGGCTGCCAGGAAAGGTTGTTGAGGCCAGGACATTGGACTTTGTGTGTGTGTGTGTGTGTGTGTGTGTGTGTGTGTGTGTGTATATATATATATATATTAAAAAGGGGTTGATGTTGTGCTGGGAGGACAGTGGATTGGTATTCTGGTAGGGTAAGATCAAATTGGCTGAAAGGTCTTCTTCATCTAAACTAATCTTGTTTAAAAAAAATCCAGTGCCTCTGTTTTTAATAATAATAATCCTTGCATTTGATATAGCGTCTTATCACATCTTTGAGACGTCTAAAAGCGCTTCACAGATTATACTGTAAAGTGAATTGACTGTATATTTTGTGGGTTTTGTGGGTGAAATATTTTCCTTTACCAAATTTTCATTGCCTGCATTAATTAAGAATTCAATTTCCTATTGAATGCTTCAGTTGAGTGGTTGTCTCAGTTGACCCAACTCATTCTAAAAATATTATTCTTCAGCTTTTGATTTTGTCAGTTTGTAATCTTGTCCTTGGTTTCTTCCAACTGGAATTTATGGAGAATACGCCTTCATTAAGTCAATTCACTAATTTATTAATTGTTTCTTTGAATTTTTTACTACCTTTGGGGGACCAACCAAAGTCGATGGTTCCTTTGAATTGGTCAGGTTGCATTATTGGGTTGGATTGATGCCCATTTTGTTAATTTTATGAAACGTTTCCATTAGTATGTTTTTTTAAAGTGCCAAGATATAGTGTTATAATAACCCAATTATTTTCAAACAATTAATTTGATAGGTCCTGGGGATGCTCCTGAAAATATGCCTAGTATTTTAGCAATGCTGGAAACATTGCAAAATGCTCCTCACTTAGAGGTCCACAAGGATATGATCAAATGGATACTCAAGGTATGCTTCAGTTGATAATTTGTTTGGATGTTTTCCCCCAGAATTTATTTTTCCTTACCATTTTATTCAGCCAACTTATTTTGTCATGGGAAATAAGATTTCATTGTGTGAAAAAAAGTTCTATTGCATCTTGGTAAATTTTAATTAATCTGTTTTTCTAAACGAATTGGCCTTATTTAACTGCTGTATTAAGAAAATTATGGATAATGAAAGATTAATCTTGTGTATTAAGTATGCAAATTGGAGGAAGGCAATAGATCTGTTCAGTACAAGGACGAAAATGGTTTCTCGGTTACTTATTATGATTTTTGTTTTAAGCTCTTTGGAGTTATTAAAAAGATGAGAGAAAGAAGCAATTCAAGTCCTGTTGTTGAGTATGAAGGCTACAGCACGGAGGAGGTAAGGGCAATCCAGTGCATTATATTAAATAACTTTAAAATTAAACTGTAAAATTAATTTTTTCATCATGGCAAATGTGTGGCTTCATATAGTTATGCATTCAACTGTTGAAAGTATTTCTAGGATATTGATGGTTTTCGTGATGGTTTTCCTTTTCATGCTCAGTTGCACATCTACCCTGATCTGAGCGATTATCATGCCTAAGCAATGTCGAATCGATTCCAAGAGAATTGCGCACAATGTTTAAGGATTTCAGCTTCATTAAATAACGAAAAAAGTCATCTAAAACAAAATCATGAGCTTGGTACTTCTAGATATCAAAGTTTTCAGTCTAGCCTCATTATCCTTGGGTGATGTACAACAACATTACATTTGTATAGCTCTTTTCACGTCGGGAGGACGTCCCAAGGCGCTGGACAATCAATATTTCCGACAATATTAACAGTCTTTGGGATCAGTTGATGCCCTTTTTTTGACAGAAGTATATTATTACAGTGAAAACAGTCTGATGGTGAAAGTATTTTTGTTGGCTAAGTGTTCCTCCATTCATAAGGATCCTATAGTTCACCAGTGTTCTCCACTCTCCAGTCCTTGGCACAGCCACGTCAACTGATTTTGATGATAAATACGGAGTGTTGGTCCATCAACAGCAGGTGATCTTGACTGGATATTCCCACTCATTCAGGAGCAGGAACAATGGAGAATTTGTGACCTCTCTGGGGGAACCAAGGCCAATTGTAACATCCTTACTGCCATCTTGTCTTAAATTGGCTAATTTAACACTGATCGAGAATTTAATCTTGGGCAGGGTCTTACCAAGTGGTCGTGCATGTGCAAGGAAATTATAAACTGGTGTGTAACTTTTGTGCTGATAATGTTGCATCCTACCTTTTTTTAACTCTTTATTTTTGTAGTGCTTGCGAGATAAAGACAAAGCCGAGCGGAAGAGGAAGGCTGAAATTGCAAGGCTACGTCGAGAGAAGATAATGGCCCAGATGTCAGAAATGCAGAAGCATTTCATAGATGAAAATAGGGAGCTGTTTCAACAGACATTAGAAGAACTGGAAGCTTCATCATCTACAGCACAAGACAACAGGTAAAAGAGAGGGTCTTCAGTGGGTAATCAATTAGTCTTCATTCATACGTATATTGCCATACTGATGTGTTGGTGATAGAGTAATTCCATTCATTCAAACAAGCACGATAGCTTGGATTTTTCAGCCATGCTTGACTACCACTTTTATGGGTCTGTTCTGGCAGCACATATCTCATGTTCCCCTGCAAGAATTTCCCCCATGTCTTTTGAGATTTACCAATGCAAGAATCCCAACAGTTTATTGAAGTGCTCTGAAATTAAAAGATTTCCTTTAATCTTTTCATATTTTTGAGTGAGAGTAACCTCACATGAGGGTAATCTTTCATCTCCCCAGATTCTTAGGACCACCGTGGAATTGTGAGGGGGCAGGGATTTCCATTGTGAAAAAATAAACTGTAGCTGGAAATCAGTACCATATTTCTTAGACGATGGCCCCCTATTATCTCTTGTTCATTGTTTTGGTTCCTGTATGCCCTCATTTGAGAAATGAAAACTACACAGAGTTGTTGATCCTTAATACGCACAAATATGAGGACCCCTTCTTCAATTTTTCAGCACTTTTTTTTTAATATTCTTTTTACTGTAGCCCCACAGTTCCTGATACAGCACTGACTGCGTTAGGTCCCAAACAAACCAGAGTCTTTGAAAAGAAGCAAGTTGTTACTTGCATTTTGTGTCAGGAGGAACAGGAGATTAAAATGAACAACAAAGCAATGGTCTTGGCAGCCTTTGTTCAAAGGTCAACCGTTATGTCCAAGAACAGAATGAGAACTATTCAGGATCCTGGTGAGTGTTTCAGGCACGTGAGTGGATTTTGTTTGTAGAACCTATACAGGTAACTTTATAATGAAGCTAAACTGTGACCTTAATGATGTGTTTTTTTTATGTCCAAAGGTTGTGGTGATTGAAATCAGAAATCACTTTCTATCATTTTCCATTTTCTATCACTTATCAAACACTTACAACTCAGATAGAGTTCTATGTACAGCCTATCTTGCCTCAGTCTCAATCTTGAGAGTGACATCTACAGCACCAGGATAGCATTTTCTATTTTCCATGCTAATTGTATGTGTTAAATCAACCTTTCAGCTAACAAATGGGAAGATTTTGAGTTCATTGGCCTTGGCAAAATCCAAACTCATGCCCAGAGCTGAAATGTAAATTTATATTTTATTGTGATTCGTTCTCTTCAATGATTGTCGACTCCTTGTGGAGTCCTGCAGCGTATTGCTTAGAGCACTTGCCTTGCAAGCGAAAGGAGTTGGGTTCGATTCCCAGGCAGGGTGAAACCTTAGGCAAGTTTCCATACTCCACAAGCCTCTGTTTTCCTCACAGTAAGTAGGAACCTGGTTGTTGGTCGATTAGTGGATTGCTTTTCCAGGGGTAATGATTCCTTAAAAAAATTATTTGGTCACTCAATCTACAACTGTTTGTGGGACACTGCTGTGCACAATTGGCTGACGCGTTTCACTCACAAAATATACAGTCAATTCACTTTACAGTATATTCTGTCAAGCGCTTTGAGACGTCTAGAAGACGTGATAAGGCGCTATATCAAATGTAAGGATTATTATTATTATAATGTGTTCTGAACCTTTCCAATACCCAAGAGCCTGAAATATTGGAAAGTTTTTTTTCACATTCTCAGGACAATTTTAACCATCTACTTCTGAAGAAATTACTATCAAATCAATTGTTTGCTAGGTTTGTGAAATGCTATAGTTTATAGTAGCAAAACTATTACTGAAAATGTACGTGTCACCTTAAAGATCTTCAAACGGCTGTTCTCCGTGATATGTGCTAGAGATGTAAACACCTTTTTTATCATTGCCTGCAGAAAACTATGATCCATTGTTTATGCACCCAGATTTAGCCTGTGGCACCCACACAGGTAGCTGTGGACACATCATGCATGCCCATTGCTGGCAGAGGTTAGTACTAACTTAAATAACAAATGCTGTTCCTTTAGACCCATGCATATTGAGCTGCTCATCGGTCTTACAATGTATTCTACAATCTGAATCTGAAAAACAGAGATCTAGTTATAACTTGGATTCCTTATTAACTTGTGTTCAGGTATTGTCTGAGAAACAAAAGCACCCTAGCTCAAATGTTAATGTGCTCTGAACAAATAAAGTTACACTCCGGTAAAGTTGAGCTAAGTGCAGTGTTTGTTCTGCATAATATTGACCTACCAGATAGAAAGGCAAGTGTTTGTTCAAATAGATTTATTCCTCTGTTTTTCATTGGAAATACTTTTGATTTATGAATTCCATTTAATGGAATTGATGCTTTATAGAAATAATTTCTGGGCAGTGGTGCATTTCATTTTTTATTACTTAAATACTCTTGCCGTATGATTGATCCAGCACAGTTAACCAGTTTATGCCCGTGTGACCTAATTTAGGATTTGGCTTGAGTTGCAGGGCATTTACAAACCTGATTGGGAATAGTATGTTTGTTGAACAGAGTCTATTTGAAAGCAGGATCAGAAATTGGTTTGCTCACAAACTTAATGCTTAAAAGTTGAATATTCAAGTCTGCTTAGTACCATATCCCTGTGTGTGTGCCCCCCTACCAACCTGCCCGCTCCCTCCGTTCAGCGGGCACTGGTCTGCTCCATGTCTCCCGCCCGACGCACCCCACCATCGGTGGCCGTGCTTTTAGCCTCTCTGTCCCCACAATCTGGAACTCCATCCCACGGTCTCTTCACCTCGCTTCCTCCCTTGCGTCCTTCAAGGCCGGTCTCAAGACCCTACTCTTTGATCGTGCCTTTGGTCGCCCTCCCACCTCTCTGCCTTCCCTCACCCCTACCCTACCTTTCCCCCATGCTCGGGTCCCGACCCCTGACTGTTCAGCAGTTTGGAACGTCCCCCCGACGTGAAGGACGCTCTATAAATGTAATTTTGTTGTTTGTTGTTGTGTGTGCAAGTAAGAGTCCATTCAATACAAACTGGGCATTTTTTTTCCCCAAATACAGTATTATCAGACTTCATACTGTTAACTTGGTTTGTTTTTAAAAAATTGTCAACGAATGTTTATTTGACCTTTTTGGGATTTTTGTCCATTTTTAGCAGTCTGTTTGATTGTCTGACCCAATGGGTGTCAGCACCTGCATTCTGGGTGTGTGAGCTTAGCACAGTTGTGCAGGAAGTTACCGTACAACCCAGTAATCAGCCATTTCATAGTTCAAAATGATATTTTTTTAAAAAAAGTTTAAAATTGAAAAACCTGCTAAATAATAACTTGCAATTATACAACCTTCACATGGGGTAGCGTCTTGGAGCGTTTAACAGAGGCTGACGCCAAGCCGGGGGGAGGGAGGAGGTGTCTAAGCACAGATGAAGAGGAAGGTCTTCATGAAAATTTGACAAGTTTATTTCTGTCTAGAATATTCATGTTTATATGGAATCTTGAATGTGCTTTGTTTTTTCAGCTACTTTGATGCTGTTCAAGCAAAAGAGCAGCGAAGGCAGCAAAGACTCAGGGTGCACACAAGCTACGATGTGGAGAATGGAGAATTTCTCTGTCCTCTATGTGAATGTCTAAGCAATACTGTTATTCCTTTACTTCCTTCATCTCGGAGCCCATTCAACAGGTTGGATTATCTTGGCCACTCAATTTAAGAGCGCAAAGGAAATCTTGATATTTTTAGCCACTTAATATATCTTTAAGCTTCGATGCATTGTTTTTTTTGTGCAATTTAATGGATCGTGTTTGAAAGCCTACAGCTTCTGCTCTATTATTGACAGGTAGTAATATTTTATCTTGGTTGATGTCAGTTAGGAGGCTAACACTACTGTGCGCAATTGGCTGCCGCATTATGCCCACAAAATATACAGTCAATTCACTTTACAGTATATTTTGTGAAGTGCTTTGAGACATCTCGAAGACGTGATAGGGCGCTATATCTAATGCAAGGATTATTATTATATAAGAATGTTTTAAGAGCTAAGTACTTTTGGTGAAATGTTTCCCCTTCCACCTCCCTTCCCTGGCCCCCCAAATTTCCCACATACAGCCTTGACATGAATAACCAATTTTATATGGGGAATTTGTTGGCCTGGACCCAAGGAGAAACTTACTTCTCTTCGAATATTGATGTGGGATCTTTAACATCCACCTGAACAAGACCTGAGTTTATAATCTCATTTGAAAGACGGCATCTCCACCTTACTCTGTTACTGTCATCATTCCTCAGATTTTTTTTAACTTATCATTCAACTAAACTAGTCTAGCTATTCAATAGAACTGTATTCTTGATTTTGCATTGATTCTCTCAGTGATGTTATAATTTTGAATACCATCAACGTATTGCTTTAAAATTTCAGTGCATAGTACAGCTTTTTCCTGCAGTTAGTGCATCTGTTTTCTGCTCAATCAGAACAATGATCAGAACATTTTTGTGGATGAAGTTAATATTTCTTTGTTAATTAACTGGGCAGTGCACTTGCTCCCAATCAGTCTGCTTTCTGTCCCTCTCTCATCAACATCCAGCCACGAGAGAGAATGCACATCCTCCATTTTAACATAATTCATTAGGAGAACCAAGTCTATTACATAAAAAATATGCAAAGTACAATTGTCCAAAGCAAGCTTGAGAAATATATGTCAAATTATTCCTTCTGTAATGCAGTACATAGAACAGAATCAGGACAGCCTGTTTATTACTTGTTGGTATCCACTGTATAAGACACGTGAATAGGTTGTTACAGTGCTGAAATACTATGGGTATTGACTGGGATAAGAAGTGGATTAAGGTATTTCAGTTAGAGCTGCTGAGGGTTATAGTTAATTAACAGCCCTGATCTCGGACTTTCTTGTCTCTTCTAAGTGAGGCAAGCAATATAAGCATTCTATTCTTTATTGCAATGTTGTGTAATTTATAAAATATGAATTCAATCAAAATGGTAATTTTTGTTGTAGAATCTCATCAGGGTAAATTAACTAAGGTCAGGAAGGGATATATCACAGCAGGAAAGAACATGGAATTGGCAGATTAAAAAGTAGATCCCTCGCTGTTCAAAAAAGAAAATCATCTCAAGAGAATAATCCCTTCTGTGTCATTGGAACAAGTGATTGTAAGAGCTTGTGGACACTAAAGGTTGTGTGATAAATGACAGCATGTTAACAGATGTTATTATGTTGATTTCCTGCACTGGTGGTTTAATTGTGTTCCATGAACCTCTATTCATGGACTGGTAATAAACGATGGATCATTAAATCTAATAGTTTAGGTTAGCTACTGAATGTTTTATGTTACTAAATAAATCGAAAAGTTCTAAAGTATTAACAAATAACATCTGGATACATTCCGTGGAAATTGGGATTTATTTTGGAACATCCACTTCACACTCTTATTCTGAAACTGACCTGCCAGTTCCATCAGTCGCTCATGCCCATATCTGGAACTGACATTACAGCAAGTCAAGTACACGAGCACACAATCACAGGCAGATAGAAAAATTGGCCACTTTGGATTTTAGAATTTAAATTTGGTGAAAATTGTTTACCAATTGACTTTCACCGAGAAAACTGTGTTTAGAAGTGGAAATTGATAAAACAACTTTAATGGTTCTTAAATGTGTTGTGTTTCTACTTATCCAGCTAACTATAATGGCTTTGGCTGCCAGGTGGCTGGTCAATCACCAACAAAGGCTTGGATTACTGTATGTCTCTGTATCAGTTTAGACTTGGGGAGACCCCTCTTATCTAACTCGTTATCATTTGCAATGTTTATAATATACAACATATTTCACGAAAATACAGAAACAATTTGAAATATTGTACCTGTTAATACATGAAAGTTACTTTATATGACAACATAGGTGCAATGAAATGGTGTGAGAGAAGGAATGTCCCCTCACTTTTTTTTGGGTGCTCATTGCTAAATGTCTGGGCTGATTTGTCAATTCATCAAAGCATTTTTTTTGCCTCTGGGTTGCAGTTATTAGCCAGGGGGAGAGGAGGAAGAGATGTCTTGAATATTTGATAAACAAGTTTGAGATGATATAAGAATGCTAAGGCTAGTTGGAAAAGGCATAAAGGAGCAGAGCAGCATTGAGGTCTCCCGAGAAAAACTACTGGCAAAGGACAGTGGCTACTTCCACTGAACAACCTGAAACTGTACCCTTTCCATTTTTTTCTCAGTGATCATTCAAGAGCTTTTTCAGAAGTTCCCATTCTTTCTCAGTGGCTAAAATGTGTGTTGCAGCAGATCAGTGTATTGAAGAAACATCAGGAAAAGACTGATCCTGGTAAGCACTAACAGAAAAACTTGCATTTCTTGCTTATTACAAGCTGACCGGCTATAACGTGCTGTCTTTGGTCTGTATACTTTAACCCCTCTTTATAATGTGGCTGTAATAAAAATGGTTGCTATTTAGCGTTTCTAGGTCGTCGGGTAGCCTTTGATATTACTTCTCCTTGAGAACATTTCAACTGGTTGGCAGGGCATCACTTGATCCCTTCTGCACTGATGCGTTCTGTGCAAGAAGTCCCTGAAGTCTACCCTACTTTTCTACTTCTGGTATGCGGATCCATAGTTCACAATACTGAGGTGCATTGTAGCAGGGCTGGCCTGTACATTTATTTTTTTTCTGTTTTCATCTTGTGCGTATTATATATTGTAATGGAATTGGAACCTTCATTGTTCCAGGAAATTACTTAATTCATTCATGCATTGCATTTCTGAAGGTAGTAAGGGTTGTTCGACTGAAATTGTCAGTACTTAATTGCAGAAATGAAAATATTTCAGTTGTGTTCAGCATAATATATTTGCAGATCAACCCAGTACAAATTGAAGTTGCATACCAATGAACAAAAAAAAATCTGTAGCAAAACATTAATTCCTACTCAGAAATCTTGTGGACGTTTTGCACACAAAATATACAGTATATTCTGTGAAGTGCTTTTAGACGATTCAACAATGTGATAAAGTGCTATATCAAATGCAAGGATTATTATCTGTTGTGTGTCTATTGCAAATGGAATTGTCTACAGTTTCATTGATCATTTGACCATTTATGTGTTGCTGGGGTTTTTTAAATAGTGCAGGGCAAGAATGATTTGTGAAAGATTATATTTTGATTATTCTCCATCTCCATTTTATGCAGAAGGCCCTTCCAGCAGAAATCTGGAAGGTGTACAGGAAGTTGAAGTCCATGATGGATTAAGACCTGATGCAAAATCAAAGTATGTATTCTGCTCAATTGCTATTTCCAAAATGTAGCCTGTTTTTTTTAATGAAAAGCTCCAGTTTTACTCATTCAAATCACTGATATTTGGGATCCTTTGGAGAGATGAGCTCAGAATGTATATTCAATTTTGTCACATAGCAGTTTATTTCTGCATTATATAGGATCAAGTCTGAAAAAGTCCTTAACTACAACAATTTTCAATTGTGTAGCAATAATTATGACAATCCTTTTTAACTAATAATAACTTGTCAGTGGACTTGAATTGAATTGTAAACCTACACAAATCCTACATTGAAATCTGCAAGTCCTAATGAATGGAATGTAGAAGCAGTGGAGTCAAAAAGAGAAGGTTAGAGCAAACTAGTTTATCAGTTTCACCTGACTACCACTTGTCACCAAAGATGTACCTAATGATAAATATCGATCGTCTATCAGGAAATATTCCTATATTCACTTTTCTACTCTGCAGAGCCTCAGCATTTTGAATATCCCTTTTATGAAAGAAGCTGCTCAGTTGATGTTAGCTGTAGAATCGGTAAAATTACCCTGATACCTTCTTTCCCTTTAAATCCCTGTGTTTAGGATTAGTAAAGTTATTTTTCTAGCAAATTGGAGTATCACCCTATGAAAGTCTAATGGATTTGCTGGACAGTCGACACTCAAAATTAAGTAGATCGTGGATAGAGCAGTTTTCTGTTTAGCTATAAATTTGATTTGCTAGGGATTAAAATCGGTATATATCAATGGCCCATGACATAAAGCTTTATTTTTGTGACTTCTCTTTTGCTTGATTTATGTCATAGATATGCTTCTAAGACACTTTATTAATTTATTTTTAAAATTTTTCTTTGTTAGCTGATTGAGAGATGTTTGTGACTGGAATATAACTTGCAATAATGCTGTATATTCTTATAATAATTCTGTATATTTCTTATTATAGGAATCCTTACTCTGATAGTATCAAAGAGATGTTGACTACCTTTGCTACAGCAACATACAAAGTAGGGCTGAAGGTTCATCCTAATGAGCAAGACCCAAGAGTGCCTATAATGTGCTGGGGGAGCTGTGCATACACAATACAAGCAATAGGTGAATAGCAATGTATGGATGCTGAACATCCTCGTAGGAAACTGATGTTTACAAAGAGAAGATTAAATCAATTAATTTTTAGAAAGCAATTTAACAATTGAGTTGTCAGATCATCATGTTTATTCCTGTGCCTTAGAAACTCAAGTGTACACATTTTATTTTGCAAAGTTAATTCAAAACCTTGCCAAATTTGAATGGTGCATATTTTAATTTGGTAATTTGCACACTGGTATTCCCAGCACAAGATTATTAAATTGCATCTTCACCTTTCAGAACGTCTCTTAGCAGATGAAGAAAAGCCTTTATTTGGGCATTTACCATGCAGGCAGGTAAGAGTTTTTTTAAAAAAATATATAAATGGACTTCTGAGAATTATTGAACATAGTTGCAGAACATGAAAATGCAATCTGAAACTGAAATAACATGAATACAGTGTGAGATTTTGCAGTTGTTTGAAGATGTACTGGGAGAAAATAGAGGAATGCTATTCTTTTAAAGTAGCAGAGATCAATGTATGCTATAAACTTTGTTCCTCCCCCATTATATAACTTCAGAACTACGTGACTCCTCAGTTACTCAGGGTGCGCTCTTTGTAAAATTTAATTTTAAAAGGTTGAACGAGTAAAGATTTAACACAAAATGCCAAAAGATTTAATTGAACCAAGTTCACATGTTCCAGGAATTCTTGGATTGCCACTGTGGGAAGCACATATAATAGTTTTCACCAGCTATGATTATACTTTGCAGGATGACTGTCTAAAGGCATTAACCAGATTTGCTGCTGCACACAGGACTGTGAGTTCTTTGCCTGTGGTGGAGAAACATTTTGCAAGACTGCTAGCAGGTTTGTGCTCCATGCACTTTATTGCAAAATTATAATTCTTGCACAACAATTGCAGTAGAGCTTTCTTTTTAAAAGGAAATCAATATATTTGCCGAATTTGATCTTAAATATCTGCAAATTAAGGTATAGTTTGTGGAAGTTAATCAGCAGTATTAAATCTAACAAATTATCTTGGACAATATCTTGACTTGAATTTGTGAGTTCTCGTTCATACGGATCAAAACATTGTGGGTTAAAACCTTGCTTAATCTTGGCTAACTAGTCCAGTCCTAGGAGAATGCTGGGTCTCTTCTGCCAGCTCAGGTAAAAATAGGAAAAGGGGGTTTCTCCCAGTGTTCCGGCAACTTTCCTCTTGATTAGCTGTTCATTCACCTCCTGGTTGTTGCTATGACCTTTGCTGCTGCAAATAATTGCCATGTTATCCAACAGAAACAGTTACTACACTTGACAGTATTTACTTATAAAGTGCTTTGAGACATTTCAATGTTCTAGGTGTTATATTGAATGCGTGGATTATTTTTATTTTATTCTAAATTAAGTAATTTAGGACCTGAGTTAAGCAATAATTTTGCAGTATGAAGGATTTCAGGCCATCATAAAAATCTAAAATATGTTTTTCTTCCCAATCAGTTCTAGTACCTGATGAAAAGGCTGAGACTCCTCCATCCATTCTTGATGTGGATATGTTCCATTTATTGGTAGGTCTTCACTCTATCTGTATTTGTGCTCTGATTAAAAGAACTGGCACTAAGTGATGTTGCAAGGCTATTAGAATGACTTCAGTGATCTCAATAAAAAAGACAGATCTTGTTTTAAATGCGTTTTATACATTGCGTTGATTGAATGTTGGTGCTTTATTTGCTGTCATTTTTTTCTGAATTTAGACTTTTAATATTGAAATACATTCTATGTTCACAATGACAACATTCTTAGATTTCCATAAGTAATGCGATTTAAGTAGTCAGCAATACTTTGAAAATGTATTATGCTTCTACTGTTATAACTGGCTGTGAATTGCAGTTTGTGGATGAAACCTGCTGGCACCTAGAGTGTTTGATCCCTTATGAAGAATCATAAGGTTTAAATTCCTCTCGCTTTCTCCATCCATCTTTAAATTGCCTTGGTCTACTGACTAGTCATGACTTGAATGTTGCTTGATTTATCTCTTTAACCCAAGTCATCTATGCATTTCATATTGTGTGAAAGAGAGCGACATTGTAATTTTAACAATAAATTATGGGTATTTTGAATTTTTAAGTAATGTTCAGAGAGCTCTTGGAATTTGAAGGATAATTTGATCTTTCTATAGAAAGTGTAGAGATTTTTGCCTACTTTTGGTTGGCTTTATTACTTTTATATGATCTAATTTGGGGAGTACGTCAATCATGGTGATGTGGTAGAGTAGTATAGTTTAATATTTATTCTTCAACAACTTTGTTCTGAATAGTTGTCAATTTTATAATGTGTGTATACATTATTATGGTTTAATTATCTGCTTGCTTTACTGTCCGTGACTGAATTGTTTTCTTTGTAGGTAAGCCTGGTACTGGCTTTCCCAGCTCTGCATTGTCATGACTTCACAGGAGTCAGCTTAGCTGTTGGGGACTTTCACCTCTTCCACCTAGTTACCATGGCACACATTGTACAGATTCTGCTTACATCTTCAACAGGTAATGTGGAACTCATTCATTATATTGTAAAAAACTCTTAATTGTAGCCTTCTGATAGTGAACAGATCTTTCCTTGTACATTGTACTTTGTTGTGAGTTATGATAAATCTACTTGGTAGAATTATTTAAAATATATTCACAGTTGACGAGCATCACTGCAGTAATGCTTAAGCTATGTCTTTGACTCGATTGCTGTTTCACTTTTCCTAGAAGAAAATAACATGGAGCAGGAGAGTGTTGATGGAGATGAGGAGATTTCTGTTTTGGCGTTATACAACCAACTTAGGCAACACTCTGGAAGGTAAACTGCAATATTGCTGGCCACTTGCCAGGAACAGACTGAACTGTTGTATTCCATCTGTGCAAAACAGACCATTACCTTTGGTGTAAGAATCAGATTTGAAACTAAAATTGTTCAATTAATTGTTTTGTGCAGTGTTTCCCATGTCCTTCTGTGCTTTGGGAGAAAGCAACAACCAAGAAGTTGTTTCCTTTATCAAATCAAATGTTGCAATAAACCCAAAGTTCTAAGTGCTTTTTGCATAGAATTCATGATGCAAATTGTTTCCCTCCCCCTCCTACCTCTGTTTTTCCCACACAAGCAGCTTGTTAACTTTCTAAAGGCACGCTTGCCAAATGCTGCTTTGTCATCAGGCTTTGTCATTTGTTTGCTATAGTGTGGTCTGCTTGAGTGTAATGAAACCTTTGCTACACCCACCAAACCGTATACTCCCTCCATAATAATCCCTCCAAAAAAACAAAAACAATAATAAATTGGTCATTTTCAATCTACGACTGTTTGTGGGACGTTGCTGTGCGCAATTGGCTGCCGCGTTCGCCCACAAATATACAGTCAATTCACTTTACAGTGTGTTCTGTGAAGCGCTTTGGGATGTCCTCCCGACGTGAAAAGCGCTGTATCAAATGCAAGGATTATTATTATTGCTGTGCGCAATTGGCTGCCGCGTTCACTCACAAATATACAGTCAATTCACTTTACAGTGTGTTCTGTGAAGCGCTTTGGGACGTCCTCCCGACGTGAAAAGCGCTATATCAAATACAAGAATTATTATTATACAACTTCCTGTATGTTTGATCGAGTTACAGTGTGAGTTTCTTGCAAGAGGTATGAAGCCGAATGTAATACTCCCATCTAGTGGCCCAGGCAAATACAGATGATCTTGTGTATGGTTATGTTAACACAAGAAAGGCAGGGAATCCAGTGACAGAAATCCTCTGGAACTTGGGAGACCAAAGGTTGTCATTGTGCTGACTAAAGTTTAAAAATGTGGCGATATGTATTATATATCAAAAATTATGTTTCACTTTGCTGTTCATTATTGTTCATTAGTCCTCTAATTTGATTCAGACAATGATTTATTGTGAAATGTTGATTGACAACATCATTTGGGAGCAGCTGCCCTCATGGCTCTGCAGGTAGGTTTTTTGGTCTGTGCTAACTGAATTAATCTCAGACGGGGTGGTTGGGTGCTACAGTGGACCTGTTAGAGGTGTATGAAATTTTAAATAGGATTGAAGAAGTAAGCCTAGAACAATACTTTAGGCTGCACCAATACAGTAGAACTAGAAGACCTAGGTGTAACATAACAAAGGGGAGATTGAAAACAAATACCAGGACGTTTTTCTTTACCCAGAGGGTAATTAACAACAACAACTTGCACTTATATAGCGCACTCCACACAGGGTAGCGTTACAGAGCTTAACAGTGGGGGAGCCTGACTCTGAGCCGGGACGTAGTCACGACTGGAATGGCTTGCCAGGAAAAGTAGTTGAGGCCAGGTTACTGGACATAATGATGCTATGATGAGATCAGTTAGGCTGTAGTGGCTTCTTCATCCACACCGAGCTTGTCAAATACAATGAATGGCTTGTATGTTTTTATTTCAGTATATACTATGGTATGTAACTTTTCTCAAACTGGAATCTAGATAGTTCACGAAGAATTGACACTACTTTGTTCTATCTCTACAGTGCCTTGAATGTAATATCCTCAGGTTGGCATCTGTGGCGATGTGTGAAGGCTGGAATAAAACCCTATCTTCGATGTTCTGCTTTGCTATTTCACTATCTGAATGGTGTCCCAGTACCAGTAGAATTACAAGGTAACACTTTTTTTCCAATGAGATTGTTCCAAACTACAGTAGAACCCTGATATTAAGCTTTTCATTGTGTAGATTCTTTGGGCCGTGGACCCCATTATTTACTTACAAAAAACCCCCAGAAATGCAGGCAATGGCTCCTTCATCTTCGCTGGCGCGAGGAAGCCAAAATGGCTAACTTCTGGGACAACTTGTGATTGTTGTCACTTTTTACTCCTGCACTTTGGGACATCCTCCTGAATTGAAAGTCGCTGTACAAATGTAATTTGTTGTTGTTGCACAGGAAGTAACATCAGCAGTAACATAATTGCATGGAAATTGACTATCTTGGCTTCCATGCATCAGTCTTATCTCTCTGCCTGTATAGACAGTGAATATGGAACGCTGACCAGAGATCGCACCGCGTTATAGACAACTCCTTTAGACAATAATTGTCTGTATTTGTGTTTTAGCATTCCAAAAAACTTGGATTAAATTACTTTCTTGTCTAACTATCAAAAGAAAATGGAGTTTTCATTAATTCACAGGTGTTTGATGCTGGTCAAGCACAGTGGAGTCCTGTAGCTCAGTGGTTAGAGCACTCGCTTTGCAAGTGAGAGACCTGAGTTCAATTCCAGGCAGGGCGAAACCTTGGGCAAGTTTCCTTACTCCACACACCTAATAATAATCCCTCCAAAAACAAAAAACAATAATAAATTGGTCATTTTCAATCTATGACTGTTTGTGGGACATTGCTGTGCGCAATTGGCTGCCGCGTTCGCCCACAAATATACAGTCAATTCACTTTACAGTGTGTTCTGTGAAGCGCTTTGGGGCGTCCTCCCGACGTGAAAAGCGCTACATCAAATGCAAGGATTATTATTATTATTTTTTAAAATATTTGTACAACATTGGCTAGTGTTTTTTGGATGCAGTTCCAACAGAGTATTATTTCCATCTTTTTCAGAGCTTGGAGCAGATGACTTTGAACTATTGTGTAGCTACCTTTCTCTACCAGCAAACCTAATGAGCCTTTTCCAATCTGACAGCAATATAATTGATCCATTGATACAAAGGTAATGTTTCTGGTATGATGCTTTCTTTAATACAAGATACTTCTACAGTAGATGGGAAATCAAACTGTTCTTGCTCGAAAAAATGTATTTTGTCTCTTCCCTAACAGCATTCTGCTGAAACTGAATATTTTGGTTTGACTCAACATTTGGGAGAATCAATTTGTTTTTAAAAGCTTTTATCTGCTTCTCATCTTGTCAGCCAATGATTTGAATAGATTTGATTGTGTTTTTCATTTCTAAAATGCTTGTTATGCTACTATGCAATCTCATTGGGGAGGGACAAAGTCCTGTGCATGATATGTTGCTATAAATGTGACAGGCTAATCTACCTTACTCACATTGAAATTATAGATGGTGTGGAGTTGTAGAAGTGCAGAAGTTTGTGAAGGGAGAGAGAGCTGCTATAAGGTAGGTTGGTAACATGTGGCCTTATCAGTGGTTCATTTGCAATTTTGATTGCATCAGTCCACAGATGTCATAGATCTCAGTTGTAAACATTTTTTTGTTCTAGCTATCCCAGGGAGTCAAACAAATTGATAGATCTTCCTGATGATTACAGCTGCCTCATAAACCGGGCGTCTTGTTTTACGTACGTATTGGAATTTTTTTCCAATTGATTGTATTTTTGTGTACAATATTTACAGATTTGTAATGTGTAATTAAACTGAATGTGATAACAGCAGAAAATTGTCTCACCTTGAAATCTAATCAGTTTAGCAGTGTGGTGCAAATACAATCTAATTTCATTTGTAATTGATCAGATCTGCATCAACATTAATTCCACCCCCTATCTCCACCACCACTGCCTTTACACACATTCATTGTTTTTCTCCTATGAAATAGATGTCCAAAATCAGGTGGGGATAAAAGCAGAGCTCCAACTCTTTGCTTGGTGTGTGGTGCAATGCTGTGTTCCCAGAGCTACTGCTGTCAGACAGAGCTGGAAGGAGAAGATGTTGGGGCTTGCACTGCTCATACCTACAATTGTGGTTGTGGAGTTGGAATATTTCTGAGGTGAGTGAATACTTAATTACTCTAACTCTTTGTGAGCCATTTAGTTTAGGTAGGATCACAAGTTACAATTGGTGAAGATTCAGATAGTTTCTATCATTGCAATGATAATGGATTGTAAAATCAAGCATGCCTTGAAACTGTAAAGGTAGAACACCATTATTGTTTTAGTGTTTCAAATTCCAGTCTCGCTGCCAATTTTCTTTACTCATCTAATGAAGAGACTGATAATAAAGTTGCACAGGTCCAGACAGCCGTCCGGTCAAAGCAGCCATTCTTCAAGTGCAAGTCTACATGAGTGTCAGCAGGTTGATTAGCGGATACCATCAATGGGTTCTGATCTCACCGTTTCTTAAGGTCGACCATATGAAACATCATACCAGGGGTCACTGAATAATGACGGCAGCATTTTAGCATTCTGTGATCCGTACGCTTTATTTCTGTAACAAAATTTGTATTGTATTTGTACAGGAGAATATTGAGAACAACAACTTGCATTTATATAGTGCCCTTCACGCCGGGTAGCATCCCAGAGTGCTTAACAGTAGCGGGGTCTGGGTTTCACTAATTTAAGACTGCTAGATATATTGATCTGCTTATTTGATTTCTCCCAAAAGTGGCAAGAAATGGAACCACTGATTTTATTGTTCTTGAAAATAAAAGCACCGAAATGATGTCCAATAAATACACAATACCGTTTCATTTCCTGCGTATTTTTAGAGTTCGAGAAAGTCAGGTGCTGTTCTTGGCAGGGAAGACGAAAGGGTGTTTTTATCCACCACCCTACCTTGATGATTATGGAGAGACTGATCAAGGCCTGAGGTAAACTGTTGAAATACTTCTAAGAAGTACTTGTATTTGATTTTCTGTCTTATTGTAGCAAAACAACTGTAAGACCCACACACGATTAATTGAAACTTGCTGATTACAGGGCAATCCCATTGCCATAGTTAAACGTCCATTTGCATAGAACACAGTGGTCTCCAATGGACATGTGCTATACCAGCTTTGGGTGCTGGCTAACCAGTTTCTCCCTTCAAATAACTGACTTCTGGGCCATCCTGTTTGCGACTGATAACACTTCCTGTGTACACACGTGCTAGCCACAAGACGATTCACAGATGTCATTTCCTCTACAACGTATCCAGGAATCGCCACTGACATAGCTGCTCAAAGGGTCAGTGGCAACCTGATGACCCAGAACCTGGCCAATTTTTTGCTGTTTGTTGTAACACAGCTTCTGAGCTATTGAACCTGGACAACACATTATAACAGAAATCCTATATTAATTAGGCATATGCGGCAGCTAATCGCTCCCAGTCATATCTCACAGGTGATCAAATTCATTTTTGTGACTTGTTTAGTACATTTGAATGGCAAATATTAGCTAGGCCACAAGGATAATTCTTGACTGTTTTATAATTGTTAAAAAATTATTTTTGGCAGTTCTCATCTGTTCTGAGGATTTTTTTTAGATCTTGAACCACTGCTCCTGAATCATTTCAGGAATTAAATCTGTAGATCTTTTTCTTCCCATGAAATACATTTATTGGCTGTTATTGAATCCAAGTTCCTTTGATTGCTTGCAGCTATCCATACCATGGTCATTAACATTATTGTTTGATGGTTTTTATGGGGGGTGGGGGTTAAGGTATTGATAGTTTGAAGATAAATACTTGGCATCCATTGTTCTTTTGGCTTGACAGTTGTAATCTTATTTGAGTTATATTTTCCAGACGAGGGAACCCCCTTCATCTCTGCAAAGAACGTTACAGGAAGCTGCAGAAGCTGTGGCAGCAGCACAGCATTACAGAGGAAATTGGCCATGCACAGGAAGCAAATCAGACGCTAGTTGGCATTGACTGGCAGCACTTGTGATAGTTTTCGACAGAGAATCTGTGAACCGTTTGCACATCTGAAGCAAAAACAAAATCCTCTTAAGGGAAGTCAGAGGATTGGTTTGAACACACCTCAGGCAACCACTTGGAAACACACAGAAGCACTTGCTTCTAAATTTCAGTAATTTAACATCTGTGTATAACTGTTCACCTGTCATTAAACTGTGAATGCATGTGAAGTGCATATTCTAAAGAGATGTCATTAGCTTTATTTGCACTTGAAGTCTTCTCCACAAAGATGGAACCTTTTGGGATAATAAATTCCACATCTTTGAAGTAGCTGATATTTGGATCAGAGTTATTTATCAGGTTTTGGACAAATACAATGGACAGCAAAGTATGTTACTGTGCTTTGTAGTTAGTATGTCCAATAATCAAGACAAACATTGCTGGACTAGGTTGAAGACTTATTTTTAAGATTTTTTCTCTCTTCCCCCCCCACACCTGTGTCTTTTCTCTCTCCCTTAATCCCTTTTGTGAGTTGAATGGGTTTACACCAAATGTGTGTTAAAGTGTGCACCTGCTTTCAGTTAACTATTCTGGAACTGAGCTTACTCTGGTTACCAGTACAGAATTTCTCTTAAGTGAATGCGTAATTTGCTGCATCTTATTGACGTGAAAAAAATCACATTTAAAATATTCCTGTTTTATTAAAAACCTACTGTAAAATGCATTTTATAGTTTAGTTTTATTGTAAAGTTTTAAAAAAAATGGCAGCCATATGTTGCAAAACGTGATTCTAAACAAATGTTTAAATGTGTAGGTTCTAATATGGCAAGAAATAATTCAAGCATTGTAAAAAAATGCGGTTAAAGGATTACCATTGGGTGAAGAATGAAAACGGTTTTGATTTTATTATTTCGCTGCTTATCTGAAGCATTTACTTAAATATTTGCTTAAGTAAAATTCATTGTAATTAGACTGGTAATCACTATGAACTGCTTTTTATGCACTACCACTCAAACTAGTAATAACTCAGATATATTGATCTTTGGCTGGAATATTTCAGAGTTTTGTTTTCTAGAAGCTAACGAGGAAAGATTTTCTCAAATAGTATGAAAATGGGAAGAGACTCGTGAATTCATCTTGTTTTAGGAAGAATAGTCTAGAATAAGCTTGAGTAATTTTCTCAGTCATCCGTATTCCAAGATGTGAGATATCCTTTCCCAACTCTTACTGGAGTCTGGCAAAATATTATTTTATGTGTTAATCCCTTTAAGAAATATGTTGTGATAGTGTGGGCTATTTCTTCAGTGGCTTTGGGTTGGAGGGTTTATGTGTGCTGAACAAAGTAAAGTAAGTAGATTAACTGCTCATTTGATAAAATTCCAAGTGTTAAATTAACAACAGTAAAACATTTTGAAACCACCTATTGTGGAGAGTCAATGGAGGCTGTTGATCCTGTCACTGATCCTTTACAGTGAGGGTTTTTTGTTGAGAACATGCTGTATACAATTCCAGCATACAGCTCAAAATTTTAATTCATAAAATGAGTTATTTGCACCGAGAGGATCTTGTAGTCTTTGAAGGCGACTTTGCACATGTTTTTCCTTTGCTTGTTTTCTTTCAAGCCTGCACCATTCTTTTGAGGGCACTGTTACTGGTATAAATCTTTAACATAAGTCTTCTCACAATACATTTTGTTATTTTGAGTAGGGTTTTATGCATTCTCCTGCTATTTGTTCCTAATGTTTCCTAACTCGAGATGAGATTGGGTCACAGCAGGATAAGATTCCTTGGGGCTGCGATCCCAGACATTTCTTTTTTAAAAGAAATTGCTTTGTTATAGAGAACTGCAGATTGTTTCCACTTTAAAGATTTTTTGGCACCTTTCCTCAAAAAGGACTGTAAAAATATTTATCTTTTTTATTTTTGCCATGCTTTTTAAGAACCAGCATAATCAAGAGATCAGACGAACAACCTAGAGTTCAGAATGTGGTTGGCATAGCTTATGCTAATAGTGAATAAAGATCAAGGAAGTAAACTTCAAAATTGACTTTTTTCAGGCATTTTAATAAATTTTGCTTGCTCATATAATTGTTTGGCATTAAACAAAATTTCAGAAAATGAACTACTTTTCCAACAAATGTACTTTTTTTGCCCAGTATTGTTCGTCTCAGTTAAAACATGATCTTCCTTGATAATTCATTGAGTTTGAAGCTCTTATCACTGGCCCCAGTTACTTTATTAACCCTGATTGTGTTCAGGCCTGCACTTCTGCTCTTGATTCCAAATATACAGGTAGCATGATGCATTTGTGTAGAAAATAACTAATTCTATGTTTTTCCTGCGACTTCCTGATCAATAGTTATACAGATATTTGTTACAAATTTGTTTAATTTCTAGGAATAATATTTTAAATGTTTTTCATTTTGCATCCTTCCAATAATAAGCTGAAATTGTGTATTTATAATACAATTTAATTATATTGTTGGAAGGGTGCAAAATTTGGCTGAATTTACCAATATTTCTTGCTATCACGAGTAGAAAATCAAACCTTGCACTTCTGCTTCATATTCAAATGCATGTTAAGTTCTTTTTCTCTCTCTCTGCATATAACTATCCACGTCCCGATTGCTTAATTTGTATTGCCTTTGTCAGGAATAAAAGATTCTCCACTGATTCCATTTTATTAAGATTAGAGCAACACTGTATAGCCACCTTGGGCAGTCATTCAATAATTTTGAACTAGCCATTTTATGTTTTTTCCTGCTGTTGTCTGATTCTGGTTGAGAAGCGTATTAGTTTTAAATGATAGATTCAGTGTAGTTTTGGTTACATTTATCCCTTTTGAATCGTGCAGTGTTAGAAACTTAAAATCCTCAAAATGTGAGCAAGGTGTTGTATGGTGTGAAAAATCCTCTTTTTTTCATTACAATTCACGTTTTGTTAAGAAAACTCATAGAATTCTCCAAACACATGACTGTGAATGTGCAGTTTCACCCACACCTAAACTATTAAAATATGACTTATTTAGCGCTGGTACTTATGGTACTTTCTTTTGTCTTAATTTTGTGTATGGAGTTTTACTCAAATTTATTGTTTAAAGTGTTAATATTGAGAAAATTAACATGAACTCAGATTGAGTATGAATTCCATAAGGAACAAGACATTTAACCTCTGCCATTGGTCACACAATTCACAAATGTGTCATTGGGTATTTTTTAAACACCGGCACATGAGCTGTTCAAAATCAAAATATATTTAGTGTTGGTTCAAAGTAATAAATGCCCCTAATATGTTGTGTAGAAACTGTCCCATGATCATTTTCACTTTTGGAATTAAAATTGTCATGAATAACATTTCTTTCCAGGGTGGGGGTGGGAGGGTGGGTGGGGAAGAGAATTGTTTCAAATGATTGAGTCAGTAACTAAAAAGGTGCTGCAGTTTCAGTGTAACAATAGGAAATGCTTGGTCTTCCAGCTGTTTTTTTAAAAAAATTGTGTAATCTGCATTAATATTTCCGGCAAACAATCCCATGGAGAAGCAAGGCTTAAATGCAGTGTTGTGAAATGTGAGGCAATTACGCTTTTCCTCCTATGGACATAGACTAGAGGCCTGAGGTAGCTTAATGAATTCATAATCTTGTTTAATTTAGGCTAACATACGTATTCCTGGCACAGAACATACATCTGCTTCCTTTCCTTTTACTGGTCCTGTATTATCCTTACTGCATTTTCTTGTATTGTGCAATTTTCTCACAAAAAAACATTTTAGCATGTATTTACACTTACTGTAGAAATGTTTATAAGAACACAGGAATACTTTCAGAATTGGGGGGAAATAATACTTGTAATAAATGGGCTGTTAATATATGTGGAATTCATGTATAATTGGTACTATGTACTATATGTAAAAAGCGTTTAAGATTCAAAATAAATGCTTTAGGTGTTAAGAGATCTTTGTTCCTCTTTCATGTCACAAATGGATGGATGTGTTGAGAATTTTTTCTAACCTAGATTGTATGTCTGGTCTTTCACAGAGTTTACATTTGTTAATTTACTTTTTGAAATTACATTTATTGTGGTTAGATTTCACTATCAATTGCAATTTAGAGATTTTAACTAAATGGAACTTCTCTCTGGAATCTTGCTCAAATAGTCATTCTTCATGTGTTATGGTGTTTTTAAGTTTCCATAGTAACTCACTGGCTAAAATAAAATTGCATAGATGGATTGAATCTTCAACATTGTGCAATGTCTCACCTAAAATACACCTAAATTTTTAGAAATGTTATTTATATAATATAAGCACAACATATGTCCATACGATAGTGCTTGTGTGAGTAATAGTGACCCTGTGTGAGTAAGACACATGGCTTATGATTAAAATTTAATAATGCACAAAAAAAGACAATTGCTTGAATTTTGGAGGTAAATTTGGATTTAGTTGAAATGCAAAAAAATACAATTATCACAAAATTGCTCTAATGAGTAAGGATTTGATAGTCTTGTAGTTCTTGGGTGAGGAATACTGCAGTTCTCAAAAAAACAATGAGATACGCTTCAAACCTCCAATGTACATCATATTGTAAATGCTACGTTCTTACATTCTAATGGTTGTAACCAAGTATGTAGGCATGGAGCCAGAGTTCGGTTGGCATTTAAACTGTTATTTGCAATGTCACTGATGTGGATTTACAAAATCTATGATCATGTTACTTAGAAAGTCGTCAAAGCCAGCCAATGATGGCATTGTTTGACATTTATTTCTTGATTTTTAAACATTTTTTTTATTGCTGAGAGCTGCTGGATTTACTAGTATAAAGGTCATAAGCAGTTAAAATAACATTGCAAAACATAAAACTATTGATGGCACCTATTGATATTCTTCCCTCCTCTTTTTCTGTCAAACACAGTAATTCCTCCAAGACGGTTATGCTATAACTATTATGTTATAGGTAATGCTATATTACCTAATCACGGTTTTAAGTGTTATTTTTTAACAGGACAATAATGGTTTTAGTATTGTGTTTTGCAACTTGGAGGTGTGAACTATTCAAAAATCCTCTTGCATTACTTCAAGGTTTATCTATTTCAGTAGATCGGTTTTGAATGGCCTTGATCTGTCAAACTGACTGAGCGGATGTATACATAAGTAATGTATTTAATAACTGCACGGATTGCAGTTTTAATATCCTAAATTTTTAAGATGATTATCTTAGACTAATCCTACCTACATCATTTTGAATAACACTGTGACATTATGTAAGTAGGTTGGAGAAGGCAAACGAAGGACCTGTGATTGTAGTAAATGGTGTTCAGATTGTCCAATATCTCTGCAAACAAAACTAAAAACACTGATGTTAAGTTACAGTTTGTGGTAAGCATAGGATGTGTTTTGTCATTGACAAAAAAATACAAGTAAAAAGGAAAATATAATATTTAGGTGCCAATAAAATTGAAGATCCTTTTTGTGAGTTCTCGGGTATTGACACTTTCTTTGCAAATCTATTTGCTCAGGGGAATGACATCAGTGATGTAATTATGATGAATAGATGAAAGGTCATATGCTTTCATGTTAACAATTTTGGTGACGCGTACAAACTTGGCTTGCCTGATTGAAAGTAGTTATGAAAAATGGATAAGAGTGTAAGTGCTTTGTGAGGCATGGCACTGAGCTGCACAGGGTAAGAAGTTGCTTCACTTGTTAGGCTGAAAAAAGAGAAGTTGGCCAAGGTTCCCTCCTGCTCACTGTTGAGCAAATTCTGCTGGAAGTATACATTTGGGTACCAAGAGAGGACAAGGTTAGTCTGACAACAAAGCCTTCAATGGTCACTGTCAGGCTCGTACGTGGTGAATGGCCAGTCGGATAAAAGTACAGGAAGACCAATGAATCACCCAGCATCAGTTATCTAATGAGAGGTTAAAAAAAAAGTGAGTTATCCCCCCCTCCCCACCACCACCCAGACGTTATTTGTTTCTTAGCTGTTTTGTGAGACTTTGCTGTGCGCAATTGGATTGCTACATTCACCTTCAAAAACACAGTCACTAACAGTAAATTCTGTGTAAACTATACCAAATTAAGGGATTATTATTAGCAATTAACTGAATATACATAGGTTCCCCAACTATTTTTTGTGCTGTGAAATGATAATGAACACAGTAGTTTTTTTAAATAACCATGTCTTATATTCACTTAATGCAATACTATACATCATTCTACGGCTTAATATTTTTACAACAAATACAGTAAACTGGAAGTTAAAGCAGTGGTTTAAAAATTAACGTCTCTTTGCTCAGGTAAGTGGATACTGAATGGATGTCAGATGCTTTTGAGTTACATGATCAGATGATTAACTGAGATGTAGTTTTTGTGAGCTGTTTGAGCAAAAAGGGACCAAATACAAGGGTCCTTGTGCAATCTAACTAAAATGGCCAAAATTCCCATCAATTCTGCTTTGTATGCTGCAGCCTATTATTTAAGTAAGATTAAATTAGACCCAGAAAAATTGCTTTTAGGAAAAGGAGTAGGCCATTCAGCCCCTTGAGTCTGTCCCGCCATTCTATAAGATCATGGCTGATTCAGTTCCAGAGGCAACTCAAGTTGCTTTCTCCTCGCATGGTAGGAGACGAGTGCACACGAACTTCATCCTGCTCGGGGAGAAATGCATTTCATTTTTTGTGCTCCCAGTGTTAATGGAAACTTTAGATGTATTATTTCCATGTGGTCACATAAACCACTCACGAGTCAGACTTAACAGGTGGCAACACTAACCTGCAACACTACCATCCATTCAGTATTCTGTTTATAACATTCAATGGCAATGTGTCTGTGCACCTTTTATTTATGATGTAAAATTAATAATTATCTGATAGTGCTTCATTGCTCCAAACTATTTTTTTTATTAAAAATACATGTGTTGGATTTTATGAGTGTTACAAACAGTTGCTTTAACTCAGTCTTATCACAAAAAGCACCGATTAAGATAAAAATGTTGTTTGGGAACAAATTAACCTTCAATAATCAAATATGACTACTCTATTTCGTATTTCTAGGCAATGTAGAAATAGTAACATTAAATCAGCAGTGAAGGTTCAAATTAACATGTTTAATCCTTTGAGCACTGGCTATTTGAAGCTTTCAAAACATGTACCTTATTTCCTGTTATGTCTAACAGGTTCCATTTTTAGAATATCTCCAATGTCACAATTTGTTAATTTTTGATTTTTAGAATATCTCAAATATATTTTTCTAACATTGATGCAGTCCTCAAAAAGCTAAACTCAGTCTGAGTGAACTAACAGTCCTGTCTCGCACAAAACAAAGTGAAATTCAGAACTTGAGCCTGAAAAATGAGCTATGAAATATTGTCAACTGCTTCCTACAAATCATAAATCTCTACCACTTGAGCTTGATGCCTATTAATACTCACTACAGCCCCTCCCAATACATAACCCACCTACTTAGTGTAAAGGTCATTTAGTTTTTAATTAGGGCCCGAAGTCCAAATCCAGGTGCAACAAATTGCATCATCCCACCCTCCAAAGTGAACACATTTGCCCAATGACTTCCCTATTGCAATCTCACGAGAAAAGATCATTTTTAATATAGGATTTTAGTCAGGAACTTTGAATTAAAAAGTCTCACATGTTTTCCTTTGAGAGACTGTTTTCAGGTGATGATTTGGTTTTGTTAAGTTTGTTCAAATATTTCCCAGTCTTTTTCAATTCAGTGCCATGTATTGGAACAAACCAGCATTGTGAAGCAACATTGTGGAGCAAGCCTGGTGCCAATGCTCCATTCACGACTAGGAAATGTTCATTTGGACCCTTGTCTTAACTGACCTTTGCACGGGGGCTTCACCAGGAGTTGCTTACTATTTGTCATATTATGCCTTCTATTTGGTAGGCGACTGGGAGCATTTTCCAACTCGTGCAGGTTGACTGAGCTGCATTGTTCAAGGATAGATTGCCCCTACCTACTGACCAACCGAGGAGGCTAAATGAGAATTGAAAGAAGCAGAAAAAGTGAGTGGTTGTTTCCAAACCTTGCATTTCCAGTTTCTAAAGAGAATCTGATTAGAGGAAGTTGTAAAGGACAGAATGTTAGAACAATGTCTGAGGACTTCAAGACATCTAAAGACTTCCGAGGTGGTACCATTCTTACTGTCCTCTTGTATTTATCGTACCTTTCTGCGTCACTTTAGCTGTCTTCGTCAATTACTTTGATGCAATGTCTCCTTTGAAAAACTTTACAAAGGTCAATCCTATAAACTGGTATTAAAGAGATTAGGATTGTGTTTATCCTGGTAGTTGCTGTGTACGGTTATACCTTTAAGAACTGCCTACACATGAAAACATCTGCAGTTCTTATCACGCAAGACTGGTTAGGTAGACTATTAGAAACACTTCCAAATGACCACCCAATCCCTCCTATCTTCATTAAACAATTTGGACCACCTGAAATGAAATGCTATACATACCACATTTCGCTAGTACACCTCACAGTACGTGATACAATTTAATATATTTTACGTTTACAATGAGTAAATCTGAAATTTTGGTAGCAAAATCTATTTACAAAAAATTATTTTTCAATTTCCATCACTTAAAGCAATAAATGTAATGTGATTGCAATGATTATTGTACATTATGGCCTATTAATTAAATTAATTTTACTTAAAGTCTAAAGTATGCCTGGTAGGTCAATGAACATTGTCGTCCTGTGCCCAATGAAAAAACGCATTTTCCCATGCCACAGGAAATCTATTAATAGTTAAAATGGATGAATTCAGTTTTATGTAATCTGCAATTGTTGCATTTTAGTGTGCCAATTATTGAATATTTGGTTACTTGATCTATCTGAGTTGCTAAGCAGATGTGATGTGGCTTGTGGTGGTGGGGAGAGGCTTTTGATATATTAGATTTGAGAATGGGAGTAGGAAATATGCTGGGTGTCTTAGTAGAGCAACTTTCTGAAATTGAGCCATCTGATTACGTGCTTCCCACCACATACAAAATAAGTGATCTTGTTCCCCGCTTAAATCTTCTGGTTATATTTATATATTCTTCATTTAGTTGACTGGAGTTTTCATTTTCAAATTTCTAAAGTAAATATGTTAAATGGACACAAAAGATTAGCGGACATTTTCATTCAATGAGCAACTGTCCTTGTTTTTGCTTTTAATATTCTGCCCTAGTTTGCAGCAGCACACATCCTGTTACATCGTGTTTGAACTACGTTAAAGATGACAGGAACATATTGTAAAATAAGTGCTTTGTTCTGTTACAGAGCCGCATTTCCAGGTTCAGACAAATTGGTTACGTTTTCCACAACATAGCAGAAAGTACGCCGCCGAATAAATATACAGTATAGTCAGAATGAGTGTAAATGACAATTCAGGAGCAAATAGGTGACTGGTTCCACATGAAAACAAAATACAGGAGATTCTATTTTTTATCATCATAAAGAATTTTCAATATTATACAATGAAGGGATTTATGCATTTGGTTTGGTATTGTACATGTAAGATGGTATACTTAAGTCAATGTTTCATTTCCTCATAAATCCAAATTATTTTGTGTTGACTTGCTTCTCAATCTCTTCAACTGACTGTGGCGACGGTGGGAGTGCCCGTTGCATCCTCTTGCTTTTCTTCGGTTGCATCTACCTGGTTGAACTTACCAAGAGCTTTAATGCTTTCCAACATGGATTGAAATGTTTCCTTGAAGCCTTTCTCCAGTAACCAGCCCTCACTCTCACACTCGGGATCTTCCGGGTTTTCAATGTTTTCCAGGGCTGTGTGCAAATATCGCATCCCAGCCACTACACCAATCTACAGGCACAGAATACACCATAAATAAACCCAAACCATTAGTGTATGCAAATAGCAATACACGTGTTTTTATAGTGCGTAGAAATCAATACCTGTGTTTCTGCTGTGGTTTTTAATTTGAATGTAATCTACATGTGATCAAATCCTCCAGGTTTTAAAATAGTGTCTACTGTATATTTCACTATGATCTTGAATTCAAATGTTCTGGCATGTATATTTAACAGCATCAAAACTGCAAAATGGTTGTCTGATTTCTATCATCACAACCTGGTTAAGTATTAGAATGATCTGGCTCCTCTATATTGTTAGTTCAGTTATAGATTCCTTCTATCTTTAGCTGCTGTGAGTTTTATTGATTTGATATGTGACATGATCTAATCCTCAATTATGTTTGATTTATAACTTTTTCTGTAAGCAAATCGATATAATACCTCGCCAATCGTTGGTTCCATAAATACAGAACAGTTTTAACATGAAATTGGTAACAACAAGATCAGTAAGTAAAGTATTGAGGAATATGGGGAAAAGGGATAGAAATAGAATTACAGAGTTGGAATAGAATATGTGGTTGAGTAGACCATTAGGCCACTCCTGCTCTGGATTCCTGAGAGCACCTCTCCCACTTCCCTCAATAGGCAAATAAAGTACTGCACAGTGACAATGTAGAATTGGTGACTAAAGAAATGTACTGCACCTCACTTAGTGTTATAAAGGATGATATATGTGATGGTGGTTAGTTATGCTTTATTCCTATGCCAAATTAGTGATTAGAAATGGTGTGAGGCAGGTATCTTCAATAATTCTATCTTGTATATCTACATAAAGTTCCGGAAAAGTAACGCGGATTACTAACCACTACCATATTCACTATGTTGTTTACTGAATTTCATGACTTCCCACATTAGGTTTTACACCTCTGATCAGAATTTTAAGGATATCCAGTAGGGTAATTTAAGCATACAACTAACTCCCTTTGTGACATTCAGCCTGGAGATCTCAACTGGGAAAATTATGGTTAAGACTTGACTGATTTGGGGATTTCCCTAAACCATCTGGATATGATTTGATTTAGAGGAAAGAAAAGTGACACAAATGTGGACATGTGTTCTTTACTGAGAGGGGAAAGCTTGGACCATGTGACCCACCTCAGAGGAAAGAGGAAAAATCATTATTCAATTTAAATATTGCACTGTGATACCAAATACGTTTCTAGGTAAGCTATCTGGTTGCTATTTTGTGCAATGTCTGTGGAAAACTGGCCCCAGAATTTGATAATTTACTTGTTTTCTATGAATCTTAAAATAAGTTATTCCACGAAGAGACCATTTTACGCCTTATTTCAAATAATCGTTGATGGTCACCAAATATCTGGTTTGTTTTGTGGTTACTGCCCTAAAACATATTTATTAGTGTCTTCCTAGATTTGTATATAAACAATCAATGTTGTCTCAGACATAAAAGATAGATGTATTTAGTGTAAAAATGAATGTTTTCTGTAGTTATTTACAAGGAAGTGACTGATAATATTGGTGTATTTGGCCAATGTCATTTTTCTATCCTTTATATTGATCATGGACATTGCTTCAAATGTATAGGCATGGACTGACTTTGTCATAGTCACTTTTTATATTTAAAAAGTCTTAATGAATTGTTTAATCATGCCAAGTGTCCTCTCCATTCCATTAAAGGGAATGTTATTTCGTTTGAAGCATTAGACTGTTCTTGTGCACTTGTTTCTTCCCTCTTGACCCAATTTCTAATTCCATACCTATAGCGCATCAAATTAGTCTTTGCAAATATAGGCTTGGTAAACATATTAAGGATAGGCAGTTTACATGATCATGAAAGATGTAACTTGCCCTAATATCTTCATAGGTAAATGCAATGGTCTCGTACCCAGATTCTAATCCCACTCTGAGTTGCGCAAACCCGTAGCACTTGCTGATTTTAAACAAATCACAATTGGGCTGTTACAATGGACATCAATGTTTCCAGGCTTGAAAGCGGGGAGGGGAATTGACCAGGGTTCTCACTCCTGTTTCCTACCCAGTGACTCCTGCTGGAAAATATGTGGGCGTGTGGGTTGGGCCATGACAAGTTTGTCAATGATGACCTCCACAATGCAATTACTCACTGGTGAAGAATGGCAACTTGGGTAGGGACCAGGGTCACAAAGGGTCAGAACCTTTAGGGATAAGCAAGTGGAGAAAATTGGCAACAACAAAAAAACGGCGAGACCATTGCTCAGGCTGACCTGAGCCACAGGAAAGCCAATGATCATACTGCTCAAAATACGATAGCCCCATGCGATTCAATTAATCGGTTGTGCTGTAGAAATTTAGGATCTGGCTTCATTTTGTGCTTATTTGGGGATATTTAAATCTGTCAAGAAGGCCGTGGTAATTGAATGATTAAATGATGAAATTTGGGGGGATGATTTATGTAAACATTTGTACTTGTTCTCATTGCAATAATACTAGAAAAAAATATATATTTTGGAATTCTTTAGCATTAAATGGTTCTTTTTTTGTATTTGAAAACTCTAAAATAACCCTTATGTTTAAAAAAGACGGTCGTGTGAACTCAGCTCACATTGTTACTTTGAAGTCAACAAAGCATCGATATTTTGAATTGCACAACAGATGTAAAGATATAATCGTGTTATTTAGGATATTATCAATATCCACACCACAAAATATTGTATTGGCAACTTAACCCCACCTCTCTAAAGGTTCTACCATTATGATCGAAAGCATAGACATGTTGGAAAGAACCGTTGAGTTTTGATACAAAAAGAAAAGGTTTTTAAAAAGGACATTCATTTAACAGCACTTGATCCCCAAGAAGACACACCACTTAATCTTTAAAGCGTTGATCTGGAAGCATTGGTGAAAGCCAATGCACAACAGCCCTCTATCTGCCCCCAATCTAGTGGATATAAGATAAATCGCTCATGATTTTCACTTAAGATATTGTTAGGAATCGGTGCAATTTTTTTAAAAAAATCACTACAGAAAATAACACGTTTTTCTGTTTTTAGCGATCGTTCTCGTCGAATTAAATCAACGCGTAACACAGAAGAAGTTCCAGGTAATCCCAAATTGGTGAGGAGACTCTGAACTTGTCAGCAGACATTACAGGCAAATTTTATCAGAGACGGGACAGCGTGGAGTCCTGTAGCTCAGTGGGTAGAGCACTCGCTTTGTAAGCGAGAGACCTGAGTTCAATTCCAGGCAGAGGGCGAAACCTTGGGCAAGTTTCCTTACTCCACACAGAGCCTAATAATAATCCCTCCAAAAAAACAAAACAATAATAAATTGGTCATTTTCAATCTAAGACTGTTTGTGGGACATTGCTGTGCGCAATTGGCTGCCGCGTTCGCCCACAAATATACAGTCAATTCACTTTACAGTGTGTTCTGTGAAGCGCTTTGGGACGTCCTCCCGACGTGAAAAGCGCTATATCAAATGCAAGGATTATTATTATTATAAACAATATTGTGTTAAACGACAGTTTCCACGTTCCCCGCTAATCTGACCAATAAATCAATTACATCAACATAGATACAATTGGCAACTCACACGGGCTCAGTACTTAGCAAAAGCCTAAATGCACAACGCCAGACATCGAGATGTACGCAATCTGCATTTGTCCACGAACAATTCACTATTTTTTTTTCCTTTCTCCTCCTCTACAATCCCATTGAGAAATCCAGTGCTGAAGTCGGTACATACTGTACAAACACACGTGAAAAGCGCTCCAATTGCGCACCGAAATGACCGGTCCATTTTCACATCACAGCAAAGTAGCAAAGGATGTGATTGTTTGCGCGGGAGCTTCGCGACACTAACATTTATAACCAGAACGTCAACAAGTACTCTGTGTCTGCACTCCCGGGGGGAGGGGGACCCACACTGCAGGTGATGGTCTCGATCAGTTAAGTGTGCGATCACCTGTCACACTTCACGGACTTCGCTTACCTCGAACACCCAGATAAACAAGAGCAGGATTCCCATACTCTGCATCATGCCGGCGTAGTAGTTGAGGACCGCCTGCTTACAGCCTCGGGTCCACAGGTTGAGTTCCTCGGTCTGGTGCTCGTAGCTGAAGTGTGCGGAGTTGTTGGTGATGTGCTGCTGGATGCAGGGTCGGGGGGACGCCGGGTTACAGCAGCTGAACGGGACGTCATCCACCAGAAACTTGCCATCGACATTGCTCTTAACGCGACTGTAAAGAGAAAGAATCGGACCTCACAATAACCGGTCTCTGGAAACCCATCTACAGGACCACCAAAAAGGGGACCTGTCAATGAACACATCCGTTCTCCTCGTCTTATCCGTAACGATGGGACACACCAAGCGAATCCGCTCTCACACTGAGGGCGAAATTAAGGGTCATTTTACACCCAATGACAGGAGTAGCGCTACATCACCATCACCGGGTGGTCACTCCTACCCCCGGACACGAATTCTCGGCGCTTTTGACTTACTCTTTCACGTCCTTGGAGCTGAAGTCCAGGTATCTGTTGCTGATCCACTGGATTTCGAACCAATCTCGAAAGCCGTTGTTTCCGCAGCAGCGAAACTCCATCTGCAGCTGATCGATGGTCTTCTTCATGAAGCACCTGCCCGGGGTGTCGGTGTCGCGGTAGAACTTCATGCCGTTCCTCAGCCCCACGGACAGGGTCTCGTCCAAACACAGGCGCATCAGGAAACACACGATGATGGTGACGAAGGTCAGGAAACAGAAGAGCAAACAGAAGGCCAAGTAAATCTTCAGGATGGACTTCCATCGCGCGAATTTGGACGGATCCAATGAATCGTAGCAAAACTTGCCCCCAAAGCAGTTGATGGCGCAGCCAAAGACTCCGACAAGGATGAGCGAGTTGGGCACCAGATGACTCTCCGCGTTGTCCATCACTTCGCTCCGTTTTTTCAGCTCGATCTTGAGGAATAAACCCATCCCGAAGATCACGATGCTCGAGAGCACACAGAACCAGTTTAGGAGCCATAACCCCTGGGCGAGCTTGACCCGCTTCTGCAGGTTGAATTTGATTTTCAAGGTCATTTTCTGAATGTTAATTTTTTTTTTTTTTTTTGCGTTAAGTCCGAAAAAAAATCGAAACTTGTGGCGTTGTGGGGGGAAGAGGGGAGAATAAATTAGAAAAGCATGTGCGTGGGTGTAGAAAGGATAGGGCGCAGACTGCCTGAGTTAAGCCCAGTCATCTGTCCCTCCATACTGAACACCCTGGAAACACATCTGCCATCAGGCAACGTGCTCCAGCAAACGAAATGTTGCTTTTCCTCCCCCCCCCAAAAAAAAAAGCGCAAAAAGTTATATTTCCAGCCTGAAACCGACAGCACGTCACTAAAAAGCTAATAGCGGTGGACCTTTCCTTAGCGAAACGAAACGGATCCGAACGCCACAGGAGAAAATCTGAGTCTGCGAGACGTCACCTTAATACCAATCACAGGGCTTATCTGTAATCATTCAGAGAAATCTCTGCCCCAGATGAGCGATTGAAATTAATCCGCCTTTTTACTGTGTAGTTGCTTTGCACTCACATTGTCAGCTGTTGTGCTCGCACCTAGAAAGTTTGAGGAGTTGGGGGCTTGACTGAATGTTCACCCGACTTGACTGCCCACCCACCCACCCACCCACCCACCCGGTGCTTTGTGTGGCTATTGCTTTCCCAGACCAGTCTAAGAGGTGATTTTCGTGGACCCTTTTTAAATCAAATGGAACCGTGTCGTGAATTCTTACACTTTGTTTCCACACATTACATGTTTTTTTTTGTACAAAATGAAAAAGGTTAAAATAACAAGCGAACATAACCTTAAATGTAGGTTAATGCCCTGGAATAAATAAACATTCGCCTCGACCGTATTAATAGATCCATGCAAGTGGAGTACGCAAAGCTGTGAAACAGGATTGCAATTAAGCTCTTCAGAAATCTTACACTTAGGGGATCTGTAACTCATATAGTTTAATGTTTGTTCAGCATTAAACGATCTGATATGTACTCCTGGTTTTGTTGTCATGTTATTTTTGCAGTCTCTATCCCGCTTTCCCATATACGATGACTGAAAGCCATCCTGTCCCTTTCCTAAGTAGCTAATCTTCATTTGTGAGTGGTTGACAGTGAGAGGAGACTATTTAGTGAGAGAGGCTATTCGACCATAAGGCAGACCATCGTTGTTGGAGCCAGTCTGTGTACTCTTTCCAGTAAGGTTGATCTGACAGCAATCAGAAGCGGTCGGTCAGCCTTTCTTGAATTTTCTCCTCCTTAGCTCGAGAGCACTCAGACCAATACTAACGCACGGGGAATACCCAGACTGAGACCAGCTAACTCAGCACAAAAACAAGGAGTCATCCATCCCAAGATCTTCATTATTTGCATTGCTTCAGTGCACTCCACTGAGCCTATAGAGAAACTAAAGCCTGTAGCCACTGTATTCATTCTGCCAGTGACTGGAAATATAAAACTACTTATTGTACATGACTAACTTTTTTTTAAAAGAGCTAATACACCTATGAATAGAGTTCCAAAATTACATTTTAGATCAAATTAATCTATGAGTTACATGGTATTTTTGAAGTCATGAAAATGGAAAGTCATTTTGTTTGGTTGAGGGATTTACTTGTTCTGACGAATCTCAACGATTTTTAAAACAGTGCTCGCAAGCCAACAAAACCATTGTAAATAGTCTGTTGAACATGCGGGTGCATATTTAAAAGAATACAATTTGATGTAATTTAAACTCAAAATGGTAAAGAGGAAAAAAATTAAATATGGAAGTCCAAGATGGACCTATTAGATTGTTGAACTCTGATAATCCTTGCAATTGATATAGCATCTTATAACCTTATCACATCTCAATGGAAACATCTAAAGTACTTCATGGGATTTTACTGTAAAATGTAGTAACTGTGTTTGTAGGCCAGCGTGATAACCAAGTTGTGCTCAGCCATGTTTCAAACAGCCATGAATTTTATCTGAAAGATTTTTTGGTCAAGACTCTTTTTGAATAATACTTGGGATCTTCAATATTTATCTGAACAGGTAGACATCCTGGGACTTAAATTTGAAATCTAGTGATTTACATTAATAGTTGCTAAAATCAACATTTTTACTTAAACTAATCTGTCAAAAGGGTTTTGGTAATGGTAATATTGCCAACACTTTGTATAAAATACCTTATTTTATTTAAACCTGAAATGAATAAGAATTAGAACAAAATAGATGTGTTTATTGCACCCACCCTACAGTTGCTGCTTTAGATAAGACAATACAGAGAGTGGTTCTGACTACAACTAAGATAGGAAATATTTACATTTTGAACATTTACATTTTTACATGAATCAAATTCTAGGAATCTGGCTCATGTTTTGACAACAATCTGTGTTCCTGAATCCAGGAGATCCCTAACAGCTCTGAAGTTTAGCAGACTAATATTACACCATAGGAGTTTCTTTCCCCTCAACTACCACTGAAAGCTATGAAAGATACTTGTTTTGCAGGAATTTGTATTCTCAAGGACCACTTGTACTTGGCAACAACAAGCTGCTAACACAACTGCCTTTATTCAAGGTTAGCTAATCGGTTTTAAAATATTAAACACAGCGGGAGACTGGTTTTAAAGTAGCAGAATCCATTATCCTGACATCTGCAGCAAGGCTTTGTTTTACGGCTATCTGATGAGATTCCACCCGCACTAAACTTCGTACCCAGACTCCACAAGCTCCCTATCAGAGAATGGATCGATTTCAAGATCCTCACACTTGTCTTCAAATTGCTGAATGCCCTGGCAGCTCCTCTCCAACCTGCTTACTATCCGTTGCCTCCCCTCAATTGGCTCCGGCTTCCTGCTGGTCCCTCGGCGACTGCACGTTTAAGCCAATATGCCCTGAAACTCTGGCCTCTCCCGCAATCCCTCTACCTTGCCCCTTCCTTCCCCATCTTCAGGTCACGCATAGAGTCCTTCCTCTTCAACCGTGCTCACGGTCACCCTCCCTCCCCCAACCACTTGTGTTCTATATCCCACTCAAATTCGACCCATCCTGATTGAATCTTCACACACCAAATAAAAAGCTCAGCTCTTTCAATATATAGTGCTGCTCACGGTCCAGTTCTGCAAGAATCACGGTTATTGTTCCAGCTAAGATCAGCCAACTATGCACAGACTGGGAATTTTACCTGAAGCTTTTCTGGTTTGTATGACTGCAGAAAGAACCAATGCAGAAAAGAGTGGATATTTTGCTGCTGAGTGTGAGAAGTGCTGTTATCACTCTTGAAAGTATTGGAGCTAATGCTAATTCTCTCAGCTAAGTGAGCTAAGATCAGAAATATGGGAAAATTATCCTGGCCTATTCTCTCCTGCCCAACTATCCTTTTTTTTTCAGAACCTTTTTATTGCGGTTGCAGAATCTTTTAAATTCCTGCACATTGCTTCTTCTAAAATAAAGTAACATTTCCTAGGAACTATTTCATATAGTAGTATTTACTAGGTATGAAAAGCTTTAACCTGAAGCATCTTTGTTCAGCCTTGAGCCTTTTATTGCCTGGATAACTTGAGTTTAGTTACTGGAAATCTTTGCCACAAGCAAATGTTTGGTTGGACTCTTGTAAGATTTGTCAGTGCTTTCTCTAACAAGGTAGTTTCATGAGTTAAGGTAGTCCATCAGTGAGTTATGTACTTTGCATATTCTGGGACAATTGGGGGGAGAAAAGAGTGCTGATCACGTAAGTCCAGTGAATGGGAAGCAAGTTAAAATATCTTGGCATGGCTTTTCTGGTGTCTAGAAGTCTAAACAAAACTAATTAATTCCTGTAAACTATACCAAATGTGACGATCAAAGACAATTTCAAGTCATATCCCCTTCTTGCAACTCATCCACAACTGTGTTGGAGATAGTAAGCTTCTTCTTAAAAAGAGTATTACACTATACCAGTATGAATGTGGGCCTTAAGCAAGATAATGATGGTAAAATTGATTTTTTTAATATATAAGTAAGCTCATATAATTCACAGGAAGCTAAATAGAACGGTCAAAAGTGCCAGTGCAGGAAAATTAATTCCATCTAATATTTCCAAATAAAAATAATAAATCCTTGCATTATAGCATTTTATCACCATCACCAAGACATCTCAAGGCACTTCACTGGATATACCGTTAACAGCGTCTTGCGACATCCTGATATGAAGGGCAGTATACGTATGTAATTTGTTGTTGAATTTTGTGGTGAAACGTTGCATTCAATTTGCACACAGCAACAGCCATGGACTGTGACCGTTTTTATTTGAGGGAATGTTAGCTAGGACACTGGGAGAAGCTTCCTTCTCTTTTTGAATAATATAGAATTAATAATTCTGTCAGTTTCTAAATCTATCACCTCTTATTATATGAAGCATAACAGTATTTGGGCTTGTATGTTCGGTGGCAAAATTTTCTAATAGACTCAAATATAGTGTTCAGAATTTTTTGAGTAGCAGAGAATACCTCTGAGTGGTATAGCTAAAAATAAAATACAATATACATGTGCAAACTGTATAATTTATTAAGTCTATTGACAAACCAATTAGTATCACAAAATCAAAGTCAAGCAAAAATTAAGATTACTTGCTTGTTGCTCAATACAAACTATTTATGTAAGTTCAAGTATAGGTAGAGCTGCAGATTGTAGCATAGGCTGGGAACGCAATAAATTTAAATGATAATCTGCAAAAGCTCTGTAAACACTCAATTTTGGCACAACCACACCTCACGGTGACAAACTTTTGTCCCAGTCAGTTATTCTAGACTCTTCAGCCAGGACTCTCCAGTTTGGAGAATGATCAGATGCTAGCCAGTTGAAATCATCAATATTGTTCCAATTGTTTTTCGTTCTGTCCAAACCTGCCAGCTCAAAATCCTTCTCGATGCCTTCATACTTCCAGTTAAAAGGAGCAAAAGATACACCAGTGCAATCCTCTATGATGGCTCTGCTTGTCACATGCAGATATACGTTTGCGTCTTTCGTGTTATGGGTCCGCAGCTGCTGACATGCAACAGCAAAAGTGCAACCGACTGATTGATCCACAAAGACCGAGGTCGAGACAGGTCCGCACAAAACCTTGGTGTCGGTCACATTCTTGATGTGCAGGGTGTTGGGCGATCCCAAGAGCTTCACCACGCAGTTGGACAACCTGCTCAGGAGCACGTCTTTCCCATTGATCTCCTCTGCTCGCCTGACGAGCACTTGGGAGTCGGCGTCTGAAAAGCCGCATAGGTTTTGGTCCTCCCTTGTTGTGGAGTCGGCAGGTTTCGGGCTGACGGTGGAGATCAAGGAGGCGGGTGAAGCAGACCTGGGGGCGTGGGCGGCCGCCTTCTTGCGGGACTTGAAGGCGAATTTCTTCTTGGGGAGATGCTCCTCCCGCTTCTCGACCACATTGGCCTGGAGCTTCTGCAGAGCCTTCTGCGCCTGGCGCTGGTCGTAGGGGGAGAGGAACATCATGTTGTCGTTCAGGAACTTCTGCAGCTGCTGCATCTTGGCCGCCACCTGCTCGAAGTGGCCGGGCATAGCGGCCTTGTCCAGTGAGCCGCAGGCCTCCAACAGCCCCTCGACGCCAGACTTCTCGCCGGAGAAAGTCGAGGCGAAAAAGTTGATTTTCTCCTTCTTGGCGGTCTGCACCTCCTTCTGGTGCTTCCTCCTCTCCACCCCCAGCTGCCTCTCCTGGTCCCTGCGCTGTAGCCTCTCGCCCACCTTCTCCTTTCGCCGATCGTACTCGGGGTTTTCGTCCGACAAACGCTCCCCGTTCTCAGTCTCACCGCCAACCAGCGCCATCTTTGGGGACCGTTTCTAACTGCCAACTCCTAACGAGCCACCTGGTTGGTCCAATCGCGGCCGCCGCCTCGTTGCATCGGTCATTGTGATTGGCCGCGGCGGCCTCTTTGGTCACAGGGAGCTTTGCTGCTTGGCGTCTCCGGTCACGTGTCGGTCCCACACCCCAACTGCCCTTCTGGGTCTCCATCACCACCACTCTTCCCTAACAATAAATAATAATAATAATTCGAGACGTCTCAAAGCGCTTCACAGAATATACATACTGTAAAGTGAATTTACTGTAAAGTGAATTGCAAGCCTTTGGTTTGCTCAATTGGTTGTAATCTCGTCCCCAGATCAGAAACTGCTCGGTTCCACACATCTTCCTCGGTCAAGACTTTGACCCCTCGGGTGACAATCAGACAGGGCAGGACTTTGGGAAGAGGAAGGGAAACGTGCTTCAGTTGATATGTTCTATTGTGATGTGGATGTTATCCCCTGCCCCTGTTTGGAAAGAGAAGGGAGACCTTCCCTGGTTGTATTGGCCAACCTTCATTAGATTGGTCGGAATAAAAAAAAGCCTTTTCGGCCATTCAACCTGATATCTCCTGAAAGCCCTCCTTTCTGTCCCTCATTCAATGCATCAAGCTTTTTTTGAATGAGTCCAGTATCCTGGCCTTTCCCACCTTTCTTGGCAACCTGTTCCAGTTTTACCCTCTAAGAAAAACTTCCTGCTATCTGTCCTGAAATTGCCCGTTCCTAGTATCCAATAAATATTGAGGGTTATTTTGGTTACACTTTCATCACATGTTTTCTCCAAATTAATCTAACAGGCTGCATCATGAAGAATAAAACATGATTTATGTTTGCTAACTTTTGTGGTTAGTATTATAGGTTATTTTCAATAAAACAATTAAAAATCCAATTGGATGTTTTATATAGAACTATGCATAAGTTTAAGTGTTAATCAAACAATTTCAGATTGCAGTAGATATATCTGCAGCCCTAATCCTGATTTGTTTTGGTTAGCAGCGAGACTGACACATGTGGAAACTCATGGTTAAGTTTAAGAGTATCCAAACTACTCAGTTCCACACACTGTACCTATGGAAACTTTCATTTGTCTGGAATGCATTGTGTATTCTCTTCCGCGAGGGAGAGCTCTCTCTGCTTACTTAGTACTGGACTATTTAGTGATTGGTAAGAGCCAAGGCTTGGATCTCAGAGTTTATTTGGGGTACAGCTGGAGTTTAACCAACTAAAACCACATTGCCAAACTTCCCATTGGCTTGGCCAACTAGGAACATCCTTCAGGGGTAACTGAAGATGAGTGGGAATAATCTCACCCCCCCCCCCACTTTGACTGGTCTGTCCTCCATGTTTGTGGCTGTTATTAATGATGCCTTGAAGTTCTGCAGACCTACCTGACTTATGCTGTGAGGCGGGTACTGAAACCACTAGAGTTTCGACTCAATTCCTAACTTCAACTGCCAGGCATTATTATCTTGGATCTTACTCAGCCACAGAGACCCTGGTTCCCCAGGATAAAGTCAACAGTTATGTGTGTTTAATTTCTAAAAACCTATAAATGGAACTGCAAAAAATAAGAGCGATTTCCTCTTTCCCTATGAAAGTATGAGCATAATAATCCTTGCATCTGATATAGCACCTTATCACATCTTCAAGATGTCTTGAAGCTCTTCACAGAATATACTTTAAAGTGAACTGACTGTATATTTGGTGGGTGAAACGCAGCAGCCAATTGCACGCAGTAGTGTACCACAAACAGCCATGGATTGAGTGACCAAATTATTTTTTAATCAAAAGATTGTTGAAAAGCAGAATCAATTTTTCCTTAACAACGAGTCTGCTCTCACTTTTCCACGTTCCTGTTTGAAGAAATCCTGCGACTTAAAAACTTTTAACATTTAACAATGCACATTTTGCATCTGAAACCACAGAGGATCATGAGTTGTGTTGGAACCTCTTTATAGATTTTTTTAAAACAAAAATCAAGGCACCGTCATTTTTAGAGCCCTCCCCCCTTCTAGTAACTGCAAGCAAAAACGAAATAATATTGCAAGGAAAAAATGACAGCACGTTGCAATCGAAGCTGCACTCCTTCACAGTGCGGCCTCTCACTGCAGTGAGAGCTGCAGTCAGTGGGCGAGAGAGAGGCTATTGTACAGTTACAGGCAGCGACTGCTGGGGAGCGGGACGCGCATGCGTAATGGCTCAGGTAGAGGACCCCGGGCGCCCGCCGCTGCCGCGCTCCCTCCGCCCTCAAAGAGGAATGGCGTTGACACGTGTGCAGGAGGGCAGCTTCAGTCACAGGCTCGTTTTTATTACTGCTGTCACGTTATTCGGGATGCAGCAATGTTTTTAAACCACCCACAAAATCCTGCTGGTCTCACTTTATGTATATATATATATATATGTCTATGTATTCAAAAAATAATAAAAAGTCCCAATTCTTCCAAATTGGACAACGCAGTGGTGAGGTCCATCTGAAGAATTATGCTCTCTAATTGTCGCAATGGTGTTAAAAAAATTCTAGCACAAAGGCGATCGACGGGAACGAGAAAGAAAGAGAAAATGCCATGTCACCACCTTTGTAAAAGGCGAAAGCCACTCATCTCCCATCTACAAGTTTCCTGCTCCAACCACCTGCAAGGTGGCTTATTTGCAATATTCCCATAAACGTGTGCATACATAGCGAAAAAGATACATTTCGCAAATATTTGCAATAAGAAAGGGTATATAAAATACAAGGAAAGAATTGGGGGTAATTCTATCAAACCAGTACAACAAACCCCTACAATCAACGAGTTGTTTTTAGATATTGTGCATTATTTTATTTTTTGGAGGAAAGTGCCTTGAGCAGTTCTATTTTATCCCACTCCCTACTTGCGGGAAAACGCATTTTCATCTACCAATTTTGCAGGAAAATGCCTTTACCAGCTACCCCCCCCCGCCCCAATTTACAGGAAAATACCTAGAACAGCTGTAATTTCCCAATTTGAAGGGAGATTGCTAACAGCTCCAGAATATCTAGACTAACTCATAGAATTAGTTTTTTTTAAATGTTCTGCGTCCATAGAATTTTATTCCCAATCCTTACATTATTTTCACATCCTGTATCCTTTCATACCGCAGATGTTTGCCTTTGAACAGCTCAGTTAATTCCTTTCCAAATTTTTTTTTTTGCAGGGAAATGCCTTGAACAGCTCTGCTCTCGGCCCCAGCACTTTACTACTAACTGACTGACTTGCTGTGAGCAGTGCGTATATGCGTGTGTGTGTGTGTGGTGTGTGTGTATGAGGGGGGAGGAGGAGCAGGGAGTGTGTTTTTTTGGCGGGGGGGGGGGGTGGGGGTTGTGGTGTGTTTTTTTATTTTGGCGCCGGGTGATGTGGCCGGCCCCTGGCGCGATGGCGAGGAAGCCCCGTTGACAAGGCACGCTTCATGACGGTGAGTTTCCTTCAGTGTATTATAATTTTGTGATAAAAATTTTCAAGGGAAAGGGAGAGAAAAAAAAACACCCTCCGCCCCCCCTCCCTAAAACAACAACTCCTTCGAGGGGAGGTGGGGGGAAAAGAGAGCGAGAGAAAACACAGGGTCTAAGAATTGTACTCTTTTTATCACACAAATCTCCCTCCTCCTCCTCCTCCCCGGCTTTAGACAAGAGAGAAACACCACCATCACATCACCACCACCCACCATCACAGCGCAGCACAGAGTGAGAGCCAGGAGAGAGAAAAGCTCTTAAGTTGCAAAGAGACACAGACGCGCTGATGAATTTCAACAGCACTTCTCTCTTTATATATATATAAAGAACCTCTCCACCCCAACTCCCCCCCACCCCTTCAAAAAAAATTAAATGAGTCATCGATTTGTACTCTTTTTTTCCCGTCCTCTACCTCCCCCTCTTCTCCTCTCGTTCTCTCAAACACCTCCGTTTGATCAGGACGGGGTTGGAGACAAAAACTCACCACCCTCCTCCCTTTCTGCTTCCCTAAACGCTTTTTTTNGTCCAAGTTCAGGGGCGATTGCGGTTGTTTTAAGCGGTAGATTGACCTGACGGTGGTTATTCTCGCCCCCCCCCCTCCCCGGCATCAACGCGTCCATTCCTTTTTTTAAAAAAGGAAAGACTCCCCGATTTCTCTCTCAAGACGAGGAGAGAAAGAACATGAACAACTCCCTTTCACCTAAAAAAAACCTTCGTGCTTTTCTTCCTCATCGAGGAGGAAAAAGGACGCACCCCAACCATCGCCTCTTCGCTTTTTTAAAAAATGTACATTTATAAAACGTCGTCGTGTTTTTTGACTCCCAACTCCTCGTCCCTTCGTCAGCTCCCAACCGATCTGTTGCTTTAACTAAAATAAAGAAAGAAAGTGAACCCGATACAAGAGAGAGAAAAAAACGCCGTCTCGCCCGCTCCTCCCGTTCATGGCGATGGGCGGGATTGGATTGGAGGTCGATCTATTTCTTACCCCCCTCGCTCTCTCTTTCTGCCTTTTATTTTATTTTTTTAATTTTTCTCTCTTCTCTTCTCTCGTCCCCCTCCTCTGAGAGTCCAGACCGCGTCTGACTCATTTCCAAACGGTTTCTCGCTTTAAAAGGGCTTTGGGTGGGGTTTTGTTTGGAGAAAAGAAGCAAACCCCCCCCTCCCCCGTGTCAGTAACTGCAGGATTTTTTTCAAATGGTCACGACACCAGCTTTTTTTTCTTTATTTCAGATTTGTTAGTAATTACAAGTCGCTTTTCTATCTTAATGTGTGTATTTTAAGACGTGGCTCTTTGGTGGCCGACATTACTATTAACCGTCCGTCTCTCTCGCTCTACCGGGGCCATTTAATGCTCATTTTTGTCCCAACAGCAGTCGTTTTTCTGCTCTCTCTCCCTTTCCCCACTACTTTAATTTATATTTTTATTTCTCTCATCTGGACGAATGAGAGCAAACGATTTTTACTTGTATTTAAAAAAAGGCAGAAACCGCTTTGCTAGAGGAATGTTTATAAGCTAATTATCTTCGTTTTGATTGCGTGTATGTATATATATATATATATATGTATGTAGCTCGGCTTCAGGGTTTTTACAAAGGTTCAGCGTTTCTATAAACTCACAAACCAGTCTAGTTCGGCGCTTTTGAAAATGGCGTCAACGGGCTTTTTGTCGGTTTAGGCCCCGCTGAGACCCAATTTATTATTTTGAAACTCATGCGACGAAGGTTTGGGAGGTGTTGGACTTATTTAGTTTGGAGTTTGCAAATTCCCTACTCCCCCCGCAATGATGTAATTCGACTTTTTATATATGTATATATATAATATATATATATTAAAAAGGCTCTATTTGAAACTAATGTAATGGTGGAGAGTCGCCGCCCTGGCGCGATGCCAGGTGTGCTGGCGCACCTCTAATTCTGGCCGACGCCATTTTAGTTAGATGCTGCTTTTTTAAAACAATTATAAAATCATGTTCTTCTTGGTAAGAAATAGTAAACGAGGTTAAGTATTTTTTCACCGGAATCACCTTCATTGATTAAAAAGTCGGTCTTTTGTCAAGGTGACCTTGTCCTCCGTACCCTACAGTAAAGAAGCCGATTGATTTGACAATGTTATCTCAGTGTTTGTTGTATGCCTAATGTCCTAATGTACAATTTATTTGGTACAATAAAGCCTGATGTTAGTGCACAATACTTTGTATGGTGCTTTCATGTGTAAAGGTTTTGCATAACACGATAAAAACAAAATGCAGTCTCTCAACCAATATTTTACCGACTTTTTATATATCTGGTTTGGCGTTTATTATAATATAATGTCTTTCTTAATTTTAGGTCGCCGTAAAAAACATCCGAGATTTTCAGACGCTTTCCATGTTTTAGCATTTCCTTGTGGTGCATGTTAACGTAAACCTATTTATAATTTAGGCTGCAGATAGATCAACATTTAACTCGCTGCCCATTTAACTCTTAAGTTAATAGTGCAGTCGTTTTAAACGAGCACAATAAAACCGACTAATAATTTTATACTTTCCAGATAGTCATTGAAATGGGCTATAAAGTAAACCATTAGAGTAGTCTCACGTTGAAAAAGAGCTTTGAAAACGAGGTTACGTTGTTGCTCTTGGTAGAATAAAAATGCAGAGCGGATAAAAGTACTTGTTTCAGAATGCAAATGCACCTGCATTTACATTCTGAACAATTAATAGATGTAGAATTGTAGAGTCCAAAATGCTATTTTAATAATGGTAATTTTAAAAAAGTTTTTAATTGTTTAAAGATTGTGTATGGATTATAGAGGATTTGCAGTACTTTAATACAGAATGTGTAAAGGTTTTGCATAATACGATAAGAACAATTTGTTAAATTTGCAATTCCTTTTGCAATTCCAGTGTTCCAGAATATTTAAAAAAACTTGGAACAAAACCTATGATTTTAATATTTTTTTACCAAGTAATTTGACCCAAGTATATTGCACCACTGACGCGCTTACTATGAATGCAAAACTCCTGTCAAAAAAAAAGAAAACTGATAAACAAGTACTTGAATAGACCTTTTCAGCTAAATGCACAGCTAAGCTAAAATGGAAACCCATTAAAACGATCAGCAAATGGACTGAGCAATTTTAATCACCTTAGTGGGTTGACCTTACTAGTAAGCTTGTGTTCATGTACTATACAATGTTGAAATAAAAAAAATACACACAAACCTCACAAGACTACCAAATGTAGTGGTGTGAGTTTAAGGTAAATTTTTGCTGTAATAGTTCCTTATAGTTGTGAAACATTGAAACAACAAAATTACATTTGTATAGCGCCTTTCACGTCTGGAGGATGTCCCAAGGAGCTGTCCAGCGCCTTGGTACATCCTTCCGACGTGAAAGGCGCCATACAAATGTACTTTTGTTGTTGTTGTGGAATACAGAGAACGTTTTAAGGAAACAGTTTCAATTACAAGTGTTTTTCGCTGAAGAATTAAAACTTTACAAAGAACTATCTGATTGAAGTGAGCTATTGTGTATTACATTTTACATATTTTAGAAAGATAGGATGTTTAATTGGTTAAAAGTTGTATGGGTGTGCTGTCTGTGAAGAATATCAAGAATTTCCCAAATAGTATTTTTAAATAAATTGGTTTAAAATTCTCCATTTTGGAAACATTCATTGGTTATTATTGCTCAAATCTGAAGAACTTCTGTAGGAGTAGGCACACTAAATCTCCCCCTCCCCGAATTTTTTGGAAATTGCTAAGAACAGGGCAAAACCTTGGGCAAGTTTCCTTACTCCACACGCCTAATAATAATCCCTCCAAAACAAAAAACAATAATAAATTGGTCATTTTCAATCCACGACTGTTTGTGGGACACTGCTGTGTGCAATTGGCTGCCGCGTTTCGCCCACAAATATACGGTCAATTCACTTTACAGTCGATTCTGTGAAGCACTTTGAGACGTTGAAAAGACGTGAAAAGCGCTATATCAAATGCAAGGATTATTATTATAACTTTATATTTGCTAGTAACTGTTTCATAGTTCAGCAGTAGCCTTAGTGACAACTACCATGAATAAATACAGCCATAATGTGAAATATTAATCCCCTCATGTAGAGTTTTGACAATAGTGTTCATTTATACAGATATATATATATGCATTGTTTTCCTTTACAGTTGCTTTTATATTTATAAACAAACCCTTTAGGAATACCCTTATTTATAGAATTTTTAAAATCTTATTTTACCTAAATTCAAAAATAAACAGTTGATCAACAACAAGACAACAAGATCACATTTGTATAGGGCCTTTCACGTCGGGAGGACGTCCCAAGGCGGATCAAGATGTTTGTCAAAAAGATTCAGAGTTGTGCAAAGTTGAATTGGTGCAAATTATTGTAATTTGCAAAGCATTGCAACTAGAGCCAAACATTTATCCCAATGGGATACACAGGTATTATATTTCAAGTGAAATCAACTGAAAGCCTTTTTTTCCTGTTTTATATTTATACAGCAAGTGTAAATTTTGGTACATACCTTTTAATTGTGTCAAATGAATTAAAAGTGACTTATGTGGGAGCTTATATACAGAGGACAGATGAGCTTCTTTATGATGTCACAAGGAAACGGCTATGTATCATACAGTGTTCGCCACAACTGTAAATGTATGCAGAGGAATAACAAATGTGTCCTGTGGGTTCTGAATCTGCACAATGTATGAAGGTTTTGTAAGTGGACAGATTCACCACATAGTCTAAAACTGAGTATTTACCACAAACTGAAGTAAAACCAGACAAATTCATATTTAGCTTCAGTGTGCCAAATCTTCAGATAATGTTCATCTGCGTTTTTGCTTACGTGTGATTTAAAAAAAAAATCTCTTGAGATATCAAGGATAAATAAAAGGGAAGCTGTGGGATAAGATTTATATCCCCAAAGTGACAATATGCATGACTTTTGTAAACGATACAATTGAGTTATTGTCACTGCCACAAGTGGGATATAAATTATTTCCACAACTCATCATTTTTTTAAAATATAATTACATTTCAATTTCAGTGTCTTATTACAATTCTTTTATGCTATATGGGATAGGTGTTGCAGGATGTATATGTTTCTGAGCACCTTAGGGGTGACTAGTCATGTATTTATGGATAATCCTGGATATTAGATCTGGTTGTGTATTTGGTTTCTAACATGTGTTAGGATAAATAATATTGTATAAATATTAATTTTAAATGAACTAGATTGGTGTTTGGTTTGTGGATGGAAAGTTTTTTTGTCACTTTTCTCCCGTGCCTCAAAAGTGTCGATTAATTTCAAGCTCAGCTGTAATGCTCATATGGTGAAATTGCCTGATAGTAATTGCTGTCACAGCTCATGCATGAATTATGGAAGACCACTTGGGTAGTCCAAAGATGGATGATACCCATGGAGCTATTCTTTAGACTGAATCAGTGCCTCCAGATGAGGAGTGGAACAGACTGGCATTTGGAATGGCAGGAAGGAATTAATAATAATTGTATTTAGTTAATCCAAAACCAAGCAGAAGAAAAAGCATTCTTGTTTTTGGTTACTAGAATATACAGACCAGAATACAAAATACAAGAATTGGATTTTACAATCTTCCCCACTGAATAAGAAAATTGAGATAGCCTTTGTTATTGTACTTAATAAAATGCAAGAATTATGCACTTGGTTGCCTTGATCAATTGCAAACAACTTTGGGATAGAAATTGTACCTGGATCTATATTTACACTGCTAGGATTTTAACTGGTAAATTCATAAATACAGTCTTAATTTTAGAATGGTTGTTCTTCTATGAGTTCTTTTAAAAGCTGCAAAAAAATGGCTTCAGAGTTGAGACTGAATTTAACATTTGGCCAAAATCTAGCAGATAAAATTGGTCATTCATTTTAAGGCTGTTGGTGGGACACTGCTGAGTGCATATGGGCTGCCAAGTTCACCGGTAAATCTACGGTCATTCAACTTCACAGTAAATCCTGTGAAGTGCTTTCAGACATCCTCCTGATGTGAAGGGTGCAATGCCAAATGCATGGTTTACTATTTTAGGATTATTATAAAATCGGGATACTCAAATGCTGAGTAAATAGAGTAAATCTAGACCCAGGTGGATTTATCTCCTTTTGTGGGAAATAAGCAGGTTACAATTATCCAAGGTCTGTTTGTCTCTCAGAGGGGAAAATTGGAAGGACACAGAATAATCAATGAGTATATAAAAGACATCAATTAAATCATGATGTCACGTGTGGCTGATCTTTGAGACAGATTAAAATGCATGTTTGTATGGCCTTTTTCTTTAGTAACATGACAGGCTCTCCATTGTTCTTGATACTTCTTGCCAATATTTTAGGGCAGCAGTAGAAGGTTTATTTACAAAGCCTTCTATTCCTAAAATTAAACGAATAAGAAATGTTAAAGTTAGGGGAAATTTCTGAATTGTTTGCTGGCTATTGTAATGCAGAAACTTGAAATGAATACTGTTATGCTTTCAAAGGGGTGTAATTTGGAGGTTGGAAACTTAAAATTATATACAGAACTAAGATTTTAGCATATATTGTATTAGATATTTAACTTTTGTGGCCTTTCTGGTGTCATTTTAGATAAGCTTGTATTACTGCTGAAATTGAACTGAGGCAGGATATTGGGTCTAGTGGAAATACCAATCAGCATGAATATTGTGCCAAATTAAACAGGTGTATTTTTTTNAGTATTTTTTAAAAACTGTTTAGAAAACATCATGAACATTATAATCAGCTGTTAGCCATTCTATCCCCGCTCTCTGAAGCAGACAAGGAAGGTTATGATTTGGAGTTCTGGTTTTGAGGCTGAATTAACTGATCTCAGCTGGGGTAGTGGTGGGATGACACCAGTCAATTTCTACCCCAGCATCAGCCAATCTCTTCAAAGAGGTGAGTGATTGCAGCCAATGGGGCCGAGGGGACAGAGACATTAAGCAGGCCAGAGTTGGGGTGGAAGTGGTGGGCGGGGAAGACGGGATTGCAATTTGGGTAAGGCGTGGAGTTATTTGAAGGTAAAGATAAGGATCTTAAAGTCAATCCACTGGGATATAAGGAGACAGTGGAGTTCAACAAGGATGGGAGTGATAGGCATGTGGAGACTAGTCTGGGAAAGAATTTGGGTTTGCAGAGCCTTGTTCAGGAGAGAATATGAAATGTGAAGCTGTCAGTGCAGCACCCAAATCGCGCATAGCAATGTCCCAAAACAGCTATGAAATGATTGACCAGTTTTATGATTGTTGGCCAGGACACCAGGAAAAACTGCCTTTTCTTTTTGAGTCGTGCCATTGGATCTTTAAGGTCCATTGGTTTCATGTCTCATCTGAAGGATGGCATCTCTGATAATGCAGTTCCCCTTGGAACGTTGGGAGTGTCACCTTAAACTGGTTGCGTTCAAGTCCTGATGTGGGGCTTCTGACTCAGAGGCAAGAGTACTACCAACTGATCTAGGCTGACCAGTATATAATGTATCTTGAATCCAGAAGAAGATAGTTATTTATTTACATATCATCTATGCCTGTAATAGTGTATATTCAAAATGCACACATTGTGTTTCATAACATTTGTATTGCCAAATTCCCATTTAAAACTCATCATTTATATTCTATAATGTGGGTGTTGAATGGCAAAAGATTGCTCACTCTGGAATAAGAACTTGTAAATAAAATTTTGTGTATACATTAAATGTCCATCTAATTGATACGATGCAGAAACTGAATTTTTCTGCACTGAAGAGTGCCCAAATCATGTCTTCCACAGTTACTTCCCCACCGCCCAAATTGCTGCTTTTTAATTAATCCCATTTTTTGGCTCTTCCCCCTATTCCTAATGTTTTTACTGCACAGGTCCTTGTCCGGTCCCTTTCAATATTTCTGTTGAACCAGCTCAATGCTGCTTGTGGTCATGAATTTCAAACCTTTACAACCCTCTGAGTAAAAAAATTAATTCTAGTCACTCCTCTAATTTCTCCAATCTGAGAAACAGCAATCAATTCCCACTTTCTTCACTCCTTCCCTCAACCATACTTCTATCCACTTATAGGGATTCAGTTAGTCAACTATAATTTGCCCTTCATGACTGTCCTTGATCAATTTATTTTTCTCTATCAATTTCTTCCCTTATAAAATCTAAGATTTCTCACCACTGACATGCGACTAACTGGCCTGTAATTCCCAATTTGTATCTTGTGGTATAGCCATATATTTATTTGCTTACTCATATCTTGTTCTTTGGCTGGTAATTTTATGACAGCTTATATCAAAGTGAATTTTTTTATTTCACTGGCTGGATAACAGACCTATGTGCTAACTTTAATGTAAACAGGCCAGTGTTAGCACCATAAAATCTCACATCAGTCACAAATTGGACACTTAACCTAGCCACTATGCTTAATAACTTTCATAAGCACACAAACCATTCATAAGTAACACATTAAGTATGACAAATGTACAAATGAGCTTCATAGTACTCTTTGGAGAGAGGAGAAGAATAAGAAAAATAGTACTCACTCCTGGGAAAATGCTGTTAATGAAAGCCTTGAAGTTATTGTGCCAGTTTTATGATATTAGATTATTGGGTTTACAAAATCGATTGGCACAGCAACTTTGCTTTTCCACTTATTTGTACCCAGAGTTCTCTTTGTTCCTTAACAACATTAAGAACTTTACCTTTTAAGATACATTTCCTTTCATCGTTCTTTGTTATTTTATCTAAAAAGTTCTACTTCACATTAAACTGCATTTGACAGCTTTCTGCCCACTATTTGGTAGTATTTGCAAATATAATTTTGTGATTGGTGGAAGATTAAAAACTGTGTTTCTTCAACCATGTTTATTTTCTAGTTGTCATGGATGATGATGATGACCGAGATCTGCGAGATGTTATAGGGTAAGTCTTTGTAAATTTTGATAAAAGATTGATTTACAAAACATTTAATATTTTGCCTACAAATACACATTCACCAACTTTACAGTAAAGCAATTGAGCAATATGATGATTTTGGGGCTCTATATCAAATGCAAGGATTTTCTTTCAAAAGTACTGTCCCAAGAAATTAGAAAACTAGTGTAAAGGAATATCGCAATTGTTTTAAGCATTTATATGAATTGTATAGAAACTACATATTTTTGAATTAACCTAGGAAATGTAAGAGAAGGCTGTCAAATTAGAATATTATCACCCAGACCAAAAAGGGTGGAATAGAAACTCGATAAATCAAGAAGAAATTGTTATGTGACGTCAAGCTATGTGTGTACTGGCAGTCCTGAGCCATAACTTGCTGACGTCCTTTACATAAAGGGCAACCCCTCTATCTTTCTTGTCTCTCTCATCTTTCCTATGTTGCCATGTATGTTTTTGGAAGTTATAGTGACTTCTATCATCCTAGTTCAGCCTTATGTGGAATTTCTACATCATTGTAATTACTCGTTGTCAGCAATGCTTCCAATTCTCCTATTTTAAAGGGATACTTTTTTGTTAATCCATTATGTTATTAATCAGAATTGGAGCATAGGTTGCATTTTGTTGTTGCTCCTTTTTTGTTGATAGCATTGAGCTTTTTCATAAAGCTTCTCTATTTTATCTTACCTATTTGCCACATTGCAACAAAGGTTGGTAAACTGGATGGTGGAATGCATTCTATGATATTTCTATTCATTAAACAAGACACCTCTATTTCAATTAAGGAATATTTTACAATGTCCACTTTGGCATTTAGATTAGCCATATATATGTGTTTTTAATACTGCCTGGATACCAGCTTCAATGCTTGGAACAGTCATCAAATTATTCATAAATAATGTTAACCGGATTTGTAAGGGTAAGAAGAATCTGGAGTTCAACAGATCCACTTCTGTATGATGTCTTTCTATTATCAGTATGTCAGTCAAAACATTGTATCATTGATTCATGCTTACCTGTGATAGACCAATTGATTGTTGACCTGATTGAAAGACAGTCCCAGCAAATATTTTAATTTAATTTTTTTTCTTGCAGTGACTTACACAGGCTAACAACTTGTATAATACTGGAGGCTACTTCTAAATTGTAATATGCTTATTAATAAATGACTAATTTTAGTCCTTTTTTGAAAACAAATTTTGAGTAATGCCTTTTTTCTGTTATAGTGATGTTCAGGCATTGAATGATTTCTTGCATGGACCTGGGAGTGAAGCAGTAAGTATTTTTTGGGTGCATTTCATCAATTCTAATAATAGGTTCCATGGGTACACTTTTAATGTTATTGCTTCGGAACACTTTAGTTTATTACCCTGGGAGTTTAATGCGTGAAGTTATTTTTGTAACTGTTGCCAGATGTTCTCATGTTAGCACTTCAAACCACCACATTGATTGACTATGCTCTTGAGGATTATCAGATTGTTGACTTTTTACAATGAAAATAATCGTACTATAGAGATCTGACTTTTAGTCCAGTATTCCTTTCATTAACTAGTAAAAATATAGTCAATTTTTTTTGAATAAATGTATTATTGACGATGTGCATGCTGCTTTCCCTTAACCAACAGCAGACTTCAGCAGGATAGACATAAACTTCTATGCTTAATGAACCTTACTTAAGATTACATAAATCTTTTTTGATTTCCATTGTTTTCACATTTTGCTTGAATGATAACATTTCAAAATCTTGCAATATTTTATGTATACAGTAAATACAATTTAATAGGTTTAGGAAAACTAAACCTGATGATTATCCAAAGTTAACAGATATTCACATTCAAAGACCATTTCCAGCAAACAGAATTTAGTTACAATCTCGGCACCTCAAAGCAATTGCTCCAGCAAAGTACTGGCAGGAATTTCCTGAGTACATGTATGAAAATGCCAACATTCATTTTTTTCCAGTAACTATAAATTTAATGTGCCGATACTGCCTAGAATTGTTGAAATAATTTACCCATTTTAAGTATATTTCAATCTTATATCTTTTTGTTTTCAGTTAGATGAGGATGAATTGCTTGGCTCAGCCTGCACTACTGCCAACTCAAATTCACTTTTTGCAGACTTAACTGTAAGTAATATTAAAATTCATAAGCACAGTATTTAAATAACTTGCGGGAGCTATTGTTTCCACAAATGCTACTGCAAACAAGATATATTTCATTAGGAGACACTTCACCATTTGAGGATGTCGCTAGGACAGCTTGGGAGATGGGTGTTAGCAAGCCTCAAAATTGACAATATTTTCAGTTAAAGAGTGATAGCATTTGAAGATAAACACATGTACAGTATTTGAAACTTAGTAGTGTATGGATATATGAGGAAGTATTTTGAGCAGAAAATATTCCCTCTGAAGTTTTGTTCCAACTTTCAGTATTATAAGATTACTGTAACCAGCATCATACCATCAAGGAAAACCTAAAATATACAGAATTATTTGTATTTTTTGGTACGTAAAAAGCCTGAATGTTTTTTTCTTGCAATATCTTTAAATGTATATCCTGCTGCTTTCATTTTAATTTAACTTCCAAGGCCATTTTCAGAAGTACATTTATTTAGCTTGATGTACTTTGTACAAAATTACACAGTGCATTTTGAGATCATGTATACCTAAAATTGAAATTGCACTTTTGTTCTCACAAAAATAAATATTATTCATATTGTGTGTGTAAATGTCTTCAGATCGCTTGCTAAGTAAACAGTGTCATGTTTATTTGTGTTTAAAATTGGCCATATGTATAAAGTATACAAAGCTGTTACCATTTGCTATTTTATGTGACATTGTGAAAAATGATTTATGTTTTAAAATATTGCTAATAACATCCAAACCAAATTATGAAAGCGTTATGTGAATTGTAACCCTTTGATATGGTTCCTTTTTTTTTTGCAGAGCACTGACCCCGCTTCTACTAAAGATGCATGTAACCATGTTGGAGAAGAATCTAACCCAAGATTACACTTATCAAGCAATCTTAATGTTTTGGAAGAACTAGATGCTTCTTCACCTCTCTCAAATTTAAATGGGGACCAGCCTTTTGATATTCTTCAGAAGTCTCTTCAAGAAGCCAATATTACACAGCAAACTTTGCAAGAAGAAGCTGATTTGGCAGCCAGCTATACTTCTACCCAGGATTTTTCGCAAGCTCAGCTTCATTCTACAGTGTCTACGTCTTTTTCTCAGTTACCTTCCTGCACTTCAGCTGTAACAGGCCTGGCACAACAAATGAATGTAACTCCTTCCATTTTGCAACAGGTTGTGAGAGCTCCCTTTGTAAACAATGAAGTTAGTGTACAGCCTAGCTTTTTTCAACAAATGGGTATCAATAGCGTTGCTATCCACCATATACCCAGCAGCAACCAAGCTGGTGGAATTGGACCGATTCAGCTAATTGGTTCATTAGACACTCAACAGTCTGTGATGACTGTAAATCACCTTGAAGGGTCTCAGTTTATATCAAAGGCCAGTGGGCAGCCATCTGCTCTAAACTCTGTATCTGTAGGTGGTTACAACATGTCCTCTCTTTCACACCAGCAACAAATGTCTTTGAACACAGCCAGCATAAATGAAAGTGGTGGATTATTACTTCAAAGGCGAGTAACACCACTTAATGGGAACACTTTCCATGGGGCCTCGAATATAGGCCAGGTAACGCAACCTCTGTCTGTTCATTTCAGTGGTAATAATATTCAAACAGCACTGCCTTTGCACAACATTATTATTCAAAGAGGCCCTGCGCCAAACCTACCTAAAATTCCTCTTAATATTCAGCCCAAGCCTATTTCAATGAATCAGCAACAAACAGTTTACAACGTCAACAATTTAGAATTGCAAACAGCAATTAAACTCCAAAATGATGGAGCCCTACAACAACAGCAACAACAAATGCAGCAAGGCCTTCCCTTTATGTCTACAAACTCTTCTCAAGGTTCATCAGTGGGTCCTCCAATGTCTGTCAATATTGTGAAACAGCAGGGATCTAGGAAGTCTGGCCGGCCACAAGTTTTAAATCAAACTGGAAGCAGTATCATTATTCGCCCTCCCATGGGTCAGCATCAGCCTCTTGTGTCCCAGAATCAATTTTTTATTCCTACCAGCTTAGCATTAAATATGAACTCCACTGTTCAGCACCTCCAAACTCTACAAACAACTGCAAATGGTCAGATTCTTCAAACTCGAACAGTACCCACCCAACTCGTCTCCAGCCACGTAACTTCTGAGCATATTCTAACGAACCGGAACTCTGCAGGTATGATGGTGGCTACACAACCCTTTTCAGGCCAATTTTTGAGTAATCAGAATTCTGCTGGACAATTGACCTCTGGTCAAAGTGAACAGACAATAAATGCTCAAGGAGGACAACTATTAATAAACCATGGTACGTCACAGCTTGTTGCTGGTCAGGTTCCATTCCAACAGGCCTCACAGACTCTGTTTAATGTAGCACCCACACCCGGCTCAAACATCAATGCAGAGTTATTTAAGCAGTCTGGGCAAAGCTTGGTTCCAGGAAGATCATTGCAAAACCAAGTAACTGTCTTAAACACCCCAAGCTCAATGGGTTCTAAATACGTATCTGCACTGCAGCCTGTGATATCAGGAGTAAGCAGTGGCAATCATGTGACCCAAACTACTGCAAACAGTAATATAGTAATGGTTCGTCAAGGAGAGCAGTCTCTTGTATCTGTACAATCTGCACAACAGCCACAGGGTCAGTCACAGTTGGGTATGAACCATATTTATCGACTTTCCAATCCATATCACCAAAGTACCAGTGTAGTGCAACCTTCACGACAGATGGTATTCAGCCGGACGGAGATGCCAGTAACACAAACCTGCAATCAGCAGCAATTTCTTTACTCACAAGTAGGTAGTGAATGTTTTTGAAATTTGCCCTGTGGTAGATTTTAGAGAAATGGTACAACCTGTTTGCAGGCATTCATTCCAGAATTCACAAGTGTATCATTTTATTCTATTTGTTTTTAAAAAAGGAAACATGCTAATCTATGTCTAGTAACAATAAATGTATCCTGTTGATGTATTATTAAAATCTGAGAGGAATTGGTCAAATACTAGGTCGAGAAGACAAACTATATACAAGTTATGCCACTGTGAAAAATAAGCACCGCCGCAGAAGACTAAATGCAACATAATAGATATGGATGCTTGAAAAGAATATAGATACATGAGAAATGTGATTATAAAGGGATACAAAGAAGATGGGGAATTGGAATTATTAATAAATAACCAAGTAAAATGGAGAAATAGGCTCATTGGACCACAAGGTCTAATCCTATTCCTATTGTTTTATAATTCTAGATAGCTCAGTAATCATCCAAGCATGGCTTTTATGGATTGTTATCTTCAAGGTCAGGGATATGATTCACAATGCTTTATCGTGCTCATTTAAAAAACAATTTTGATCAATTCTGAGCCTTGCCTTACTTGCTACTGGGTATCAAAGCCAGACTAAGATGTGCATGTCACCCATACATGGAAATTTACCTTTTGTCTAGTGGAATGTTTTCTGGAGGCTTGGGGAAACCAGAGTGTTGCATTGGGGTCGTGCTGGAGTTCCAGATAAACTAAAAAGTTTGCCATTGGGAGCACTGTAGCAAGTTTCCCACAATATTGACAGACCAACCAACTAAGACCAACCTACATTTGAGGGTGTTGGCTTGCATATTTAACAGAGTTGAGTGGGAAGAATTCTTGCCCCCAGTGATAGGTCTGCCATGCCTGACAAGTTCTGCTAAAACCAGACAGGCTGTCTGGTCTGCAGTAATGCTTTGGATTACTGTAGATACACCAGGCTCAGGAAGTAGTTTACCAAGACCATCAGAAAGGATTGACTTGATTCTGATATTCCGTTGCCAGGCACATCACTGTGGAGTCGATCCAGCTCCCAAATAGCCCCTCTGAAGCCTCCACACCACCCCCCCCATCACTGGTTGGTCATCACACTTGACAAATGTAGGTATGAGCCCTGACTCAGTGCATAGTAGGTACCAGGAACTCAATTTGGATCTTGCTGTTCAATCCCGTTGCCCTGCCCTATCCCCTTACCCCTTCAAGCCTTTGACTTTCGTATGACCTACCTGCTTCCCTCTTAAAACCCGCAGTGGTCTCTGCCTCCACCATCTTGCTAAAGAAATGTGGCCATCGTAAAGCGGCCTTCACCTTCAGTGTCTTGAACGACAGGGCAGCAAAATCTGGAGTTTCCCTGCCACTCCTTTACCACAAACTCATTTTATCGCTTAGTCCTGGATTTCAAAATAGGCTGAACAAAACCCCTCCCACTGCATGTCTAGTTTTAAATATGTCTATTCACTTCCCTAGAAAGTTAAAAGCTTCAGTAGACTTTTGGGCAAATTATATCTTGATGGGTCGAACAATCTTCACTCATTTCCATATTTGTGAGCTTTCTTATCAAACCCAATGATATATTAACCGAGTGAGAGATCTGATCTTTAGTACTTCTAATTTTTTTAATGTTTTCATATCTGTGAATGGTGACATAATTTCAAAATTCTTTAAAAGCTGAAAAGCAAGCCTGTCTTTTTGAAAAGACGAGCAGGAGATTTGAACATAATGGGAACATGATGCTCCTGACAATGACGGACAATGACTGATCTGATCGTGATTACGGCTTATCTTCATAATTGAGTCTTCCAATAGGAGAATAGACTTAATGTTGCAGATTCCAGATTAGGTATCTACAAGAAAGGTCCAGGAAACATCACAAGACTGATCCCTGAAGTTCATGAAATGAAGGGGATATTCCCTACCTATTTGCCCTCCATTACATTTTTGTAGAGTAATCTGTAACAAGTAGTAGCAATTTTGTGATGCGAACAGCTACTAATATTGTAATGGTTTGTTTGCCAAGCAGAGCAGTCTCTGGAAACTGTACAATCTGCACTTACATAGATTGTTAAGTTTGTGTATGAACTAAATGCATTATCTTTCTAATCCATATGGCCAATATTGAACATGATAAAATGTTTGAACTGATTGGCTGTATTTTTGATGTGTGTTTCATGACAGTCTTTTACTGCAAAAAGAATTTTGGATTTTTCTGATGAATTGTTTAGTCTTTCTAACTACAGTTTCTCTAGTTTTTCAGTGCTCTTTTCATTTGAGTGTTTATTTAAAGTGAGGTCAAGTCTGCCTTTCGAGGTGGACTTTAAAGATCTAGTGGCACTATTTCAAAAGAGGAAATTTTTCCTGGTATTGAAGCCGACAATCCTCTAAATAAATTGGTAATTTCGTAATTTCTTGCTGTTTTCCGCAATTCCCACCCCACCATTAGCAGTTGGGCATTCAGTATCTCTGCCCCCACACTCTGGAACTCGATCCTGCCACCCCTCCGCCTAACCGTTCCCCCCACCCCACCCTCCACCCGCCTTCAAATTCTGTCTGAAGATCTTGCTCTTCAACCATGCCATTGGCCACCCCCACACCTCTGCTCTCGTCCCCTTTTGACGCCAACTCCCAGCTTGGGTCCAAAACCCCTGATTGGCCAGCGCCCTGGGACGTGAAGGACGCTGTACAAGTGTAATTTGTTTGTGGGACATTCCTGTGTGAAAATCGGCTACTGTGTGTGGCTCCAAATATACAATCGCTACACTTGACAGCAATTCCCAACGAACTGTTTTGCGACATTAAACTTCAGAGGTGTTCTAACAAATGCAAGGATTATTCTTAATAAAGAAAATTGTTTTGAATAATTCTTTTAGTAATTATACTGAATTTTTTGTATAAAGTATTCATTAACTCCATGTTTTATATTTTTAATATGTGCTAATATAATCATAATTTTAATTATATTATAATTGGTCCTTTTAGCAAAATTGGAATACAATCGTGTTCAATTGTGCAGTGATGTCAAGCAAAATAGTAATGTCTTAAAGTTCTAGAATCTGACATTCCTCCACCATAAAAAGGCGAGTACAATATGTGCTTTTCAAATATTTGATGGAAATGGTGAGAACTGTACTTCGTAAGTGGCAAAGAAAAAGATGATGTAATTCATGAAGAATTTGCAATAATCTTTTCATTCTTCTGAAAAAAATATTAAGTTAGTTAATCTCTATTGCTTTTGAAAACTCAACATGTCAAGTTGAGTTTTGTGGTGGGGAGGATTGGCTCAACAGCAGCAATGTAAAACCATTTTCAGTGAACCTGGTTATGCAGAGATGGAAGGACAATCAATGAACATACAGGCAGCAGCAGTGTTCTCCAGCTGACTTAGAAGATTTGCCAAGGGGCCAGAAGTTGCATCATTTTTGTTCTATTCTCAAGGTGCTGGTTCCATGTACGCTACTGACTTCTTGTGCCTCACGCAAAAGACCATTCTTCAAGCATAAGCAGTATGTTTGCAGACTATTTGACCATGGACAGCATCTCATCGAGCCTGATCCTGTACTCAGTTGTCTGTGCATGTGCTTTTCTGTGGGTTTTGCTGGAAAGCAATTAGGAATGGAATCTTGGCTGATTTTTCTCTCCCAGTCCCCCACACACACATTTCAGGAGGTGCAGAAGATAATTATAACATCCCAAATGACACCAAGCTGAGCTCAACTAACTCAGCATAAATCTGGATCAAACTTGAGACCTTCAGGTCTGTATTGGCATAGCTTCACGCAAGGCAGTGCGTTTATCACCTGAGCCATTAGGAGAGCCGAAGTTTCACAATTTAAAGAGAGAAACAGAGGTAAGACTTGAATGTTATTAACATTATTGATTGGGAACATAGGCAATATCCATCCTAGCTATCTGGCAGGGAAAGTTGTAGTTGTAAAAGTTGTATGCAAAATTACTGTTTAAACACACAAAAATGTTAACAATAATGTAGAAAGCAAGGCATTAGAGGAAAAAATAGAAGTATGTAAATTTTATTTATATATTCATAACAATGAACATACCGCAGGAAAGAATTACGTGCACTATACAAGAAATAACTTAAATCACAACCAATACAGCTTCAGAAGCTAGATCTTGTCTTACCAACTTCTTGGATCTTGCCTTACCAACTGCCTTGATCTTGCCATATTGCTTTGAGGCAGTGACATCTCACATTGGCACGTGAACCTCCAAAAGACATATATATGATTAAGTACCACACAGGAAGCACCTTTAGAAACTAATGCGAATATCAAATATGTGGAAAGCAGATAGAAGTTGTAAAGGGAATTTGGTCAGAATGGGGGGAAGGTATTAAGTGGGTATTCAACAGTTTGATCATGTTAGTAGAATGATTATTTGAAGCCAGGACACTGAACTCTTTAGAAATTCCTTAATGTTGGAATAGTATTGGTATTCTAGCAGGATGTGGGCTGAGAATCTTTTTTTTATCCAAACCTATTTTTGTATATGAACCTTATGTTTAAGATAAAATTCTTACATAATATCAGAGTACAGGGCACAACAAAGATATTTGCACCATATGAATAAAGAGTGAACACCTCAAAGCACTATTGCTAAGTAACCGGGTGATCAGCTATCCTGTGATTTGCCCAATTTGTTAAGTGAATGTCTCCATCTATGTTGTGTGTGAAATTACATTGCAATATGCAATAGAAAGTGTATACAGTATATATTTAAAATGTACTCTCCTCTCTTCACAGATGAAGAACCCAGTTAATTAACCGAAGAACATTGCACACCCCCAATTTAGCATGCTGGAAGGATGTTGACGCTATTGAGGATAAGTAATCACTAGAGTTGTGGTGATGCCAACTGGTATAGGACTTAGTTCAGCCTTACTGAGTATCTGGGAAATCACAGACTTAGTGGCTTTTATTGAAATGGAGACAAGTCACCTGCCAACTGCAAATTCCTTTGTAAAGTCCTGGGTAGTTGAG